TTAATATAGATATGTACCGGTAGTTTTAAGTGGGTTGTGTGGTTTAATATAGATATGTACCGGTAGTTTTAAGTGGGTTGTGGTAATGGTTTAATATAGATATGTACCGGTAGTTTTAAGTGGGTTGTGGTAATGGTTTAATATAGATATGTACCGGTAGTTTTAAATGGGTTGTGGTAATGGTTTTAATATAGATATGTACCGGTAGTTTAAGTGGGTTGTGGTAATGGTTTAATATAGATATGTACCGGTAGTTTTAAGTGGGTTGTGGTAATGGTTTAATATAGATATGTACCGTAGTTTTAAGTGGGTTGTGGTAATGGTTTAATATAGATAAGTACAGGTAGTTTTAAGTGGGTTGTGGTAATGGTTTAATATAGATATGTACCAGTAGTTTTAAATGGGTTGTGGTAATGGTTTAATATAGATATGTACCGGTAGTTTTAAGTGGGTTGTGGTAATGGTTTAATATAGATATGTACCGGTAGTTTTAAGTGGGTTGTGGTAATGGTTTAATATAGATATGTACCGGTAGTTTTAAGTGGGTTGTGGTAATGGTTTAATATAGATATGTACCAGTAGTTTTAAGTGGGTTGTCATTAAAAACCTGTTCCAATAATTTTAGTTACCTGTTTGTATTCCGTAAAATAGACGTAACTCTTCAAAAGTGGTATTAGTTTTCATTGTTTTTGTTTATTAATTTTTAAATATTGTCGTTGTCATTATTATTTGTTAATGAAGAGTAGGTAATTTTTTTTAGACGTTTATAATGGTAAACGAAAATTTGAACCCGACAGAAAGTTCACGAGGTTCCAGGTGTGTTTTACTTATCGCAATATTTGATAACATTAACTCTTCTCTGATTGTGTGTGTGAACGTGAGGGGTGAATGACGGGAGGGAACGATGGACGAGCGTGACACTTTGGTCTCCCCCACACTGGACGAGACTCCCGCCATTATTAAGGCTACATAACATATGGTTGGCAACATTTCCATGGAAGCCCCGCCGAGCTTTCTACAATAGTGTTGCCTCCACTCACAATCGATTTTTTTTTTTGCTTGAGAGAAACTAATATGTCTGGGAACCGAGCGGCGTTAAATTTCACTTTCTGGTTTTGAAGGAGACATGTAGTTGAAGGCGGGTAAATGATTAATTAATGTTTAGGTATATAAGACAACATGGCACCACAGATATCAGTCAGCTGTGAGTCCATGGCCGTGAATGTGGGCTGCGCTGCCACATCTCCGGCCTTCAACACCAGCTAATTTACACCTGTTATCCCTCCCTGATAACGCTATAATTAACGCATTAATAATACAATCATACACCAATCACCCTTACTGTCACTTAATTAACGGATAAATATGAATAACCAGAGACATTCACACACTCCAGTATCACGCATTAGTCGCCGCCGCTACCACAGAACAAGAACTGTGACGAAATATTATTGCCATTCTTGACATGACTAATAACATAGTACATTATGGACGCTTACATAACTACAGTAGTCATGACAGTGATATAAGACCAGTAAAGGGCGATGTGTCCCGTGTTCTGGCCTTGAACACCCCAGGCTGAGTGTGTGAGTGTGTGCGGCTTCCCCCTCACACACCCACACACACAAATGCATATCCATGACTGCATAGAGGCATTGTTGTGTACATATAAATACGCATGAAAGCATATTAAAAGCGCACTTAAGCTGCTTCTTTACACATAATTCCACCCCAAATTCATTTCCTTCATTATATATATCATAATGTCATACAAATATGGATTGAATCACTGAAAAAAAACCGGGTGTCTCAAACTGTATGTACAGGATCTACACGAGAAGTTATCGGGACTTGAAAGTTATCGGATATTGAAAAACAGATAACGGATCCTGAAGAACAAGTATCGGATCTTCTAGTACAAATATCGAATCGACAAATACACACTAAGAAAATTCAATATCGGATCTTCGAGTATATCGGAAATTCAAGCCGATTTTACTGAATATTTATCTATCTTAGTTTAATTTTCATATAATAAAACAAATTTTCAGATATACAGTAAATTATAACCATTACATTATTATTATAAAGTGATTCTAACATTACAACTAGACCGATATCCGATATTCATGTTTACTGAGCCAGACAAGTTAGCCGTGATTATTGTCTGAACTCGAGCTTTTTTATTTAACTTGACGCAGTAACAAACTCCAGATATGTACATAGTTGACTGAGTTATTGCCCTTTGAGATACTTGTAAACTATTAAAGCAACCCTTGCCTGTATAAATTGACAACTGAAGATGCTCTCGTCTCTTGGTAAAGGAGTTATGTCTCTTTAAAGAATCAATTTGTATTTACTATATTGTACTCGTGATACATTATTCTAAGTATATCTATACAAACTGTGAGCCACGCATACTGACATACATACTTTGGTATTTTTTACAGTGGGGAAAGGGGTAGGAGGAGGGGGGGACGGCACAAGGTACACAATACTTGAGTTAGTGAACACAACGGTAGGTTTTAAATTCTCTTCCCCAGCCGTCAAGTTAACATTGGTGAGTAGCGGTTCTAATACCGTTACTACCACAGGTTAACTAGTGCCAATTTCTCTATCTTGCGGGGGGTTTAAAATGTCTTGTAATACTAGTAAAGCAAGGATTTATTATCTTTGGGGGGGGGTTGGTGAGTGTTTGTATGTCAATGATGTTTTAATAATGAAAGCAAGTTGATGGTTGTGAACTTTGCGCGGGATATAGTGATGTTTCCTCTTGCTGTCGTCAACGCGCGGTGTTGCCAAAAGGTCATTATTTTAACCTCTTTTATTTATTCCACTCTGATTATACACATCTTATTATACGGAATATTATATGAATTTTAGTTTAAATCCACAACTGAAAGGAAAATACAAATATCGATAATAATAACAATAATACAAAGACTTCACCAAAATATGTGGCAACAAATGAATGTCCGCCAAAGCAATGCGGAAATACGATTGATGCCAAACGGTATATTTTTGAACTATTTTTTCTCCGACTTTACAACTCTTAAACATAAACTTGTAAAGCGTTATTTATGTAATATTTATATTTCTTCTCATTTTGACACAATCTTATATATTTTGAAAAGCCGGAAGACGAGAAAATAAGTACATAATGGCAACACAAGTCACCACCATCAAGCATCGTCATGTTGCCGACATTTAATTTTTTTATCGTTTCCTATTTTATTTTAACGATTATCATACACTATCCCTTTCTCTTCCGTATTACACTTTCATTCTAACATGGCGGAAGAACAACGTTAAGCCTCATGGAGGAAATAGACACGTTAATAACAATAATAAGCATAATATATGATAAATTTGGCAACTGCATCTTTACCTGAATCCACTAATTAATTCACCTGCGTTGTAAAGCCAAATCCGTATATATCATTAACGTTTAAATTTAACATCCGACTCTACTACTAAATTATACATCAGGAGGAAACTTTTCAGACGTAATTGATCTATTTCAGCGAGAGAAATCGACACAATAGACCGAAATGGCGGACCTTTGACGTAATGACTCTTTTCCTGCCTTTAATAAGAGTGTCTGTGGAACGAGGTCATTAATTTTTACCTTAATGGGTATAGAAAGAGAGAGAGAGAGAGAGAGAGAGAGAGAGAGAGAGAGAGAGAGAGAGAATGAATTTTAGTTAGCATATAAATTAAATAATACTGCAACAATAACAAATAAACTGTAAATAACAATGAATAAGATGATGATAATAATAATGATAATAATAATAACACCCAAACATTATATAAACGTGTAAGAAAATTATTGTACCAAAGGAGAAAATTTATGACCCCTGGCATATAAATGACCTTCTGGCGGCGGCATCAGGAACTATTTTTGTTTGGTGTTGCTGAGTTTATCTTTTGTTTTTTGTTTTTCCGTGTTTATCAACCATATTAAATCTAGCTTTTGTTTACCTGTATTGTATATCCATTTAGCTTGTTATAATTAATGTGCATAAACGAAATTGTATTCTGAATTAACGTAGCTATATTAACAATTTATGAAGCTATACTAAAATAATATGAAGCGCTAACAATAATTAAGAAGCTAAACTAAAAATTTATAAAGCTATACAAGAAATTAATGAAACAACAGAGATCACAATTAACGAATAATTTACAATATGAATAAAAATTTACAGTTTACATTTTTTTTTCTCCCAGGCGGACCAGTGACGCCCTCAACCCGCCACCATGGTTATAGTCACCAGGGTAAGTTGTTCCTTTGTGACGTCACAATCTATCACGTGGATGGTGTTTATGTATGACGTCACAATCTAATACGTGGATGGTGTTTATGTATGACGTCACAATCTAGTACGTGGATGGTGTTTATGTATGACGTCACAATCTATCACGGATGCAATCAATGTTTGTTTGTTGTTTATAAGTGTTTAAGGTTTCGTTTGTGGATTAATTGAAAGGAAATGAAATGATATTATAGATTATTTCCTTGGGTGTGATTCCTCAGATGATTATGATACTTCGTTAATATTTCCCACCAATATTATCTCCATCTTCCGTTATAAATTCAATATATTTACTGCATTACAACAACGAATTCTTTATTTAATATTTAGAAATTAGATAGAAGGAGAAAATAACGTATAAATTAGTAAGAATCCGCGTAAACTGGACTTTTAATTTATCGATACGCTTGGCACCTCAATAAATACCATCTATTGAACTGATTATGATAATGTTAGTTTAATGTTCTTTTGTTATGAAGGCTTTGTTGGGAGTGTTTTTATATCACTGCATTAAAGAAAAAGAGAGAGAGAGAGAGAGACGACAGGACAGAGATATAATCGAGCGAGAGAGAAAAGAGAGAGGGGAGGGGAGGGTATATCATTAGCAGGGTTTAGAAAGATAAGATATATTATGTATCTTATCGTTATCAGCTGGGCGAACAAGGCATTCCCAGTACTGACGGTAACAGCAGTGCAGTGTGTGACGAGCTACTTTGTCCCCTCTCCGTCCGTCTGCCGTCTTTCTCCCGTCACCTACTGGATAGAAAAGGTGGTGGATAGTGATGGATAGTGCTGGTAGACGGGTTGTGGTGGATGGTGGTGGTGGTGGTAGATGGTGGTAGACGGGTAGTGGTGGTGGTAGACGGGTGAAAAGACAGAAGAGCGAAGACAAGACCTAGAAATTGACAGTGACAAATCGAGGATGCCTCCGTTTAAACCCCTAGACAGTATTGCGACAGATTTAAAGGTCCCCGTCACTCGGTGTGTGGTATAGACAGTGCCTTGACAGTCATTATAGACAGTATATCTAGACAGTAACCGACGGAGAAAAGCAGCTGGAAAGATGTCACCCAGAGCGAAAAATCGATGGGTGATGTCATGATGCGAGGAACTAGTAGTGTTTGATGTCGAGTCTAGATTAAGAGTTAGTGACACACAGAAGCAAATAGGAGAAAAGAAACATAGAAAACAGTGTGTTTGTTTCTGTATGTGTATGTGTGTATGTGTGTGTGTATGTATGTATGTATGTATGTATGTATGTATGTATGTATGTATGTATGTATGTATGTATGTAGTGCTTATATATCCCCTGTAGAATGTAATGTACACACGCCTGAGAATCAACACAAGTTAAAATATAGACAGACACAGACAGAAGACAGACAGACAGACAAGCAGACAGACACAGCAGACAAGCAGACAGACAGACAGACAGAACGTGACGGTTAAAATTTGGTTTATATAGAACAAATTTACTCCATAAAATGTAAATAAAATAAAAATTACATGGAGTTGAATTCAGTGCAAAAAAAAAGTGTAATTGAAAAATGTAACGAATTGACGGGAAAAATTAATCTATATTCAGAAAGAACAATACAGGTATACACTATAAATCTGTCAAAGTGAGATAGTACATAATCAAAGTATTGTACGCGGGGGGGCCAAGGACCTTCCCCTTATCTCTTGCGATATGGCAAAGGATAAGAAGGAGAAGGAGAATGATAACGATGAGAAGGACAAAGGAAAGAAGAAGAAGGATGCAGGACAACATTTTTTCCCGGTAAGTTTAATTTTCCTCATAACTGGTGATGTGAGAACGTATCTAACTGACTCATTAAGCTACCACACAAAGATGGATTCTCAAAGGTTCCAAGTTCAATTTCTCCTAATTGGTGATGAGAACGTATAACTGACTCATAGCTACCACACAAAGATGGATTCTCAAAGGTTCCTAAGTTTAATTTTCCCTAACTGGTGATGGAGAACGTATCTAACTGACTTAAGCCCCACAAGATGGATTTCAAGGTTCCTAAGTTTAATTTTCCTCATAACTGGTGATGTGAGAACGTATCTAACTGACTGAGAGTGACTTGTCCTGGTGAATTTAAGAACCTGGTGATCTATTCCAGTGATATTTTGATGGGTGGTGATCTTAAGACATAATTGTGATCTACCCTAGTGAAATTATACTCTTGGTGACGTGTCCTGGTGAAATTCTAATAGCTAGTGACTAATCCTGGTGAGTTTAAACTTGGGTGATCAAATCTAGTGATATTTTATGGGGTGCACTAAAATTGATGATCACTTGTGTTGATATACTCTTGGGTGACATATCTTGGTGAATTTAAACCCTGGTGATCCACTCCAGTGAAAATTATACAGGTGGGTAAGGTACTACGCGAGGTGAACAGCAGGTAAGGTGTCCAGTTTTTTTAGTGTGTTACGAGAGACAAGAATATACTGTTGTTTTTAAAAGGGCAGACGATAACGTGTGAAGAGAGAGAGAGAGAGAGAGAGAGAGAGAGAGAGAGAGAGAGAGAGAGAGAGAGAGAGAGAGAGAAATGTTAATATTTGTCGCTCTAAAGGTACAGTAATACATTGTTTTAACTCCCCTCTTTCGCTTCCTTCTTCCTCTCTCTCTCTCTTCACACAGTCACACTCACACACACCACACACACACACACACACACACACACACACACACACACACACACACACACACACACACACACACACACGTTTCCCCCTGAAGCTCTTCTATTCTCATTTCTCTCTCTGATTGCTATGACATTTTCACCTGGCTATATCCTCCCCCCCTTTCCCTCTCCCTCCCCCTCCCTCCCTTCCCCAGCCTCTCTCCCTTCCTTCCCCACCCTCTCCTCTTGCATCCCCATCCTCCCTCCCTCCCTTCCCCCCTCCCATTTCCTCCCTCTCACCCAAGATACTATATTCTGGGCTGCATCTCTCTCTCTCTCTCTCTCTCTCTCTTCTCTCTCTCATATCTGCATTGATAATCTATTTGTCTCGTTTCAACTATCTCGTTATCGCTTCCGCCCAAATAGTTTTTCTCTCTCTCTCTCTCTCTCAACCACGAGTTCAACACCTGTCCTCAGCATCTGTCGCACGCATGATATACCACCCTTTATATCCCCAATCCCACCCCTCACCTCTCCTCTGTCCCAATTTCTCATTATACCCACCACTTCCTCCACCCCGCCCATGCAGCACTCACGCCCACCAAAACCCACCCACGCCCACCCTATCATAATGTTTCCACCACTCAATAATATTAACTTCAAAAACATCATCAAAAAGGCAATTTCTTTCCTAATATCTAAGTTTATTATTATGAAATGATTATAGAAGGTAGTATAATAAGTTAAATTATCTAGGAAAGGGATATAATTCCAGAAATAATCGCTCACAGTATAACTTGTTGCCTTATATTCTAGATCACATCCGTGGAGAAAACAATAAGGTTTTTAGAAAGGATAGTCCAAGGGTTCAGGTGTTATCGTTCAGCGAGGAGGGATGAAATTCTCTCCCAGCATCAAGAAATATATTTTGTCCTTATCTGGATATAATGAGGATTTTTTATATCTTATATTTACGTTAAAACATCCAGAATATAATACTATAATCACATCAAAAACTAAACTTAAATATAATCTAACTAAACAATAATTTACACGAACGATATGTTTTTTTCTGATGGATTTCACCAGTTAATCCCCCTCATGATTCCGGATTACCTAGGAACGAACACAAATGAGGATTCCTGAGCGATGGTTATGGATGTTTTCGGAAGTGAGCAAAGGCCATGTTGTGGAATATTGAACCGGAATTAGTGATGAGGGGAGGGGAGGTCCTACTGACTGACTCCTGGTAGTCTATGTTGAGCACCTAGTCAGTCTCCATTGTTTGTCTATAGAGAGAAGTAACTGGTTGTAGTCATTCCCTTCAGATACCAGTCCGTGTGTGTGTGTCTGTCGGGCATGTGTTAGTGTTCCGTCGGGGGTGCGTTAAGTGTATCCGTTCGGTGTGCGTTAAGTGTATCCGTCGGGTATGTGTTAAGTGTTTGCCGGGGCATGTTAAGTGTTCCGTCAAAAGTTAAGTATCTGTCGGGGTGCGCGTTAGTGTATCCGTCGGTGTGAGCGTCAAGTGCACCGTCCACACGTCCGTCGAAAAAAATTAACCTAACCCCATGGATATAAGGGTCCCAGTTTTACATTAATAGGACAAGCACAGATTAGTGTGTGTGTGTGTGTGTGTGTGTGTGTGTGTGTGTGTGTGTGTGTGTGTGTGTGTGTGTGTGTGTGTGTGTGTGTGTGTGTGTGTGTGTGTGTGTGTGTGTGTGTGTACAAAAAAGGGAGGGAGAGGAAGATGAGTCACTAGTCCATTGGGTTTGGGAGGACCACCAGAGCGTTGAGTACTGTGTGTGTGTGTGTGTGTGTGTGTGTGTGTGTGTGTTTGTGTGTGTGTGTGTGTGGTGTGTGTGTGTGTGTGTTGGTGAGGGTGTGTGTGTGTGTGTGTGTGTGTGTTGGTGTGTGTGTGTGTGTGTGGTGAGGGTGTGTGTGTGTGTGTGTGTGTTAGTATTACGTAACAGACCAGTTGTTTTCACCGTAAAAATGACGAAATTATTTACACCAAGAAAACACAGATTTATTTACATTAATTAAACTCTATAAAAATCCCAGTGTCTCGTGGGTAGTCCTGTGACGGCCGTAACACGACGTCACGTGAAAGCTAGCGAAGATTGTGACGGTAATGTGACGATTCTTACAACAGGTGGTGATAATTATTGGGAATTCTGTGGATTTTGCCTCACAAGAGTTTACGCTGGGATACTACTTTTGTGGCGGAGTGTGACGCTAAAGTGTTACGGTGATGTGACGGCAATGATTTAGCGCTCTGATGTTTGTGGAGTTTCGCCTCCCTGAAGCTACGTGTGGCAAGCAAAGGACCTTGTGACGGAAAGTGACGCTCGTCTTAAGACTCCTGCTGCCCTGTGTGACGCCCAGGATGTGACGGTGATGAACGGTGAGAGAGACCACGAGGTGACGTGTGTCGAGGAGCGCCACTACCTGCACCGTCTGCTGAGTCGAGGTGGTGGTAGTGGTGTTAGAGACGCCTGCACCACTTCCCCGGCGACCTTTAAGGCATCGCTCCCCTTCCACTGACCTTATCCGCTTCGAGGCAGATGGCTTTGTGGTGGACGAGCGAAAGACGTGCATGAACGGCGGGGCGCTGAAACCATCGTCAGTAGAATCCACAGCCAACGGACGTATCATCTCTGCCACACTTGATCCTCGAACTCGTGATCTGGGGTCATCCAAGGGCATCAGCACCACTCAGCACCAAACTAGTGACCTGACCCACCTTGACACCATGGTTCAGGGCCAGACGGACACCCATGAAGGCCAGGAAGGTGAAAGTAGAATCACAGAAGCAGGTGACAGCGATGGAGAGTCTCACATCAGGCGTCTGGCAGAAGCTCAGTCAAAACAATTTCGTCAGGAGATGGACTGAGTTCTCCCACGATTCCTGTGACAGCACCAACGGGATATAAACGGCCTGAGAGATATTCCCCGATAGGAGGAAACCAGTCAACCAGTGTCCCATCTACAACAGCACCGTCAGGAGAAAGAATAAGTTCTCACAAGACCCCTACAACCAAAACCCCACCAGTAGCATCAACAAGAGACAAACACGCACCCAGAACAACACACCCGTCAAGACAACGACCCTCATCACCAAACGACCAGGCGACTACCACCTACTGTACCACCCAGAGACGACAGGTGGAGATGTAGTGTCGTCCAGGAGAAAGTCAACATCTACGAGACTCCAGAGCTGAGGGAAAACGCTGCCTTCAGACACTACACAGCTGGGGGCGTGAGCGTGGTGGTGGACCCGGAGAGGCAGGACGGCACCTGGAAGCCCCCAGCACTAGACGAGTCTGCTAGTGTAGACTTCTTGACAGCTAGAGGGGTGGGTGTTCCTTCTGCTGCTACAACTGCATGGTGTTTGGGTAGGGTGTAGATAGGGTGTGTAGGCAGAAGGTGTAGGGTGTATGTAGGGTGGTTCACAGGGTGTTGCTTTATGGCGTAGGAAGGTTGTACAGGAGCGACGAAAATTACCCCAGAGAGAGAAAAAAAAAAAAAAAGAGAGAGAGAGAGAGAAGAGAGGACCTGACGGCAGTTCGTAATAACCCACAAACACTAACCTTCAACAAACTCCGTATTTCAACCTCTTTAATAACACGTAATAAAAACTAGAAGAATTACTTTATTTTTTTCTTCTTTATTATTTTTCATTTATTAATAGCAGTTAGGTGAACGAGTGTTAGGATCATGTGAAGATTAGACACCCCAGTTATAGTATTGGGATCATGTGAAGATTAGACACCCCGGTTAGTGTTAGGATCAAGTGAAGATTAGACACCCCAGTTATAGTGTTGGGATCATGTGAAGATTAGACACCCCGGTTAGTGTTGGATAAGGAAGATTAGACACCCAGTAAGTGTTGGGATCAAGTGAAGATTAGACACCCCGGTTAGTGCTGATCATGAAGATTAGACACCCCTTGATGTTAGATCATGAAGATTAGACACCCCAGTTATAGTGTTGGGATCATGTGAAGATTAGACACCCCTGATTATTTCATCTGATGATTAAACACCGACTCGCTAATCTAACCTGGACTAACTTAATCTACCATGACATTAATCTAACATAACTCAACCTAATCTAATCCAAACACACACAGAGGGACACAAGGTAGAGAGAGAGAGAGAGAGAGGGAGAGAGAGAGAGAGGAGGGGGGACTAAGCTATGTTGTTTATATTGGGGTGACGGGGAACAGGTGTGTGTGTGTGTGTGTGTGTGTGTGTGTGTGTGTGTGTCCTGGACTTAGTGGACGACGTATTGGAGGAGAGATAATCGTATTTTCAGCCATTATGCACAATATGGCCCTTGGACATAGTGGCACCGTGGGGGAGGGAGGGGGTGCACCTTTAAACCCAACCTTGTTCTGCTTCAGGTAGGATCAGGTGTCGTGAGGTATAATTAGTGAGAGTATTTGAATGCTGGTCACCTTGAGGAGGAGGAGAGAGAGAGAGAGAGAGAGAGGTGTGTGTGTGTGTGTGTGTGTGTGTGAGTATGTGTGTGTGTGTGTGTGTGAGTATTAGTGTGTGTGTGTGTGTGAGTAGTTGGTGTGTGTGTGTGTGTGAGATTAGTGTGTGTGTGAGTATTATGTGTGTGTGTGTGTGAGTATTATTGTGTGTGTGTGTGAGTATTAGTGTGTGTGTGTGTGAGTATTAGTGTAAGTAGTAAACCTAAATAAGAGGTCAAAACAGGTCAAGTAATGTTTAATAAGGTCATGCTAAAGGTCACGCTCCATTGGTCTTAACGTCGTGTATATCTCATTATTTTTTTTAATTATTCAATACTTGGGGATTTTTTTTTTGTAAAGGCAATTCCTGATGTTGGAGTCTGAGTAATAAAATATCCTAATGACTCGAAAATAATTAATTACTTTTGTAGTTTTAATTAATTGTCATCTTTGATTTTTAGGCCAATTACGTGGACTGGGTAATTAAGTATGCTAATGACACGGAAATAATTCACATTTTGTAGTTTTAATTAATTGTCATCTTTGATTTTTAGGCCAATTACGTGGACTGGGTAATTAAGTATGCTAATGACACGGAAATAATTCATTACTTTTGTAGTTTTAATTAATTGTCATCTTTGATTTTTAGGCCAATTACGTGGACTGAGTAATAAATATGCTAATGACTCGAAAATAATTAATTACTTTTGTAGTTTTAATTAATTGTCATCTTTGATTTTTAGGCCAATTACGGACTGGGTAATTATACCACGGGAAATAATATTTTTTGTAGTTTTAATTGTCACCATGAATTACTAGGACTTTGAGTAATTAATTATTCTAATGACTTAGAAATATTTAATTACTTTATAATTAATCAACATCTGGATTTTTATAGCAATTTCTGGTGTTTTGGTTAAATTCTGGTTGTACTGAAGGAAGTGGCGCAGTAAGAAAGTGGCAGGAAAGTAGCAAGAAAGTGGCAGGAAAGTAGTAAGAAAGTGGCAGGAAAGTTTAGAAAGTGACAGCAAAGTTAGGAAAGTGGCAGTGAAGTGTAGAAAGTGTCAAGAAAGTAAAGAGAACAAATTCTATTAATTGTTGTCTGCTTGCCCACCTCCCCCCCCCCAACACGAGAGAGAGAGAGAGAGAGAGTTGGAATATCCACATTTATTTGTTCATATATTCTCTCTATCTGTCTGTCAGTGAGTTTATCTGTCAGTGTATTTTACTTTCTGTCTGTTAGTGAGTCTGTCTGTCTATCTCTCTATCTATTTCTCTATCCATCTATCCATCTATCAATCTATCCATCTATCTCCGTTAATACACAAGCCAACCTAACAGTACCCACTTCTCTCACCAGGTGGACTACATATGGTTAGAGCTAATTTATCCTTCCATCTATCCCTCTAACCATCTATCCATCCATCCATCCATCCCTCTAACCATCTATCCATCCATCTATCTCCATCACTACACAAGCCAACCTAACAGCACCGACTTCTCTTACCAGGGGGACTACACATGGATCGAGCTAATTTATCCATCCATCTATCCCTCTAACCATCTATCCCTCTAACCATCTATCCATCCATCTATCTCCAACCTAACAGCACCCACCTCTCTCACCAGGGGGACTACATATGGATCGAGCCAGTATCACGCAGGGAGTTCGACGTGGCCATTGGAGCTCGGGTGGTGAGCGCTGAGGGGCGACGAATTCAGGTACAAGACGACGACGGCCAGGTGAGTCTTAATGAGGTCTTCTTGATTAGTTCTTCAGGTAATACAGGTGTGTTTGTTGATGTTGATTTGATCTGTTTGTTTTTATTGTACCTATACATACATACATACATACATACATACATACATATATACATACATATCTATATACATACAGTACATCTATTCTTAATTTGATATCCATACATACTTACATATACAATGCTTACTGTATATACTTGTATAATACACACAATGCTCACACATACATATAATATACATACATACATACACACACAGAACACACACAGAACACACACACAGCACACAAAGAGAGACACACACACATATAATATACATACATACACACACAGAACACACATACACACACACACATCAACCAACAGGTGTTTGTGTGTACCTAACCATTAATCCCCGCCCAGTAGAGGTTGTGAGGTTCATTGTAATCATGTTTGTTTGTTTGTCTGTCTGTAACCTAACTTAACCTAACCTAACCTAACCTAACCTAACTTAACTTAACTTAATCTAATCTAATGTATTACCTTAATATAAACGTATTTTAACATAACCTAACCTAAATCACTGTAATTTAACCTATCCTAACCAAAACTAAACCCAACCAAACCTAACACAACTAAACCCAACCAAACCAAAACTAAACCCAACCAAAACCTAACCTCACCAAAACCAAACACAACCAAACCTCAACCAAACACAACCAAAACCTAACCAACTTCCACCTTGACCAGGAACAATGGCTGACCCCAGAGAGACGTATCAAGGCGATGCACCCCACATCAGTTCAGGGGGTGGAGGACATGATATCTCTGGGGGACCTCCACGAAGCTGGGATCCTCCGTAACCTCCTTATAAGATACAACGAGAACCTCATATACGTGAGTAATTATCTGGGGGAAGGGGTGTTTAGGGGAAGGAGGGTGTTTGAGAAAGGGGTGGGGAAAGGGGAGAAGTGTTTGGGGGAAGGGAGGGGGTGTTTGGGGGAAGGGGAGGGGTGTTGGGGAAGGGGAGGGAGGGTGTTTGGGGAAGGGAGGGGGTGTTTGGGAAGGGGAGGGGTGTTTGGGGGAAGGGGAGGGGGTGTTTGGGGAAGGGGAGGGTGTTTGGGGGAAGGGGAGGGGGGTGTTTGGGGAAGGGTAGGGTGTTTGGGGAAGGGTGTTTGGGGAAGGGGAGGGGTGGTGTTTGGGGAAAGGGAGGGGTGTTTGGGGAAAGGGGAGGGGTGTTTGGGGGAAGGGGGTGTTTTGGGGGAAGGGAGGGTGTTTGGGGAAAAGGGGAGGGAGGGTGTTTAGAGGAAGGGAGGGGGTGTTTGGGGGAAGGGGAGGGTGGTGTTTGGGGGAAGGGAGGGGGTGTTTGGGGGAAGGAGGGTGTTTGGGGAAGGGGAGGGGTGTTTAGGGGAAGAGGAGGGGTGTTGGGGGAAGGGGAGGGGTGTTTGGGGAAGGAGGGGGGTGTTTGGGGGAAAGGGGAGGGGGTGTTTGGGGAAGGAGGGTGTTTGGGGAAGGGGAGAGTGTGCAGAAGGGGAGGGGTGTTTTGCAGGGAAAGGGGAGGGGTGTTTGGGGGAAAGGGAGGGGGTGTTTGGGGGAAGGGGAGAGTGTTTGGGGAAGGGGAGGGGTGTTTGGGAAGGAGGTGTTTGGGGGAAGGGGAGAGTGTTTGGGGTGTTCAAGTATGTCTGGGGTATTGGGGTATGAATGGGGGGTACTTTGGGGTATCTCAGGGGTGTTTGGGGGCAGATATGGGATAATTTTAGGGGGAGAGAGAGAGAGAGAGAGAGAGAGGGTCCAAGAATGCTTTATCATTTTATCTTGGCTTCTACTCTAATCAGCTGCCTATAATTGTGCCACTGATTGTATATTTAGACCCCAGACTTAACAGACCCTAGTTCAAATAGACCCCAGGACAGGGCCCATTTAACCTGCAGCTGGTATATTTCTCTCTCTCCCTCTCTCTTTTGTCTCTCATTTATCAGTTTTTTTTATTTCATGTAAACTAAATTAATCTACAAATGTTTACCTACCAGTGCTCTCTCTCTCTCTCTCTCTCTATCAATATATATCGATCTATCTATCAATATCTATCTCTATATATCTATTGATCTACCCATCCATTTATCCATCTATCTATCAATCTATCTATATATCTATTGATCTATCCATCTATCCACCTCATAACAAAGCCTATACCCGTAAAACAGACATACACCGGATCCATCTTGGTGGCAGTGAATCCGTACCAGATCCTACCCATCTACACCGTGGACCAGATCAAGCTGTACAGGGGGAAGAAGATCGGAGAGTTACCGCCCCATATCTTTGCCATCGGTGACTCTTGCTACAATAACATGAGACGTTTTAAGCAAGACCAGTGCATCGTTATCAGGTATGGTTAAAAATTTTCCCCCTTCCTTCCCTCCCTCTCCTTCTCTCCTTCCCTCCTCTCCTCCTTCCTCCAACTCCCTCCAATGCGTAATTCACTCCATAAAGGATCTTCACGGAGGGGATCAATGAATCTCAAAATGAACACCTCGACTCCTGTTGTCTCAGTAGGGTTGTCAAAATCCTCGTAACGCAAATCATATGCGTAATTAAAGAGTGTGTACGTTATGGATTGGGTAATTGTTGTGGTTTTGCCATTCGCTTAATAATAAATTGATATATTAGCGATACCCTGGAACTGAGCGATACCCTGGGACTAATCAGCGAGTGAATCAACGACTATAAATACCTCCCACTGATACTCAAGACGTGTACTGTAATGGCCTCACGTGATGCTATGCGAGGTTGTTTTTTTCCTATAAGGTTCATAATTGTATATTTACGATAATCTGGGGTTACGAGCGTGTGAGTTACCTCGTCTAAGTACATCTGGCAACTTGTATAACCTTCACTTCTTGTTGATTAATGACTTTGAGCTTTATTTCATTCGATTCATAAATAAATAATATAATTACTAATACTCTGAGCTTATGAGGTTAATATTGCATTCATCACCTTGTATAAATACCCCGTCTCCTACCTTATAGTCAATCTCCATCTCTATCTCCTATCTTATAGTCAATCTCCATCTCTATCTCCTACCATATAGTCAATCTCCATCTCTATCTCCGTCTCCCACACAGCGGAGAATCAGGCGCAGGGAAGACGGAGAGCACCAAGCTAATTCTCCAGTATTTAGCAGCGATCTCCGGGAAACACTCCTGGATAGAGCAGCAGATCCTGGAGGCCAATCCCATTCTGGAAGGTCAGTAATATGGTAGTTTAATATTCTGGAAGGTCAATCATGGTAGCTAAGCTTTCTGGAAGGTCAATCATGGTAGTTTAGTATTCTGGAAGGTCAATTATGGTAGTTTAGTATTCTGGAAGGTCAATTATGGTAGTTAAGCTTTCTGGAAGGTCAATCTGGAAGGTGGTAGTAAGCTTTCTGGAAGGTCAATCATGGTAGTTTAGTATTCTGGAAGGTCAATTATGGTAGTTTAGTATTCTGGAAGGTCAATTATGGTAGTTAAGCTTTCTGGAAGGTCAATCATGGTAGTTTAACGTTCTGGAAGGTCAGTGGTATGGTAGTTAAGCATTGTGTGAATTCAGTGATATGACAGACAGACGGACAGATAAGTACAGTAACCCCCCCCTCCCCCCTATAACAAGTGATATGACAGTACAGTACCCCCCCATGACAGCTCCCTACACGTACAACCTACAAACTGGTCATGACGTCAAGACTTTAGTCGCATTCAATTACGTCAATATCTAGACAAATTGATGACTCGAGATCATGTTGTGATGACGTCAATGCCTCACGTCGATTAAGTTTGTCAATAGAAACGTTGGAATAGTCGTAAGTCTGTTATTATTATGTATATCTGTTGTGTGATACTATGGGCGTGGATGCATAGATTTGAGCAATAATTCAGTTAATGAGGCATAGATTTAGACCATTATCCAGTAATAGGGTCCATTATTAACCATTAAATCACCCTCACCCCCTTAACTACTAAATCACCCTCACCCCCTTAATCACTAAACCACCCTCACCCCTAACCACTCTCAACCCCCCTTCCCCACAGCCTTCGGTAACGCCAAGACGATCCGTAACGACAACTCATCGCGTTTTGGCAAATACATCGACATCCACTTCACCAAAGACGGGGTCATCGAGGGAGCCTCCATAGAGCAGTACCTCCTGGAGAAGTCACGCCTCGTCTCTCAGGGCACGGACGAAAGGAACTACCACATCTTCTACTGTATGTTGGCGGGCATGACTCGGGAGGAGAGGCAGAAGCTGGAACTGACGGACGCATCTCAGTATAAATATCTGACAGGGGTAGGTGAAGACAGTATACATATCTGAGTTAAGTATACATATCTGACTGGGGTAAGTGTCGACAGTATCAATATCTGACTGGGGTAAGTGTCGACTGTATACCGGTAAATATCTGTCTGGGGTAAGTGACGATAATATCAATATCTGTCTGGGGTAAATAACAAAGTTTATTATACCCCTGAGAGAAAGCTTAGGGAGGGGGAGGTGGGCATATAGCAATTGTTTCTTTGAGTCCTTCGTTTATCTGTCTGTAGATACTTGGAATCTTCAGACTAATTAAATTTCAATTGGGTGCATTACAACTAACCTTCTAACATAATTTCTTTGCCAATGGTGAATGAATTCTTTTTTATTTAGTAAGAAATGGCAGCCATCCATTCTACCCTTATGTGTATAGAGTTAGTAGGAGCATATAATTAATTTTTACTACATAATTAAGAAGTGAATTGTCATTTGTAAACCATTTTCACTACAAGAGAACAGGCAGTTGTAAATCATTTTCACTACAAAATTGAGAAGCAAATACAGTATATTCATTTGTAAATCATTTTCACTACAAGAGAACACGCAATTGTAAATCATTTTCACTACACAATTAAAAGGCAAGTATATTCATTTGTAAATCATTTTCACTACACAACTCATAAGTATTGTACAGTATATTCAATTGTAAATAATTTTCACAACACAAAAGAAAAGCAAGCATAGTCATTTGTAGACCAATTCCACTAAACAATTGAAAAGCGACCCATCATTTGTAAATCATTAACCTTCACGCGACCGAGGAAGGAAACGACCACAGCAGAGCAGAAACAAATTAAACGATCCCTCGACACCGTGACGCAACAAATTACACATAGTATGACTGATACACTGATAAGGTATCCTCGGACAACAATGTAACCTGATAAGATGATAAAGTATATAATCAGAAGGTCTTAGCTGGAGGTTGTCATTTATTAGGTTGGGTTGGGTTGGGTTGGGTTGGGTTAAGCTTACTTCTGTTCTCCATAAGCTTCAACACAGAACAATGCCCCATCTCAATTATTAGCTTGGAGACTTAAAACTTTTAGTGATGTTATCCCTTGAGTTTTATGGCACCTGTACTGTCTTGCACCTGTCTCTCTCTCTCACCCCCACTCTCTCTCTCTCACACCCCCCTCTCTCTCTCCCCTCCTTTCTCTCAAGGGGTTGTTATCATACACAAGGGGTTAAGTCATTGTACTCAAAGGGGTAAATCATCATACTCAAGGGGTTAAATCTTTTAACATTTTAATCATTATAAATATTAACGAAAGCCTTTAAATAGAATGGCTCGGCTGACACCCTACACCAAGACCAAAGACAAAAGACCTCATTAACTATCAATAACGACTATTACAAGCATACCCTAACATAGCCCAATATACCCAGACCAATAACAACAGTGTCCATTAAGTCGATAAAAACAAACTAATACGGTAATTATACCTAATATACCCCAATACCTGTATACCGAGAATAAAAACAACAGCTTACGTTTACTCTATAAAAACGAAGTCATACAAACCCAACCCTAATACACCGAAACCCCAAACAAACCGTTCATTAAGTGTCCATAAACAAACCCTAATACAGTATACCTGTACCGTACCCCAGACTAGATAAACACCATGATGTTTTTTTTCCCCCAGGGCGGCAGCATAACTTGCGAGGGGCGGGACGACGCTCGGGAATTCGCCGACATTCGCTCCGCCATGAAAGTTCTGATGTTTAGCGACTCGGAGGTGTGGGAGATTCTGAAGATCCTGGCAGCTACCCTCCATATGGGCAACGTCAAGTTCAAGGGCAAGATTATAGGTAAGGTGGTGGTGATAGGGTAAGATTATAGGCTGAAATTCCCACAAACTCTCAATAAATTCTCACAAAAAACAAATTCTCACAAAAACAATAAATTGCCACAAAAAAACAATAAATTCCCACAAAAAATAATAAATTCTCACACAAAAATCCCAACAGATAATCTTGATGCCTCGGAGATCCCTGACACGACCTCGATGGTGAGGGTGGCGAGGTTCCTGGGTGTTGAGCCGCGGGCCATGAAGGAAGCACTGACCACTCGCACCATCTTTGCCCAGGGGGAGACAGTGGTGAGTACAATGATGGGGGAGAGGGGGACCTGGGGGAGAGGGGGACCTGGGAGAGAGGGGACCTGGAGGGAGAGCAGAGAGGGGACCTTGTCAATACTGTGTCCTGCTGTTTTGTGACCTGGGGAGGGAAGGGAAGGGAAGTGAGAGGAAATGAGGAGAGGCTAGGGATGGGAAGGGGACAGGAAAGAGATTGGAAGAGGAGGAGAGAAGAGAGGAAAGGGGAGGGAAGGAGAGGAAAGAGAGAGAGAGAGAGAGAGAGAGAGAGAGAGAGAGAGAGAGAGAGAGAGAGAGAGAGAGAGAGTAAATGTCTTGCTTGATGCTATATACTAAACACTCTATCTAACCCACAAATTAATATCATTGTAAACAACCTCCACTACAATCCACAGCCGTTGATAAACCGTGAAATAATCCGCCCCGTAATCTCGTAAATCGGCGTGTAAATTAGTCCATGGTCGTTTTTTCCTCGTCAGGTATCTCATCTTAGCCATAGTCAAGCCACGGACGTAAGGGACGCGTTCGTGAAGGGCATCTATGGGCGTCTCTTCATCTGGATCGTCAGCAAAGTCAACGCAGCTATTTATAAGCCCGAGACGTCTCACAGGACATCGATTGGCGTCCTCGACATCTTTGGTTTCGAGAATTTTAAAACCAACAGGTAGGTGTGTGTGTGTGTGTGTGTGTGTGTGTGTGATGTATCATTGCATATTGTAAATTTTTGGGGCTTTGAGAACTATGCTGTAGTAACAAAAGATTATGTTATGGAAAATTTCTTAAGTCCTACTGTAATTCTAAATCTCTTCACCACAGTTTTAAAAGTTAGGATAATTAGAAATAACTTTATCATGAAAAAATCTTACAAATACCATATAAGTTTTCTTGCACCCACAAAACCCTAAACCAAGTGAGTTCATTCTGGTTCTGCCGCCAACAGCTTCGAGCAGTTCTGCATCAACTACGCCAACGAGAACCTGCAACAGTTCTTCGTGCAGCACATCTTTAAGTTAGAACAAGAGGAATATAACTCGGAGAACATCAACTGGCAGCACATCGAGTTTGTGGACAATCAGGACACTCTAGACCTGATCGCCATTAAGCAGCTCAATATTATGGCGCTGGTGGACGAGGAGTCAAAGTTCCCCAAGGTGAGGAAACTTGTTCTCTCTCTCTCTCTGTGTTGCTACTAAACAGACAGACAGACAAGAAGACAGACAGACAGACACCTTTCTCTCTATGTGTGTCCCCTACTAGATAGACAGACAGACAGGAAGACTCACCTCTCTCTCTCTCTCTCTCCCCCACTAGACAGACAGGAAGACACACTTTCTCTCCCTGTCTCCAAAAGCATCCCTCCCCCCCCCCTCATAATAAGAGTTCCCACCAGTGAGAAAACTAATCATCTTCCCTTGAGAAACTTTTCCCTCTCTTCACAAAATTTCTCCTCCTCCTCACCTCAAACTACACCAATCTAGTTTAAGGGCCAAGAGTGGTGTTGGTGGTATAGTATATAGAAATAATGTCCATATCTCTCATCACTATGTCCTGGGTTCATTCCTTACATATCTCTCATCACTGTGTCCTGGGTTCATTCCTTACATATCTCTCATCACTATGTCCTGGGTTCATTCCTTTCATATCTCTCATCACTATGTCCTGGGTTCATTCCTTACCCAGGATAATGTGACCCTACTAACAAGACAGATTTTCTCTAGGTACGGTCAACTAATAAAAACTGTTTGCCTCTCTCAGTGAACCACAAACCTTGAGATTCAGACGCACGAATCCGAAGCATTTATGGACAGAATAACGTATCAATCTACTGCTTCGGGTTCACGAATCTGAATCCCGGGGTTCGTGGTTAAGCGAGAGAGATGAATGGACTTTAGTAGTTGACTTTATTAGTTCCTCCCGTAATAACACTGGAGAATAAAGATCATAACAAAGTAACAACGAACAAACCAAACCTCCGAAATGACTAGTAAATTGATAAACGGTGAAATAATAATAAACAATAACAAGAAACAGTAATTGCACCCCCCCTCTCATGCTTCTCTCAACAGGGCACAGACCAGACCATGTTGCAGAAGCTCCACAAGCAACACTCCAGGCACAAGCAGTATCTCAAGCCCAAGTCGGACCTCAATGCATCGTTTGGTATCAACCACTTCGCTGGCGTTGTGTTCTACGACACCAGAGGTAATGATAGATAGATACCCGGTACACAGATAGATAGACAGATAGATAGATAGGTGAATAGACATACAGTATAAGACAGATAGATAGATAGAGAAATAAATAAGCACAGAGATAAAATAAATACCTGTAAATAAATAGGTGAACAGATAAATAGAGAAGATAGATAAATGAAAGAATAGATAAGACAGAAAAATAGACAGAAAAGATGTCATTAAATCTGCTAAAAGATGTCATTAAATCAGCTAAAAGAAGATGTCATTAAATCTGCTAAAAGAAGATGTCATTAAATCTGCTAAAAGATCTCATTAAATCTGCTAAAAAAAGATGTCATTAAATCTGCTAAAAGATGTCATTAAATCAGCTAAAAGAAGATGTCATTAAATCTGCTAAAAGAAGATGTCATTAAATCTGCTAAAAGATCTCATTAAATCTGCTAAAAGAAGATGTCATTAAATCTGCTAAAAGATCTCATTAAATCTGCTAAAAGATGTCATTAAATCAGCTAAAAGAAGATGTCATTAAATCTGCTAAAAGAAGATGTCATTAAATCTGCTAAAAGATCTCATTAAATCTGCTAAGATGTCATTAAATCTGCTAAAAGAAGATGTCATTAAATCTGCTAAAAGAAGATGTCATTAAATCTGCTAAAAGAAGATAACTTTAAATGTCATTTTTTTTAGAGTCAGAATAGTTCCCTGAGTGATCTCTTCTCCATCACAGGATTCCTGGAGAAGAACCGAGACACCTTCAGTGCTGACCTCCTGCAGCTTATCCACAACACCTCCAATAAGTTCCTCCAACATCTCTTTATTGAGGATATAGGTAAGACTGTGTGTGGGAGGACCTCAAGTAACAAGGTCTTGGTTGGAGGTACGATTGTGTGGGAGGACCTCAAATAACAAGGTCTTGGTTGGAGGTAAGACTGTGTGTGGGAGGACCTCAAATAACAAGGTCTTGGTTGGAGGTACGATTGTGTGGGAGGACCTCAAATAACAAGGTCTTGGTTGGAGGTACGATTGTGTGGGAGGACCTCAAATAACAAGGTCTTGGTTGGAGGTAAGACTGTGTGTGGGAGGACCTCAAATAACAAGGTCTTGAACACCTCTTTGTCCATCCAGGAGGTAAGACTGCTATTCACCCATAGATACTTGTTAATTCAGTTCATCTACAGTTAAACACCAGTTATCCAGTTACTGACATCCTTCCCTGGAACATTAACTCAATTTCTCTTTCCTATCTGACAGGGATGGGATCAGAGACGAGAAAGAGAGCACCGACCCTGTCTGCCCAGTTCAAGAAGTCCCTTGACATGTTGATGAAGACTCTGCTCTCCTGTCAGCCCTTCTTCATACGATGCATCAAGCCAAATGAATTCAAGAAACCGATGGTGCGTAAAAAATTCAAATCACTCGGATAAAAAAATAAACTCCGCATATTTATTCAGTTATGATATATGTGTATTTTACGTCGATTCCTTTATTCTTATCCCGGATTGAGAAATTTCCAGGGTAATTGCGGCGTTATTGTTCCGTTTTCTTTCCTCTACAGCTATTTGACCGTGAGTTGTGCTGCCGTCAACTCCGTTACTCTGGCATGATGGAGACGATCAGGATCCGTCGGGCGGGTTACCCCATCCGCCACACCTTCAGGGAGTTTGTGGAGAGATACAGGTTCCTCATTAATGGGTGTCCTCCTGCACACAAGGTGAGTTATGAGGCCAGAGTAATGAGTAGGTGAGGGAGGTTAATGAGTGAGGGAGGGTGGGTAATGAGGGAAGGAAGGAAGGTAATGAGGGAGGGAAGGAGGGTAATGAGGGATGGAGGATAATGAATAAGGGAGATAATGAATGAGAGAGGATAATAAGTAGGTGAGGGAGGTTAATGAAGGAAGGAGGGAGGATAATGAAGGAAGGAGGATAATGAGGGTATTAATGAAGGAAGGAGGGAGGATAATGAAGGAAGGAGGATAATGAATAAGGGAAATAATGAATGAGAGAGGATAATAAGTAGGTGAGGGAGGAGGTACAATAGATGAGTTGAGTGGATAATAGCCCAGACAAGAATTATCCTCATGGCAGCAGTAGTCACCATAAACGACACAGAACACAACACATTGTTCCAGTGAGCAATAACATGTCACTCAAGGGGTCAAGGGGTCTACTACACCAGTCAATGGCATGGTTAGAGAGGCATTTATCAGTGGTTATATCCTCCCCATAGGTCGACTGCCATGCTGCCACTAGCAAAATCTGCCAGCAAGTGTTAGGTCGGGCGGACTACCAGCTCGGGCACACCAAGGTCTTCCTCAAGGATGCCCACGACCTCTTCCTCGAGCAAGAACGAGACAGAGTTCTGACCAAGAAAATCACGATCCTTCAGCGATGCGTCCGAGGATGGTACTACAGGAGAAGGTGAGTGGCTTAAGGTTGTGTTGTATACTGAGTGTGGCATGAGGAGAATCACTTAGAGAGGGGAGCAGTTGGGATTAGCGGACCTCATCAAGATTGACATTGAAAGAGGAGGGATTACAGATGATCAGTAGGGATTAGCAGACCCCATCTCAAGATTGACGTAAAAAAGTAGGGATTAGCGGATCTCATCAAAATTAACATCGAAAAAGCAGGAATTAGCGGACCTCAACAAGATTATCATCAAAAGAGGACGAACTATATTAAACAACAATTGTAATTCTGGCCACCAGGTTCCAGAAGATGCGAGAGAGTGCCATCATCATTCAGAAGTACTACCGAGCCCACGCCCAGAAGAGACGCTACCAGAACATGAGGGTCGGTTACATGAGACTCCAGGCCCTTATACGTTCGAGGGTCGTGTCTCATCGCTTCAGGCATCTACGAGGACACATTGTCTCTTTGCAGGCGAGTTGTGGGTTGTGTGGGTTGTGGGTTGTGTGGGTTGTGTGGGTTGTGGGTTGTGTGGGTTGTGTTCAATTCTGTGTGAACCTTTGTGTTTTTTCTCTTTTTCTCTCTTTTTTCTGTCTCTTTTTTTTTGCACCTTTGACTGTATGTCTGTCTCTCTTTCCCTCTTTCTCTTTTTATCTGTTTTTGTATGTCTGTCTCTTTTTATGGCTCTATCTCTCTCTCTTTTTGTCTGTCTATCTGTCTTTGTCTTTATCTGTCATTCTCAGTAAGTGTCTCTGTTTATCTCTTCTTATCTATCTGTCTTTGTCTGTCTATTCGTCTGTCTCTATCTCTCATTCTCAGTAAGTCTCTCTAATTATCTCTTTATCTATCTATTTGTTTGTCTCTATCTCTCATCCTCAGTAAATCACTTAAATAAAAGTTAACAGTCAGTCAACAAACCACAATTACTGTACTACTGAGTCTTAATATTCCCCCCCTCCCCACCCCCAGGCACGGTGTCGAGGATATCTGGTACGAAGAGAATTCCTCCGCAAGATGTGGGCGGTGACCAAAATCCAGGCGCAGGTTCGGGGGCTGATAGCGCGTCGCCAGTACCGCAAGTTGAAGATGAGGGTAGAAGCTGCCAGGCTAAAGGAGGAAGAGGAGAAAGTGTTGAGGAAGCAGATGGATAAGCGTAAGGCCAGGGAGATCGCAGAGATGAAGTATAGGGTGAGTATCTACTATAGCCCCCACTCCCTCACCCCCAGTGCATGATGGGTAATGTTCTGGAGGTGATATAGCCCAAGTACAGGGTGTCTCAAAAATGTAAAGGCCTTATATATTTTTTATGGCGATCGTGAGAATGATTCCAATACAACAGCAACATTGTCCTTCCTCACTTGTTAATGTGTGAGGAATAGGCAAAGATCTTTCTCTATCTCCTGTCCATTAGTGGCCAAAACAGCGACAAAACCTTCGCCTATCATTGAGGTTCTGGTCGCCTGTAGACAAATGGTGTCCTCATGATACATAAACAAAATTTTGAGAATATTTTACAGTCAAACTTCTGTATAATATTTTTGTATGTTGTTGATGAACTTCATTAATTTTAGTCTTGGTTGGGATGATCAATTCAGTCGCTCGATTGTAGTTTTATGGATAACGATGGATTTTGATGACAATTGATGTTTTGTACTCGATAAATAACATTGGGTGATACTCGCAGGAACGCATGATGGAAATGGAGCTGGCGGACGAACAGCGGGCAGTCGAGGAACGGGAGATGATGGACCGCAAGAGAGCCCTGGTATTGGAGGCCGAGAGACAGAGAGACGAGCCAGTTGACGACTCTAAACTTGTGGAACAGATGTTTGATTTCCTCCCAGACTCCGCCTCCGAAGCCCAGGCGCCTCCGTCGGCCTTTAAGGTACGTGTTGTGATGAATCTGTCAGTGGTGTGTATGGTGGGTAGTTGGGAGGAGCTCACGAATGACACCTCACTTATTTTACTTAATGATTACATACACTAATGCTACCATAACCTAACCTGACCCAACATAGAATGATACAACCTAACCTAATCTCATATGACATAACCCTAACTAACATAACCTAACCTCACTTAACCTTACCTCAGCTAACCTAACCCCCTCATTTAGTATTAGTTTATTTAATCAAGATGAGGCAAGTTCCTGGACAAGAAATAATTACCCAAAATTATGTTTAGAAAATGGAATATGGTCTATAATGGACTACATAGAGGAGAGTATTTCCAATATAATCTACCTGGTATATAATAACAAATATAATTCCCCTACACAGGATCTACCAACAGCCGGGAAGGGAACAGTGTCTGGGGACGACATCATCTCGGCAATACCTCGCCCGGCTGGTGATCAAGACGAAGACCTCTCGGAGTACAAGTTCCAGAAGTACGCCACAACGTACTTCCAGGGCAACGTGAACCACCAGTACTCCAGGAAGCAGCTCAAACAGCCTCTGATGCAGCTCCAGACACAAGGAGATCAGTTGGTAGGGTTCCTCATCTTGGGTGTGTCAGCTAATGCTCTTTAACAGCTGCCATCATCAGTGGAAGTTAGCTGTAAGGATGGTGGCCATTGTCAGTGGACGTTTCATATTCCCTGTGTTCCATTTTTGTACATATGGGGTAAATTAGGGAATCCTTAGCCACTGTTTAAGGGTTAATATCCTCTTCAATTTCTCCAATCAATAAAAATCTAACATGGCCCACATCTCCCTCTCACAGGCGGCCATGGCACTGTGGATCACAATACTCCGCTTCATGGGCGACATGGCCGAGCCCAAGTACCACATGATGGACCGGGACAACACCTCCGTAATGTCCAAAGTCTCCGCCACCCTCGGTAGGAACTTCATCAAGAGCAAGGAGTTCCAGGAGGCTCAGCTGATGGGCATGGATCCTGTAAGTCATGTTGTAAGGGAGCAAGAGGTAAATATTTAATCAGCCGGGCAAATGAGTTGGGGTGTGGTGATGCGTGTGCTTGACGTCGCTTTCCCTCAACCCTCCTTGTGTGCGAGACGTCCGGGCTAAGAGAATCATTGCGTGTGCTTGATGTTGCTTTCCTTAAATCCACTTCTGTGTGAGTTTTACCTTTTACTGGGGTCTGAGTATTGTTGCGTGTGCTTGATGTTGCTTTCCTTAGTGTGAGTCTTCCTCGTATTGTTCCGGGAAAAAGAGACGTAGAGAATAATTAAAGGAATGCGACTTTCTGCATATGCTTCTGCCCTCTGCAAGTTATTTATAATTATCGTCAAACTAGGATCAGGAACATTAAAAAAAAACACCATGTGTGCTTCAAGTTGGCTTTCTTTTTAGTCATCTGTCGTTTAAATACATAACAGCATCTTTAATTTCTTGTCTTGTAGTGTTTTATTCCTATCCTGAGCCTTCCCTTATGGATGGCTGCATGTGGAAACTTATTAAATTTTCAGCTAGTGACTCGATCTATCTCTGTTATCATTCATTTTATTGCCAGTCTTTATGAACTCAGTCCATCTAGTCTCTCTCTCTCTCTCTCTCTCTTTATTAGTGTTAAACTTTGTTCCACTTTCTCTTCAAGATTTCCAAAATATTTTATATTATTTCATTATTTTCATAACTTTTTTTACATTTTTGTTCCTACATTCTTAAAAAAATTGTGTTCAGTACCATTTATGATTCGGCATTGACGGTGCATCTACATTGGTGTCATGGTGTGATGTCTCTCTTATGGGTAATCTGGTGTGGGTTCATTTTCTAGTTTTTATTGTGTTACTTGACTGCATTCTATGGCTTTCTGGACAGATCACTGGGGCATTTTTTAACATACAATGGCTCCTCTTGCCTAAACCACCACTTAAAGGGGGTAATTCACCACTTTTAAACACTTATACTGTAAGGAATATCATTTGAGAGACCTTTTCTTTCCCTGTTGAAGTAATCAGGTCATTTATATTCCAAGTTATCCATGGTGGTTGAGTCATATTGTAAATTTCCTGACTAATTGCCTGTACTTGTCTGATATTATAGGTCCTCTTGGGGGAAAGTCTGAAATTTTCATCCATTTTGCCTCACTAGTTTGGAATTTCTCATAGTATCCGACATCTTTCTAGATCTTACATGGAGAAATTTTTTTTTGGGGAGGGGTCCCTCGATTTAGTGCCACCAGGGGAAATATATTAAAAAATGCCCTGCTGGTGATCGCTTGAACCATGGAGGAGTAGTAGTGTGGGTTGTGGGGCAAGGTTATTAGGTTGTTGAATAGTTGACAAGAGGTACAGTTTGGTTCTGGATAGACCATGTAAGTTGCACATACAGTATACATGTTTGGGAGTCATTCTACTAGTGGTTCCACCTGATGGCTCCTTCCTAAGATATCGAGTCAGACTACGGTAGCTGCAAAATGATTAGTGTCTTTGTCTTTTGTGGATTGTATGAAGAATAGGCCCCTCCAGCTTATTTCATCTGAGGATTCCACAACCTAACACTAACCTAATGCTAACCTAACCTAACCCCCAAAGTAGTATTAGGGTGTTTGATCGTCAGGTAAAATAAACCAGGTGGGTGCGGCTATCTTCACACGGTCCATGTCTCTGTTTACCGGGCGTAGATCCAACATGGCCGCGCTGCTGTGTTGTCACCTCTGGGAGTCCATTACTCTTACACTGTCTATCACCAGACGTTTACACCATGAAAATATGTGGCTATAGATCTACGTAAAATACTATTATACCCGTAATTCTCAGGTTCTGTATATGTCTCAAAAGAATCGTAGCATCCGACACAAGTTGGTCTCCCTGACGCTGAAGAGGAAAAATAAGCTGGGGGACGACGTACGACGACGCCTCCAGGAGGACGAGTATACCGCAGAGAGCTATTCGTCCTGGCTTGACTCGCGCCCGACCTCCAACCTCGAGAAGTTGCATTTTATCATCGGTCATGGCATCCTGAGGGCTGAGCTGAGGTATAGTGAAGCAGGGAGGCTACAGTGACCTTTATATGTTAACGATAATGTGTGCAAAAAAATTAAGGCGGTGGTTGTAAATAAATTCCCGACGCTGTCATCAAACTTGATCCCAAAAGAGATGATAAATGACCTAACAGGGCCATATTGAAGCTTCATATTGACATCTTTATCATAGTCCATACTATGACCCCACAGAGCCATATTGAAGCCTTGTATTGACATCTTTATCATAGTTCATACTTTGACATCAAACTTGACCCCCAAAAAAGATGCCATATTAAAACCTTATACTGACATCTTTATCATAGTTCATACTCTGACATCCACTTTGACCCCCCACAGAGATGAGGTTTACTGTCAGATCTGTAAACAGCTCAGCAACAACCCCTCCAAGTCATCACACGCACGAGGTTGGATCCTTCTTTCACTGTGCGTCGGCTGTTTCGCCCCGTCCGAGGATTTCGTCAAGTACCTCCTCTCCTTTATCCGTGAGGGACCCCCGGGGTACGCGCCCTACTGTGAGGAGAGACTCAAGAGGACCTTCGCTAATGGTACCAGGAACCAACCACCAAGTTGGTTGGAGTTACAGGTGGGCAGCTTAAACCCATAGGTGGAGGAAGATGGAATGAATGACTGCAAGAAAGATGATGAATGGACTGATAGATAGATAGATAGAGTTAAAAACATCATACAAGTTTACAATTGGTTCAGTATGTACAGTATACATAGACAGTGCAGGTATACAATGGTAAACAGTCAGACAATCCAACCAAAGCTAGTCATCAAACCCATCATCAAATGGTTGCTGTCAGTTATAACCCTCGGAGTGATACGTAACAATGTCTGTCTGTCTGTCTGTCCATCAGCCTGTATACAAATAGTTTCCAAACAATAATAAACCTTTACCTCACAGGATTACAACCAGATTTCACAAGTTGCTGATGAATCTTAAGGTATTAGTCTTGATATATCTTGTATAAAAATCATCGTCGCTAGAAAATAGACATAAATTTCTATCGATAAACTCACTCTGGTTTTGATATTAGAAACTGTACATGGAAGTATAGTATTGGTTCTACTAGATACCCTATAGGTTTAATCCCTAGAAAATACAACTCCGTCAAGTCGTCTCTCTCCCTCAGGCCACCAAGTCCAAGAAGCCGCTCATGTTACCCATCACCTTTATGGACGGCAACACCAAGACTCTCTACGCAGACTCGGCGACGACGGCCCGAGAGCTGTGTAACCAACTGTCGGACAAGATAGGGCTGCGAGATCAGTTCGGATTTTCCCTCTACATCGCTCTATTTGATAAGGTACGGTGTTTGTTTACATTGTTTCTTGGGTATTGAAGTTGTCGATATAGTTACTTTTAGTTTAATCATTTTTCTCACAAGTTCTCTTTATATTTTTTCAGGTCTTTTATTTATTATTTCACTACCTATCAGATTACTGTACAGTAGACCCTTGGAATTAGCGGTTTTGTGATCCGTGATTTCGACGATTCACAGTAAGCAGATGGTGGCTATGGTAGCTAGCTTGTGAGCCTTTTCCTGCAGTGCAACAAGTCACCCCACACACCTGCAGCATCTCCTTACACAACAAGACCCACAATAAACCCACTCCTTACACAACAAGACCCACAATAAACCCACTCCTTACACAAGACCCACAATAAACCCACTCCTTACACAAGACCCACAATAAACTCCTTTCACACAACCCAGCATCACACACCTTGAAGACTTTTAATCTAAACCAAATAAAACAAACGACTATTACAATCAGACACTGTTTAATATTTACGCTCGTTCGGACAGGTGTCGTCGTTGGGCAGCGGGGGCGACCACGTCATGGATGCCATCAGTCAGTGCGAGCAGTATGCCAAAGAACAAGGTGCCCAGGAGAGGAACGCCCCCTGGAGGCTGTTTTTCCGCAAGGAGATCTTCGCCCCATGGCACGACCCCACCGAGGACCCCGTCGCTACCAACCTCATATACCAGCAGGTGGGGGCCAGGTGTTAATGAAGAAATATCTATCTTTCTATTCATATCATTCTATCTTTCTTTCATTCCATCTATCATTCTATTTACAGTGCAGTATACAGGTATCCCCCCTCTCTCTCTCTCTCTTTTTTACTTATTAATGTCTCTATCTGTCTTCTATATTACACTTTCAATCCCTTCTACTCTGACGTTGTTATCTATCTATTTAAATCTTTCTCTATATCTACCTATCTATCCATCTTCCTTACCTATTAACCGTTAATTGACTGTTATGGACTCCCTATTCTTCAACCCCCTATCCACATACTGTACTATTCTTCCCCAATGACTATTTTTTTTACCCTATTATCTATACTTTCAACTTCTACTTTATTTTGTTTTAGTCTGGATTTTTGGTTTGTTTATATTTGCTAATCACCTGAATATTAGACACCCCACCAGCTTATTTCACCTGATGATTAAGTACCCTATTGTTAGCTCAGGGAGTTAGGTTGGGTTAGGTTAATGTTAGGTTAGATTATGTTAGTTTAGATTATGCTATGTTATGTTAGGTAAATTAGATTAGATTAGGTTAGGTTATGTTAGGTAAATTAGATTAGATTAGGTTAGGTTAGGTAAATTAGATTAGGTTAGCATTTGGTTAGGTTAGGTAAATTAGATTAGGTTAGCATTTGGTTAGGTTAGGTTAGCATTAGGGTGTTTAATCATGGGATGAAATAAACTGTGGGGGAGTAACCATTATATTAAACATATTCAGCGACTGATAATCATACATGTGAAGGCTTATGGCATTAAACTTCACAAGTACCGGCAGAAGGGCTAACAATTCGTCGTGACTACCTCATTCACCGGTGTTCGTTTATGCTCAGGTCGTCCGAGGGGTCAAGTTCGGAGAGTACCGGTGCGACAAGGACGAAGACCTGGCCATGATCGCCGCTCAACAGTACTACATAGAGTTCAGTATAGAGATGAACACCGACCGACTCTTCAACAACCTCCCGGGCTACATCCCAGACTACTGTGTGTCGGCGGGGGATAAGGCCATCGACCGGTGGGCCAACCTGGTCGTGGCGGCGTACAAGAAGAGTTACTACGTTAAGGAGAGAGTTCAGACCCTCAAGGTTAAGGAGGATGTGGTCAGTTATGCCAAATTCAAGTGGCCTCTCTTGTTCTCCAGATTCTATGAGGCATTCAGGTGAGGATTTATGGCTCCTGTTGTCACACACACAAGATAAGGACAATCTCAACCAGCAATAATACTATTCTAACTCACATACTTAAAGAGACTTATTAAACCTATTCCACCCAATAAAGACTTCATTAAAATATTTTGTCCCATGTTACTCTGTTCTGGAAATGGGACCTTCAGAAAACATGTGAACAGAATTGTACATCTTGACATAACTCTTACTTACCCATGAAGCTGTTAATGACTCGGCCGTTACAAGCCGGAGGGAACGATAACAAACATTCGGTCAATACATTATCAACATGACAGTTTCGTTCCCAACTTTCAGATATTCGGGACCAAACTTACCCAAGAATGACGTAATCATCGCGGTCAACTGGACGGGCGTTTACGTGGTGGACGACCAGGAACAAGTCCTTCTGGAGCTGTCGTTCCCGGAGATAACTACAGTGTCCTGCAATAAAACACAGAAGGTGTACACGCAGACCTTCACCTTATCCACAGTACGAGGGGAAGAGTTTACCTTCCAGAGCCCCAACAGTGAAGACATAAGGGACCTTGTGGTGTACTTCCTGGAGGGGCTCAAGAAGCGGTCCAAGTTTGTCATAGCCCTGCAGGATTATAAAGCCCCTAGTGAGTAGTTTTGATAATACACAAATACAGACATTCAGATACATGTGTACTTGGTGTGAGTCTTCCAATATGTAAACAAGGAGAGCTGAGAATGTGTGGTGTAATTCTCTGAGGGTTGAAGAAGTGGTCCAAGTTTATAGAGACATAAGTGTACAGTACTTGATACAATTGAGTACTGTATGAAGACACTGTGAGAAAGCAACACACAGACAGGGATAAAATTCTTAAGATAAACTTGTAACTGTTAGACCAAAGTAATGAACAAAAATAACAGGAAATAATTAAAAACTTTTATGTCATTTATTAACCTTAATCACATAATTAATTTATTTAACGCTGATTATTAGTTGTAATTATTATTATTCTCCGTACCAGGTGAGAACTCCTCCTTCTTAACCTTCAATAAGGGCGACCTCATTCTTCTGGAGGAGGACTCGTCGGGGGAGACCGTCATGAACGCCGGCTGGTGCGTGGGCAGGTGTGAACGAACCAACGAGAGAGGAGACTTCCCCGCCGAGACCGTCTACGTCCTCCCTGCGGTCACTAAGCCTCCGCCAGATATTTTGGTGAGCGTTGAGACTACCTGTACTGTACACAGGTCAGGAATCACAGTAATTTTGGCCTCATCAGGTGGCAGAATAAATCTTTCTATTGATGGCTGTCATTGCTTATATGTACGGTACAGTATATTTATTAGTCTGGGAATAATAATTTTTTTTTTTAACCATTTATCAGTTTATGAGTCATTTGGTGGATCTGTTATGACTTTAATTGTCGAGCCGTCACATTGGATGATACTCTTCTTACACTGGGGTCCTCCATCCACAGGCACTGTTTACGGCCGAGGGTGCGGAACACGGCCGCAAGCTGTTCACTCCACAACTGAACGGGACGGAACCGCAGGAGAAGCCACACACCCTGGAGGAGTACGCTCTGGATCACTTCAGGTAGGAGGCTGTGCGAGGCGAGTGTGGATGGTTCATATGTCGAGCATAATTACCTGCATGTTTTTTGTAATTTATTTTTAATTTGAACTTTTTTTTTATTATGTCTTGCCCAGGTTGAGCAAGAACTGTTATCATCCGTGAAAAGTGTGTGTGTGTGTGTGTGTGTGTTTGTCTGTTTTAGGTGTAAAGTGAAGATTATCCATCCCAGCTTATTTCACCAGACAATTAAACACCCCCAACATTAACCTAACTCCCCCAGGTAGAATTAGGTTGAGTCATGAGGTACAATAAGCTAGGGTGCCAGACTTTCATGTGATTCCATTATTCTAAGTTAACGTCTAAAACAGAGACTAAAAATTGAACTCGTTGTTGGACCGTCAAACAGGCTACCTCCAAAACGCACAGTATCACGGTCGATCACCCTGACCTCCGCACGTCGCCCCACCAACGAGTGTCTGTGGAAGTACTCGCGAGAACCTATAAAACAGCCGCTACTGAAGAAGTTGGTGCACAAGGAGGAGCTGGCGCAGGAAGCCGTGTACGCTTTTAACGCCGTGCTGAAGTACATGGGAGACTTACCCTCCAGGAGGAACCGGCAGGGTAACGACCTCACCGATCAGATCTTCGACGGTCCTCTCAAACACGTACGTTCGTTCTCGCCTGATTATTTATGTTTTACACTCCACATCTCTGGTCTATTAGTACAGCACGTAAACAACTTTTAATAGACTTAATCTCAGCTGATATAAATCCTGGATGTTAAGTGGTGAAATTATAGTTGTTGGATAATAAGCAGGTAAGAAGTGGCAAAAACACTGTAATATTAACACTGTATTTAATTGACCATCCATAACACAGACAGCAATAAAGTGCTATACCCAATACTGTAACTAATAGTACATAGTGTCAGTACTATCACTCTACTACCACCATCTATCACTCTACTATCACCATCTATCACTCTACTATCACCATCTCTCACTCTACTATCACCCACAGGAGATCCTCAGGGACGAGATATACTGCCAGGTTATGAAGCAGCTGACTGAGAACAGGAACAGGCTGAGTGAGGAGCGAGGGTGGGAGCTCATGTGGCTGGCGACTGGTCTCTTCGCCTGCTCCCAGAATCTCGTCAAGGTAGAATATTTTATTTTGTTTTTTTTGTCGCTTGTCGTCTTTTCTTTAGCCTAAACCTGTTCAAATCTAAGCTAACCCAACCAGACCTAATCTAAACTAACCAAACCTAAGCTAAGCTAATCAAACCTGTTCAAACCTAAGCTAACCTAACCAGACCTAATCTAACCTAACCAGGCCTAATCTAAACTAACCAAACCTAACCTAATCAAACCTGTTCAAACCTTAGCTAATCTAATCTAACCTAATCAAACCTAACCTTAATCTAACCTAACCAAACCTAAACTAACACAGCCTAGTCCAACCTAACCAAACCAAACCTAACTCAAATCTAATCTAACCCAACCCTAATCTAATTTAACCTAACCCAACCAAATCTAACCCAATTTAATGTAAGCACTAATCCTTGTATTCTATTTCTACACATATGGAAGGAGGAGGAGGGGGGGGATCCTTAACTACCCATCAGGAGTTACGACTAATCACCGTCTTCAGCCACTTAGAATATTTCTGTCACTGTCGACCCTAAGCTGTCCCAAACACCTGTCAAATCCTGTCAGGAGGGTCTGTTTATTTATTATTTATCGTTTCTCACACGTGCATCTCTATCTCAACCAGGAATTAACGCAGTTCTTAAGGACCAGACGGCATCCCATAGCGCAAGACTCGCTCCACAGGCTACAGAAGACGCTCAAACACGGCCAACGTAAATATCCCCCACACCAGGTCGAGGTCGAGGCCATCCACCACAAGACGACGCAGATCTTCCATAAGGTGAGAGAGAGAGAGAGAGAGAGAGAGAGAGAGAGAGAGAGAGGGAGGGAGGGAGAGAGAGAGAGAGAGAGATAAAAGTCGGGAAATATTTACATTATTTCACCATAATTCTTTACCTATCAACATTATTTTACTCACCAAGAGATCGATTTATAACTGTTGTGGGTTATTCTTCACTAGTTATGGTTGTCATGGTGTCTGTAGCTTAAATTTGGCGTAAAATTAAGGACAAACTCCACCCAGCTCTTCAAAAGATGTCCCCTAGTGTTTATATTAGGATGGCCTAAATATTTTATACCACGACACAATATTATCACTTTTATGTTTTTTTAATATATAAACCTTTAATTTCTTTAATTCATAACTTTATAATGTTATTGATATTTTAATCTTTGTTTCACATTATTTTTAAGTTCAGTAATGTGCTTATAATATCTTATACTCAATACTGTAATGTCAACTTTTACTTTTATTATAAGCCTTTGTATATCTATGTATTCTTTTATTTTAATGTTATTCATATTAATTTATACTACTACAAGTAATATCAACCTTTATTTGTCTATGTACTGGAGGTATATCAGTTTACATGGTATTTTAAAATAATTAATTATATTTTTTTTACAGTACACTATATCCTTTTAAGTCACTGGTAATTCACAATATATTCTAATTAATGAAGCACTTTAAGCAATGTCTCTTCAGCTAGAATGACTGAATTAAGACATCATTTAGCCTTCAGTCATAACCTCAGTGATTCAATGTTGTTCTACAGAGATTATTATTACAATATTTAATAACCCGAAACACACACACCAACAACAGTAATTCTCTACCTTCAACTCTTCACTTCAGGAATGTCACTTTTGGTAGTATATTTAGTTAATGGCAGACAATGGTGTACAGCACAAGGTGGAGCCTGTACACACAAGGTTAATGGGAAGATATCCATACAGGACACACTCACAGGTCTGGTTAAAACACATCTGGTCCCCCACAGGTGTACTTCCCCGACGACACGGACGAGGCCTTCGAGGTCGACTCATCCACCCGAGCCAAGGACTTCTGCTCCTCTATAGCACATCGCCTCAACCTCAAGAGCTCGGAAGGGTTCTCACTGTTTGTGAAGATCGCCGATAAAGTCATATCAGTACCTGAGGGAGACTTCTTCTTCGACTTCGTCCGTCACCTCACAGACTGGATCAAGAAAGCTCGGCCGTCCAGAGATGGTTAGATATGCCGATGACTTTCTTTTTATCATTTCCGCCGCCCGTCAGCTTACTAGTGATTTGAGCAGTTAGTCTGTTCTTTGGTACTTTGTTTTATGGTTATTATTGTCCAGTGTTAGTACAGGAGGAAACTACTGGCCGGAGAAAACCTGCCATGTTTGGTAGTGAGGGTCACACTGCATAACACCCTTCTCACATCTGTCCCAGGCTGAGAACTGAAGGCAGGACATGGTGGTGAGGTAAATCCATTACTGCTGTAGTTATAAATGCATTACTTTATTAAGGAAAACCTTCATCGTTATCACCACCATCACCATCCTTATCACCACCACCATCCTTATCACCACCACCACCACCACCACCATCCTTATCATCACCATCATCCTTATCACCACCACCATCCTTATCATCACCATCATCCTTATCACCACCACCATCATCATCACCACCATCATCCTTATCACCACCACCACCACCATCCTTATCATCACCATCATCCTTATCACCACCATCATCATCCTTATCACCATCACCACCACCCAAATAATCTAGCACATTATCATCCTCTGGCCAGGTACAACGCCTCACTTCACCTACCAAGTGTTCTTCATGAAGAAACTCTGGACCAACACAGTACCGGGAAAAGACCGCAACGCAGATATTATATTCCACTTCCACCAAGAGCTTCCTAAACTCCTCAGAGGTAAACACTGGGGGTTACAGTACAGTATATTAATTAGTCTGGGTTAAGTCATTAAATAAGGTCTTGAACCATATTGATTCGGGTGACGTGGGATCAAACGCGTATTCTCTATGCACCTTAGTGGAAATATATGAATTTTGATGGTATTTAGGAGGATTTGATCATGATTAAAGTCTATACACAGTTCATGAATCCTATTATTATTCACTATGATTAGAGGGAAAGGAGTAGCAACCCTTGATGATGCTACAGCACTAACCTAACCTAACCCCCTTTCTCCGCAGGGTATCACCGCTGCACCAAAGATGAAGCGTCGAGGTTAGCCGCCTTGGTCTACCGCGTCCGCTTCGCCGAGAGTAAACAAGAACTTGCCCTCATTCCGTAAGTCTTAATGGCGACTCACCGAGGAGCGAAATACTAATTTGGTGAAGATGTAGAAGCAAGATGTATAAATGCAATGATGAATTAATTTAAAACACAGCATTTAAAATTTTTTATCAACTTCACGATAGAGAAGTTTTAGCCGGCAATTGAATTAGAGTAAAGGAAAATAAATTAGATTAAAGTAAAATAAATTAAATTAGAATAAAGTAAAATAAATTAGATTAAAGTCAGATAAATTAAATTAGAAAAAAGTAAGTTAAATTAAAGCAAATAGTGTGAGATATTCTGTACATTTTGTGTCTTTCAGGAACATGTTAAGAGACCTCATACCAGCAGACTTGGCCAAATCCCAGAGCACCAACGAGTGGAAGAGAGTGATAGTTCAGCACTATAATGGTGACGCTGGTGAGTTATGATGTGTTTAATGGTGACACATTGTTGATACAGGTGTGACATGCTTGATACACTCCCTTGATACATCCCTGAGACTGCCCTAACACATACTTGACACACACACTTTTAATACAGCCTTGACACATCCCTGAGACTGCTGTAACACATACTTGACACACACCTTTAATGGAGTCTTGACACAGCCTTAACACACAATTTTAATGCAGCCTTGACACATCTTTAACACATACTTGACACACACTTTTAATGCAGCCTTGACACATACTTGACACAGCCTTAACACACACTTGACACACTCCTTTAATGCACCAAAATTCAATAACAAGTATTTTTCTAACCCCTAAACAGGTATGAGCCCAGAGGAGGCCAAGATATCCTTCCTCAAGGTAATATACCGCTGGCCCACCTTCGGCTCGGCTTTCTTCGAGGTCAAACAGACAACCGACCCCAACTACCCAGAGCATCTCCTTATTGCCATTAACAAGCAAGGGGTCTCTCTCATCCACCCAGTCACAAAGGTTGGTGTGTGTGTGTGTGTGTGTGTGTGTCAGTCAATCCAATAATTTCATTTGAGTCTACTTCATTAATGACAGTAATGGCTTAGGAATAAAATTTTCTGCCATGTAATTTGTTGAATAGGTAAATACTAACTCTTCTTTTAATCCATATTTCTTGTTATTAATCCCTTTATGAGAATTATTTATTCATTTTTCCAATTCCCTATTTAATCCTCTTCCAAATATTTCCACTAATCACCGTAATTCCTCAAGCATCGAGCCCTAATAAAATTTTGTCTCCCACCAGGAAATCCTCGTCACCAACCCCTTCACGAGAATCAGCAACTGGTCGTCCGGGAACACGTACTTCCACATGACCATCGGCAACTTAGTCAGAGGCACCAAACTGCTGTGTGAGACGTCCCTCGGCTACAAGATGGACGACCTCTTGACCTCCTATATATCGCTAATGTTAACTAATATGAATAAACAAAAAACTCTGCGTCTGAAATAGAATATAAAGCTCAACTAGGAACATGTTTACAATCATTTACATTGAAGACTGTTTTAGCTTCTCTTAAAATTATTATGACTACTAATAATAATATGTTGCATACAATGGATGTCTGACATTGTGTTTTAGCTACAGTTAAAATTATTCACAATTTTTATAACCGTATTTTGATAGAAATGTACGGTAATTACCATGAGATTCAGGCATGAGGATTGTCAATGTGTGTGTGTGTGTCTGGTACGCTGTAAGACTTTGGACGGTTATCAGGAAAAATAAATTCACTGAAATACCAAATAAATTCATCAATTTAGATTCTCTCGCCATGGACCTTCCAAAAGCTGTCGAGCATAATTCATGGAAATTACAATGAACGAAAGAGTGCGTCTTTTCTCGCTATTTACCACAGCAAGCTGTAGGGATCACCACCGGAGGCCGTTGACTTCCATCTCCGTGTCAAAAAGTTTAGCATTATCACCACCATGTTAAAAAATTCATATACGTAATCAATATTATTTTACATGATTATTGTAATTTACAGATTTAATCGTGATAAGTGATAATTATTTCTAGTTACCGTACAGTCTCAGTCAAAAGTTCCACCACCCTCCTACTGCTCCACGAACCCCGGGATTCAAATTGACGAACCCGGACACGATGCATTATTCTATCTATGGAGGCTTCCAATTCATGAGCCTGAATCTTGGAGTTTGTGGAGCAGCAGAAGAGGCGACAGGACCCGTGACTGTACCCAATATCATCCACTGTGTCAATTCATCGACTAATAAACGTGATAATGAACGATCTTGTTTACAGAAGCCGATGTGACAGTACAATACACCTAACCAGTTGTCGCCACCTTTGATGTTCTCTGAGGCGGTGATCCCCGTACAGTAGTGACAGAACCATTTATAAACAAGAGTGTAGATTAATTTCTAAAGACAAGTAGAGTTTTAATATTATTTAATGGGAGTTAATTAAGCTGAGGCAATGCACTGATAACCAAATGTAGAGGAAAGACAGTGTTCATTACCAGAAGAACACAGTTATTATTAAAAGATATTTATCATCTTTTTTATTTTATTTTTAATTGGATTTGGAATTTTATTGTTATGCATTTGGCTGGATGGGCCCTTTTAATACATAACTCTGTATGTATTTATATATATCTAATCAAATCTATTCAGTATTTCTAATATTATTAACTAAAGGAAAAACAGAACTTTAAAGAGAGTATGAGAGAGGCTAAGAGATGCTTGAATGTGTATGTAAGAAGGAAGTGTCACAAAGATACTGTACTATATGTATTACCACTGTCAGGGCTGGCGGTCTTCTCAACCATTACATACACCGTTACGCTCCCACGGCCGAGGCAGAGCCGAGACGTCTGGCTACACACGGCACAAATGTTTTTAAGTGCAGACGAGTGAAGCTCCAAAGACTTGAATTAGGGCCAGGGTCTTAGGGCCATTAAAGACCAGAGGGTAGAGAGAATTAGGGCCAGGGTCTTAGGGCCATTAAAGACCAGAGGGTAGAGAGAATTAGGGCCAGGGTCTAGGGGCCATTAAAGACCAGAGGGTAGAGAGAATTAGGGCCAGAGTCTTAGGGCCATTAATCCTCTTATGAACCAGATGGTAAAATACAGTGATTAGATTGAAGTCCGAGGAACACATAGAGGATACAAATAAGTACATACGGGTTTATACTGTACCCACAAGTTCAATTTGAGTCAAAAGAACTTCCATCGGGGGAAAAAATAAACCCCCCCCCCTCTCCCCCATCACCACTACCATTGGCCTCAACCCCCTCTCCTCTCCCCCACCATCACCACCACTGGCTCCGACATCCTACCCTCTCCACCACTGGCTCCAACATCCTCCCTCTCCACCATCCTCCCCTCTCCACCATCAGCTCCAACACCCTCCCTCTCCACCACCAGCTCCAACATCCTCCCCTCTCCACCATCAGCTCCAACACCCTGCCAGAGAGTTGTAAACACTGTTATGAACGCTGGTAATCTTTGCCTTCACAACTCAACATAATAATTAACCTTAACACAACCGTACTTATCCTATTGACCCTAGAGAGATATATCATAATTATATTGGATTGTAATTACCACTTAACTACAGGAAGCTACTGTTTATAATCGTCAATAAAACAATTGGTGTGTGTATTAGTCCGTCCGTCTGTGTGTGTGTGTGTGTGTGTAAGTTTCGGTTCTTAAATTACAATAATATTTTAAACTTGTTATGTCGGGTATTATTAAGAATGTATAATTTCTCTTTTGTCTCTAAATTAAGCAGATTTATTATGGTTGTTGTACATTTCAATACATGTTGCTAATTAGGGCACAATATGCGCTTCCTCTACTGATGTAATTATTGTATTTTGTTCCAATTTTCCTTCAAATATTTTTATTAATGTAGACGTGTCGAGAATAAGGTTGCGGATTTATTATTGGGATAACGACTAAACATTAAGCAGTGTAGTAAAGAAAGAACCAGTCTTATTTATGAGCTGTATATATATAGATATTAATTATTGGTTCGTCCGCAGTGTTTAGGAACGAATTTGTGTTTTTTATTATATACGAGGGTCAACGTTGCAGCCCTCCCGTCGCATTCTCTCTCGTCAAGTGAAAACAAAAACATAGTTCCCACAATGTTTACCGATACGTTGATTTACACAAGGATGACGATGATCCCTTGAGGTTCGCTTAAACCAGAATATAAACTACAACAGATATTCTCCATCCACACACTGTCATTCACTCTCTTCTGACAACTGTAACACCTGGGGTTTATATTTCCAGTAGGAGCCTGTTAAAACTGGGGTCTATTTTATCAGTAGGGACCTGTTAAAACTAGGAACTATTTTATCAGTAGGGACCTGTTAAAACTAGGAACTATTTTATCAGTAGGGACCTGTTAAAACTAGGAACTATTTTATCAGTAGGGACCTGTTAAAACTAGGAACTATTTTACCAGTAGGGACCTGTTAAAACTAGGAACTATTTTACCAGTAGGGACCTGTTAAAACTAGGAACTATTTTATCAGTCACCTTTATACTATAACATTCCATATTTTCATTTTTCATACAGTACAGTATCTCTAGCAATGAATTATTCTGCATCATAGATTCTCACCCACAAGTGCTAAATGTGTCTTATATATATATACATGGGCGTCTGGTCAAATGAGCCTCGATCCAAATGTGCGGTGTGGTGTCAAATGAGCCTTGATCCTAGTGTGCAGTGTGGTCAAATGAGCCTTGATCCTAATGTGCAGTGTGTGGTCAAACGAGCCTCGATCCTAATGTGCCTTAACCCTTATGAATCGTGAGTCTTAACACCAATATGTAAATGACTAACAGACAGTACACTACCATGGCTGTACTGATTTATCTGATTGTGAGAGGGTGTTTATCATACCATTACAGTGTACAGTAATTACAGGGTATTATAATTCTTTTTTGTGTAGGAATATGTCATTACTGTTTACAAGTGAAGCTGGGTGAAGATTCTCAGAGATTTGTATGTTAATTTATCCTTTTCTGTGTGAATAATAGTAATAAACACAGGCATCTACTTACGATAGGCGAAGTTCTTGATTCCATTTTAACTCGGCTCTTTGTGGCGGAACCGAGTTCTCACGCTTCCAGTTTAGGGTTGATTACACATACAGTGAAGCTTGTATCTAATGCACCTCCATATTGTCCGTTAGGCGAAGGTTCCACGTCTAACAAAACTCTCATCTAATGGTCTTCCCTTCTGCCATAACTTATGAGGGTCAGTGTAATGCATCGTCCTACACTTAAGGAAGAAATTCATCATAAGAATCTTTGAGAGACTGGGAGTGTAGGCTTGTAACTGACCCAAATAAACACACGTCTGAACGGTATTAACACCGAGAAAAGCAACCTTGTTCTTGATACCACATTGTTGTATAATTATTATTTTGTAATGATTTACAAATAAATATTCTTAGCAATGGTCATTTATATATAAACCTGAGATACAAATGTGATAAATAAATGTAATAATACCAAGTTAGTACAGTAGATAATAATACCAAGTTAGTACAGTAGATAATAATACCAAGTTAGTACAGTAGATAATAATACCAAGTGAGTACAGTAGATAATAATACCAAGTGAGTACAGTAGATAATAATACCAAGTTAGTACAGTAGATAATAATACCAAGTGAGTACAGTAGATAATAATACCAAGTGAGTACAGTAGATAATAATACCAAGTGAGTACAGTAGATACAGCACACCTCTCTCCTAGGACTTATAACTATACTTCCTATAAGGCTCAACAGTGGTCTTCAGTTTTCTACCTTGGGGGGGGGGATCATAATTATTACTTCCCATAAATAAATACCCTGTATATATAGAGTACAGGTATATACTGTACGGTATATAGATCTATAGTAAAGTGTTACCACAAAATAATATATTAAATTGTCATCATCCTCATTTCTCGTGCTTCTGTGGGTTTGGAGAAAATCCCTGCCACTTAAAATGTATCAAGAAACACATTTTAGAACAATTTAAGTGAATAAAATAAAATTCTGTACATTACTATGATGACTTCAATCCCTCACTATGGGGATGCCACTTTTGATATTTTATTTGGCTAACAGACAATTTTATTCAACCGAGAGAGGACCCTATACACAAGTGGTTAAACAAGAGATACTGAAAGGCACTGTTCCCCAAACTGGTAAATAATTCAAACAAAAGACCTCAGCAATGCTTTTTCCAGCTCATAAATGCATAAAAAGTATCAATGTTCCCTAAAGCTGTTTTGTATCAGAGCTTCAAAAGTAGGACATCAGTGATCAGGTGTTAATGTGTACAGAACATCAATATTTACTTCAATCATATATGTCATTAAATATTTGGAAAACATAAAACCAATATTAAATCACTGTTATAATTACAAAAGATATACGGTATACAGCTCCTCCCCGACTTACAACCCGCCTCAGTCATACCAAAATTTTGTCAAATTACATATTTTCGAGTCCTAACGTCACCACACAGACAAAAAATTTTTTTGTAATTCACTTTAAAATGGCTGGCAAACTTAAAAGTGAGAATTTTGTGATGCTGAAAAGAAAAAGAGACACCCATTTTAGAGTTTCTATGTATTATTTAAGCATTTTCGACTTACGACCTGGATTTGGCTCCCTAACCCCGGGGAGGAGCTGTATTACCAAGCAGATATAACACACAAGTTTTCTAAAGATATGTAAATAATGAAGTAAAATAAAACATGACCTAACTCACTACTATACTGTAATATTTGGCAAAAAAACCCAGGGAAAGAAATATATATTGTTCCGGTAACCACACTGAGCATGTATAAACACACTGAGCATATATAAACACACTGAGCATGCATAATTACACTGAGCATGTGTAAAACAAATCTATAGCAGGTTTTGATTTTGAGAGAAAATGCTCTTGTGTCTTGTGATGGGAGGACAATACCATGACTCCTCCCTCACTTTACACCAGGTCTGACCCTCCATCACCCCACACACGTGTGATGGGAGGACAATACCATGACTCCTCCCTCACTTTACACCAGGTCTGACCCTCCATCACCCCACACACGTGTGATGGGAGGACAATACCATGACTCCTCCCTCACTTTACACCAGGTCTGACCCTCCATCACCCCACACACACGTGATGGGAGAACAATACCATGACTCCTCCCTCATTTTACACCAGGTCTGACCCTCCATCACCCCACACACACGTGATGGGAGGACAATACCATGACTCCTCCCTCACTTTACACCAGGTCTGACCCTCCATCACCCCACACACACGTGATGGGAGGACAATACCATGACTCCTCCCTCACTTTACACCAGGTCTGACCCTCCATCACCACACACACACACACAATAAAACTCCTTTCTGCTGTGTAATAATTTTTTTATTGTTAATTATAAAAGTAAAACAGAAAACAGTTTCTCTCATAAAATATGGAAGAAACTATGAGCATTGACCCTCTATAATATCTCTATGTTGTAATACAGTTACTAAGTACAAGTACTCTCTAGGTACACACACACACTGTACGTACATGTTCTCATACTTCAAGTAAAAACACACATGCACACATTTTAGGTACATACCTTAAGTCCACACACACACACAAACACACACATATACTGTAAGTACTTGTACACATATTGTAGGATTGCATACACATAATTCAATTATGTGTACACATGAAAAGTCATGTACACACACACACACTTTTAGTACATATAGAGAGATTGTAAGTACATGTACACATATTATAAGTACAAGTACACATACACATTGTTAGTGTAAATACATGTACACACACAATAAGTACAAGTACAAACATTGTAAGTACAAGTGCACAGTGATGTACTTGAGACCAACAACAAGACCATTCACACTTTTTACCTTTAAAAGATCATCTGAAGAACAGGCCCAAGAGCTTACCTGAAGATTAGCCCCCCAGCTTAACCCCTCTAAGACTATCTGGGGCTAATCTTTTGGTAAGGGCTAACCTTCAGGTAAACACTTGAGGGGCTAATCTTCAGGTAAACACTTGAGGGGCTAATCTTCAGGTAAGCACTTGAGGGGCTAACCTTCAGGTAAGCACTTGAGGGGCTAATCTTCAGGTAAACACTTCAAGGGGGGGATCTTCAGGTTATCGATATAGAAGGTGAAAATTGCAATGGTCCAGTTCTGGGTTTTGAGTACATCACTGCACGTACACCCACATATTGTAAGTACCGGTACAGTACATATACAGTATATACACATATTGCTTTTCTTGCCCCAATTAACACAAAGAACAAATAATTAACAAATCTAAATAAACCAGAACTACAGCATAGATCTCTTCACTATGCTCCACCCATTTTTGCCATCCTCAGCAACCACAGGAAGTCATAAAAGCTGATTGGCTGTTGGTGAGTGACGATATGTAAGGCTCAATATCAACCAATCAATACCCTGACAACCAGAATTCATAGAAATTGATTGGCTGCTGGTGAGTGAGGATATCCAAGACTCAATATCAACCAATCAATACCCTGACAACCACAACTACTGTTCATGAAATCTAATTGGCTGATATTTAGTGAGGAAATCAACCAATGTGGCGTCACGGTCCAGCTAACGACCAGCAACCAATCAATTCCAAGCTGCCAAGGGCACTAATGGGGCAGGCCTTACAAGATAACATCAAGGCCAGTACAAAATTACCACCCAAAATATAAAGAACGGAATGAAGAAGAAAACTAAAGATAATATAAAAGTTTTCGTAAGTATAAACAAAACATCAGAGTAACGTAAATTGTTCGACGGTATAAAATTAACCTAAGGCTATACAGTAAATCATGAGTTAATTACCAGGGTCAAAGATTGTCAAGTAATTCCAATTTCTAATAAGCTCAAACATCAAAAAATAACTGGCAATTAAGTAAATAGGTCAATGTAACTGTCTTAACTGGTTCCCTGATAAATGTGCCTTAACTGGATCCTGGATAACCGGGTCTTAGGTAATGATATCATTCAATAACAGTTACTAAAGTTCACAGTCATTCAAGAACCGGTTATTTAAGTTCACAGTCATTCAGGAACCAGTTAGTTATGGCACAGTCATTCAGGAACCAGTTAGTTATGGCACAGTCATTCAGGAACCAGTTAGTTATGGCACAGTCATTCAGGAACCAGTTAGTTAAGTATCCAGTCATGTGAGTCACAGTTAGCCAGTGGCAATTATAGTTTTTAAGAGTTTGAAATAAAGGAATAATGTACGACCTGGTGAGTACTGTACTAAGGTCGACCACCACACATAACATCACATAAACTAATAACATGAAACAATTAAACAAAGGCATAAGTTATATTCTGTTTCAAACTTAAAAAATACGTAATGAAAAGTTGACTTAGAAGTTGACTCGCGGAGAACGATGCTACGTACTCTCTCGACTCGGCAAGACTCCGTTCCTCCTCCTTTGTCTCTTGAACCGCGACGTTTGGGTAAAAATGCCCCCAGGAAAATGGAGTATGAACCACCAGGATGCAATCAGGCCTGCAACGTGCAACCGGTCACTCAATTACCAAAGCTGAATCTTTTATACACACTTGGGTTGGATGGAATAGGTATTAAGTAATGTAGTTTGACTATAGGGGTGAAAGTCCTGTGGTCGAGAATACTGGATGGATGACACCTGATGGCTGTTTAGTGACAACACCTCTAAGCTGTTGAGGGGTGAGAATATGGGTTGGGGAGATGGGTTATGTTACAATGGGGAGGTGTGGGGAGAGGTGGGGAGATAGGGGTTAGTCTTCAGAGGATGGATGACAATTAGTGGCAGCTGCTGGTAAAGATACCCATTGGCTGTCAAGGGAGGGAGAAAAAAAAAAGGTTGGGAGAGGCGAAAAAACTGTCAGAGTAACACACACACACACACACATGCACGCACACACACACTAACTTCAGAGGGATAGTAAATGAAGTGGAGAGAGACATTAGAAAATGGGATAGATGACAGACACACACATATATGGATCTCTTGACTGCAGATCAGAAGGCAAGAGCATGGAGGAATGGTAGCACAAGTAGTAGGTGATGGACACACACACACACACACACACACACACACACATACTATTCCCTGTAGGCTGCTGGTTACATTCTTGAGAGAAGCAGCAGTTTAGACTTACAGATGATGCTGTTGCACACACTGACAACCAATAATAAGATTATAGCACAGTTCAGAACTTCCAGTAGTAGTTTTGTGCAGTTTACAACTCTCAGTTGCATTACTGAGAATCACTAATGTCAGTCTCTTATAGTTTATAACCCTTTGTCCTGGATAGTTTAGAAATGTTTGTGATAGTGTCACTTTAGGGCAGCTTAGAAACTCAGGTCTTGGGCAGTTTCGAACTGTCAGAGGTACAGTGACACAATTGGGCAGTTTACAACCACTACCAACACTGTATTTAACCACACTAATGAATATCCACTTCTGTAAAGAGAACAAGAAACACACATTAATTTCTCCCAGTTACAAATACAGTAAAAGTTGTACTATTAACCAGCATCATGTAGACCAAAGGCTACACCTCCTTAATAACATACAGCACTTACAAGAGCACTGAAGTCTTGGTGTCTCGGTCTCCTTCAGCAGGGTTGTTTGTTCCCTAATTTTGCCACACGTTTTAAATCGGCCTCTAACTTGGACAAATTTGCTTCTAACGTTGGGATTCGTTCCTCTTCACCGAGGCGTCTCGAAAATTCCAACATCTCGATGAGACTCGCTCTGAGTTTAAGCAAGATCTGGTACTCGTCCTGTAGAGTTGATTTGTTGACTAATTACATAAGAAATTTAATTGAGTTATCTGGAAATTAGCCCCAGATGATTACAGCTGATGATTAAACACCCTAACACTACTAGGAGGGGTTAGGTTGTTTAATCATGGGGTGAAATAAACTATGGGGGAGGGGCTAACCTTAAGGTGATCCTCATCTATATACAGCACAATAAATATAACACCTCCCATACCACCATATCCTACACTCACTCCACAGTCACTCATTCCTACATTCATTTCCAAGTTATAGAAAGTGACAAGTCAGCAAAACATTAAGGTAATATAAGAGAATAAATGACAGTAAATAAGAAGAAAACTACATGTCTTTGAGTCCAGCTAACACCATAATGACAGAGAAGTCGAGCAATGATCATAACTTACGTCTCGAGTAATCTTGATGTGGATGAGTAAGGACGCCAATTCGATCTCCTCGGAGAAGGAGTTCTTGAGGGGCACACTGCGGAAGCCCTCTCGTATGCACGTTACCTGGTCACAAACATATTGTCTAAGTAAGAGTTCTACCGTGATGTAGTTCATGGTAATATAATGGTAATGAGCGGTGATGTACTCAACTCTAGCCTTTATGGATTACCTAGATATTACTTAAGTGCAGATGACCAATAGGAAGCACACAAATAAATATGCCTAATTTCCTCCGCTATGAGGCCTAGACAAATAAATATGCCTAATTTCCTCCACAATGGGGCACACACAAATAAATATGCCTAATTTCCTCCGCTATGAGGCCTAGACAAATAAATATGCCTAATTTCCTCCACAATGGGGCACACACAAATAAATATGCCTAATTTCCTCCACGATGGGGCACCAACACCTCTACAGTACCTCTCCTTACCGGATAAGTTGCCTGACCAATCTGGTTCGGCTCTCCAAACAAATCTTCATCATACACGACGAACCGGATGAGACTACACTCCGGATTCTTGATGTTGAAGATCATCCGGTTACACCAAGTCGGGTTCAGACCATTATCACCTGTAAACGAGGGCAAGGATCATTAGGGGTGGAACGACAATTTAGGAGTCATCCCATACCTCAACACTGGGTTATTTCACGTTAATATTAACATCTACATAAAGCATGGAAATTACTATAACTTGTACTTAATATGTACTTATATGGCCTCTCTTAAATGACCAAGTTAAGTAAATTTGATATACTTTTCAGATTACCCAAGATAAGGCGACCCTGATCCACTGTACTCAAGGGGTTAAGTCGTCATACTCAAGGGAACAAATCATCATACTCAAGGGAACAAATCATCATATTCAAGGGAACAAATCATCATATTCAAGGGGATAAATCATCACACTCAAGGGGATAAACTCATCATACTCAAGGGGATAAACTCATCATACTCAAGAGAATAAATCGTCATACTTAAGGGGTAATCATTGTACTCAAGGGGGTTAAAACCTCCGATAAGTGTTCAAAATGTATTCAAGAGGATAAATTTCATAATACACTTAATGAATATAAAGTCTATGGTCTACACATTTCTTTAGTCCACTTGAATGCACTTTATTCCAGTCCCCTCTTAAGTGGCACAGTGTTTACTTATCACAGTCCAAATTACCCATAGGTTAAACACTACAGCTTATTTCACTATTAGATTAACCCTCCTAATACTAACCCAACTCTAACCTAAGTTACCTTAACCTAACCAAACTTATCCAAACCTAACCTAATTTAACCTAACTCTAACCCAATTTACCTTAACCTAACCAAACCTAACTTAAACTAACCTAATTTAACCTAACACTAACCAAACTTACCTTAACCTAACCCCCAAGGTAGCAATAGGGTGGTTAATCTTCAGGTGAAATAACCTGGGTGGGGAAGGGGGAGAAGTGGGGGGAGGGGGGAGGGGGAAGAAGTGAGGGGAGGGGGGTGCTAATCTTCAGGTGATCGGAGGCACAGACAAACTTACGGACAGCTTTCGTGGAGCACTTCTGGCCGGTGTCGTAGTCGCAGCCGACAATTTCTACTTCCACGAGGGGGGAGATGAAGCCCCGCCCAGATTTACTCAAATGCCGACAACCATAGATCTACAAGCAAGCAAGGAGTAACAACCAATGAGAATCTGAGTTACAGGAAGTGGAAAATGATCTAGCCAATGAGAATCTAAGGTAAAATAAGTGGAGAATAATCTAGCCAATGAGAATCTAAGTTACAGTAAGTAGAAAATAATCTAGCCAATGAGAATCTAAGTTACAATAAGTGGAAAAATAATCTAACCAATGAGAATCTGAGTTACAATAAGTGGAAAATAATCTAACCAATGAGAATCTCTATTACAGGAAGTAGAAATATGTGAAGAACATACCACTGAGTATTGAAAATCATCATCATCATCGTCCTACAAGTAATAATATAACCTTCAATCTTTTAATACAGCTTCAATTAACAAATACCAAAAGAACACTTATCTTTTTCTCTACCAGTATTATTTATTTATTTCTTCAACACACAGAATCAGACATCATTCAGCACCATTCATTTATTTATTCCTTCCTTCATCATCAACACACAGAATCAGACATCATTCAGCACCATTCATTTATTTATTCCTTCCTTCATCATCATCACACACAATCAGACATCATTCAGCACCATTCATTTATTTATTCCTTCCTTCATCATCAACACACACAATCAGACATCATTCAGCACCATTCATTTATTTATTCCTTCCCTCATCATCAACACACTCTATCAGACATCACTCACTTTAATGGTCAGGTTGAGAGGGTTCGTGTTCAAGAGTGTGTCTGGATTGGACGGGTCATAATTTGGGTCGTGGTGGACCTCGGGCCGCAGGACGTAACCACACCGGCCGTTCTGCAGAAACATTCCCTCGTTTAACTGCATCCACTTGTCTGTAAATAAAGTAAAATAACAGTAATACGCCGATAAGGAAACCTTCCTTGTGTACTTGGTGTAATTGGGTAGTTATGTCCCTTGTTATACCTATGTGTTAACTATAGATGGTGTAAGGGGAGTTTATAGTCACTTGGTAGATGGTGGTGCTAGTGGTTAATTATAGATGATGGTGCAAGGGGACTTTACAATCACCCAGTATATGGTGGTGTTAGTGTAGTAAAATGCTATGGGTCACTAACGATAATCAGTACCCACAAGAACACTCACACAATGGGGAGGGGGGAGGGGGGAAGAGGGGGGGGGAGGGGGGAAGGTGGGAAGAGGGGAGGGGAAAGGGGAGGGGAGGAGGGGGCATCTTACCTCCTGTTTGGTAGTTGAAGGAGACCAACTGACATCCGTGGTTCCACATTGGCATGGGGTTGTAGTTTGAGGAATCGACCCGAGTTGACTTTGGATAAACTCGACTGAACCCGGCCTGAGATAAACAAGAACAGTTGGAATGACACGGAATTCCAATCAATCTTAAACAGAACACATTTTTATCATAGTTACTAAATGGTCGTTCAATCAGACTTAAATTTGGAGAGGAAACAGCTACAGTGATCAAGTGTATAGACAGATTATATAATAAAAATGTAACTTTTTATAAATGATTTCAAAAGATACTGAGTGTTATTTTGTTATAGTATACATGACTTTTGTACAGTAAAAACTCTATTAAAGAGACTACATGGAGATGAAAGTCCATTATATCGAGGGTCTGTCAGATGTAAAACCTCCATCTAACGAACGATATAGTGATGAAAGTCCATTATATCGAGGGTCTGTCAGATGTAAAACCTCCATCTAACGAACGATATAGTGATGAAAGTCCATTATATCGAGGGTCTGTCAGATGTAAAACCTCCATCTAACGAACGACATAGTGATGAAAGTCCATTATATCGAGGGTCTGTCAGATGTAAAACCTCCATCTAACGAACGACATAGTGATGAAAGTCCATTATATCGAGGGTCTGTCAGATGTAAAACCTCCATCTGATGGATATTATATATTGAAGTCCTTATAGGAAAATTTCACTGCAGGTCCAATGGAGATACAAGTTAACACTGGGGCAAAATTTTCCCTATTTGCCCCTTACACCTGTCATCCTCCTACCTTGTGGAACTTGAGCAAGTCACAGGGGTGCTTCTGTACGAGAGCCTCCATCTTATTCTCGGGGAAGGAGAAGACCTCGTTGTGGTTGGCTCTGAGATTGAAGCATCTGTCCTGATCAAAAGGCATACATCGGAAATACACCACCAGGTCGCTGAGTTCCTTCTTGATGTGGTTCTCTAGCTCTCTGTTTTGTCTGGTTGGGGCCTGTGAGGGGTGATAACGTGGAATAAGGAAGAGCGTTGGTTAATAAATTGTGAGGACAACAAACGTGTAGAATGAGGCGACTAACCCCCTCAACAATGTTTGTAAGTAAAGGAGAACTTGTACTCATAACTCTCCTGTTCTCATAACTCTCCAGTACTCATAACTCTCATGTACTCATAACTCCCTCAGAATCAGAGGTTGTTGAGACTGACTATCACTAAATAAATACATGTGATAACTGATTACAAGTACAAATTATAATTACCCCATGTCTAATGTTTATCTTGTCCCTCCACTCCTTGGCTTCTTGTTCTGAGGTGCAGCCTATCTTCAGCGGCTGAGGTAACGTCGGGCCTGTCAGTCTGTAACACATTAATACACATACTGTACACCAGGCATCTTTTTTATAACTTGTGTTCTTTCCAAACTTCAAGAACAGCACATTATGGTTTATTGGGTGAGGTCGTGGGAAAGAAATAACTTTAATATTTACAAAAAAACATGAAATAAGTGTGAGTTATTTATTAACTATCCTGTATAAATATGTCCCCTTCTTCACCAACTATATTAAGCCATGCTATGTTAAGTGACAGACACCCGTACAGAGTGCATCATGAATGTGGGTGTATTTTCCATAAGGTAGAGTAGCTAAAACAACTATCTGTGCAGGTGGGGGTCGATATGCTCCAATATTTTACGTGTGACTGGTGACAGCCCTCCGTGTGACTGGTGACAGCCTTCTGTGTGACTGGTGACAGCCCTCCGTGTGACTGGTGACAGCCCTCATATACCAAAATATATCGTCCATGGTCTCATATTGTTTCCCCACAAAGTATGCACAGATAGTTGTTTTAGCTACTGTACACACAATCGACTGAAATGCTACTGTAACACTGTCATGAACTAGGCATTACTGTAAGGTTGGTATGGCATAACTGCATTATACTGCAGTGTTTACCAAGTCCTGGGTTAAACTAACACCCAACTGGCCTGGGATATACCACCCAAAGTGAGTTTATATATTTACAGTAGATAGATTAGACATTTACAGTAGATAATTTGACCACATCAACCCACCTGATTATGTACTTAATGCCCCAGCGGTTGGTGGTGGGCAAATAGTCGATCTTGGCAGTGGCTCCCTGGAGGTCCAAGTTTCCCTTCTGCATACAACCCAACACTTGACTCCCTCCTTCCTGTGTAAGATAAGACAAACATGGTTCAAACACACACATCCATCAGACAGCAAAGATAATGTCCCCCTTAATATATAGAGAATCTTAGCATTAAGTACCGAGTAGATTATTCTTTGAGAGGATAACTGTCCACAGAATTATTACCCCGCAGCTGCTCAGTAAACCTAATATGGTATTAACTGTAGTGCTGAGGGTGTCAAGGTCAGCAGAGTAACCCTCCATTGTGGTTGGGAATCAAACCTGACACTACATATTTAAGAGAGAAACACCCTACCACAGAGCCACACTCACACTCTCATCTATATTTTCTGGTTCTATTTCCTGGACATATATGGCGGGGAACCAGTGTTGTCTTCGGCCGCCATAGTCTCCCTTCCACCAGTCTTTCTCGGCCTTGTTTACGTTCTGGATGATGGCGTGTTTGGGGAACGTCAGCTCGTCGGGCATACTCGCGGTGTAGGAAAACTTGGTCTTCACGTGGATCTGGGAAGAGAAATAACGTCACTCAACATTCATTCCGATGTGTTCATTTACATTAAGTACAGTAAAGCCTCGAAAAACGATGTTAATGTGTCCTCCAATATTACGGTGTGAGGTGAATCGTCTTTTCGCGAATCATTAATTACCATTAAAATAAAGCAATAATAATGAGATGCGTTCCCAAGTGTGACCTTTTCATATCTTTTGTGTGGCCTTTTACCCTCTTTTCCCCCAAAAAACAATACAATTAGTGAAAAGTGCAAACTATACTCTTTAAATAATGTTTCTGAATGCACCTTATACAATATAAATGAATAATAAAATGGTCACACAAGAGATGGGATGCCATTGTTTTCGTTTGTGTTTACAGCCGGGACGATAGTTCTACATGAGAAAATGAAGAAAATAAGACCCTGGTTGTAGCTGTAGCGAACTTAATTAAAAAAAATTGAATAACTGTATGTATGTTTTAAGTAATGTTATTTAATGTTAATAAATGGAACACTAAGAGTAGCTAACCACTAATGATAAAGAAATAATGTGAGATGATTGGGAACGCCGACGTATGAACAGTTAGTGCGTACATGTGAAAACATATCGTCATTTCTCAACATATGAATATGAAAGCAACACTTATTAACTGTTCATATATGTTTTGAATAATATTTATGAATGTAAAACTAAAATTCTATTCACCAATGGCGGTAAAGTCTAAAACATAAGGACAGTCAATGAATATTGTGCGAGTTTTTACTCAGATGACAAAGTCATCAGGTTCAACTCTGGCTGAAGCTGCAGCTTTCCATAAAGCTGTTGCTGAAACTGTTACTGAACATGAAGTTGATGTTGAAGCTGCTTATGATGCTGAATTTGATGGTGTGGCTGAAGTTGATGGTTCAGGCCTTCGAATAATAAAGCTCTCAAAAGAACCTTGCTCAGCTGCTTTCTTTTCTCATTATACATCTTTATGTAGAGGTCATTATCTTGTGTTTATTTAAATTTTAACGCTTTGTTCTGTTAATGGATCCACTTCAGAAAATATGTTCATTGCTTGCTCCATATAATATCCACAGACCTCTTACCTTTTTCATATCGTTTCAACACATCTAGCTCTCTTGCTCATGTTGAATAGGGATGGAAAAATGCTGTAAGAAACCTGATAAAGTTTTTCTCCAGTTCCTGTTCCAGATGAGTGAAAAAAAAAGGCCTGTCAAGCTCCGACTGTTGTTTACCACTCACTAGTAATGCAGCTTCTTTGTGCAAGGCGGTATTAATTTTTTTACAGTACAGTGGCCCCTCGGTTAACGAACTCAATCCGTTCCAGAAGGTCGTTCGTTAACCGAAACGTTCGTTAACAGAAACCATTGTTTCAATGGGTTTTTGGGTAATTGGTTCCAGCTCACCGAAAATTTCCTAAATTCAACAAAAATGGCGGAAAAATTTACTTACTTTGAGGTGTGTATGTAGAAGGCTCCTGGATGATGGTGATGATGTGCATTTGAAGTGGGAGGTGCAGGAGGAGAAGGGAGAAGAGAAGGAAGTGGAGGTGGAGGAGAAGCATTTTACTGCTTCTTGGAAGGTGAGTCACCTTCCATGAAAATGTCAGGAACCTCTGGACTGACAGATTCTCCACCATGAACATCCTCTCTCCTTCTTGAAGTGGAAGGCTGAGGGCTAGCATCTTGTTCCCTCTGCTTTTTACTGAAGAAAGTGTCAATTGTGGTCTGTGGGGCATCTGTCCTCCTCACCATTAACTTATGTTTAAAGAAGGAGACCACTGAGTCCTCAACATGACACAAAGCTAGTTCAGTTTTTTCCACTTCTGGGTGCTTTGAAGCCAGTTCCCTGAACTTCTCCCAGTGGTAAATCACATCTTTCAACTGTGTAGCTGACATATGGTCATCACTTTCAATTTCCTCCTCACCACTGTCAGCCTCTACCCGTAACATCTCATCCAGTTCCTTCAAGTCATTAGGAGTAAGTTCCTCCTCATGAGACATCACAAGCTCTTCCACATCCTTCTCCTCCCCTTCAAGACCCAATGACTGACCAATGGACACAATCTCCTGGTCCAACTCTGTGTCATCCTCAAATCCCTCAAAATCATGGACTACTGATGGCCACAGTGCTTTCCATGAAGAATTGAGGGTTCTATTGGAGACTTCTTGCCATGATGACACAATCAATTTTACAGCCTCCAGGACGTTGAATTGTGTCTTCCAGAACTGTTTCAGTGTTAGTTCAGGATCAATGGAAGTTGCCTGATGACACCTCCTAAACATTTTCTTCATGTACAACTTCTTGAAGTTGCTGATCACATTCTGGTCCATTGGCTGTATGAGTGATGTAGTGTTTGGAGACAAAAACAACACTTTCACAAAGTCAAATTTATACTCCAAATTTCTGGCAAGGTCAGGGTCATGACCAGGAGCATTATCCATGAGGAGAAGAGCCTTTACAGGAAGTTTATTGGTGGTTAGGTAGCTCTTGACAGAGGGGCAAAACACATCAATAGCCCATTCATTAAAGAACTGTCTTGTCACCCATGCCTTACGGTTGGACTTCCAATAAACTCCAAGCATTGTTCTTACCACTTTCTGTTGCTTGAACACCCTGGGGTTTTCAGAGTGGTAGACAAGCATAGGCTTCAGTCGGAAATCCCCTGAAGCATTGGCACCAAGCAATAGAGTGAGACGGTCTTTCATGGGTTTATGCCCAGGTAAAGAGGCTTCATCATTGGTGATGAATGTTCTTTTGGGCATCTTTTTCCAGAACAGCCCAGTTTCGTCAACATTGAAAACTTGCTGTGGAAGATAATTTTCTTCTTCCATCAGTTTTTTAAATTCAATTAAAAACTTTGCTGCCCCTTCTTTATCAGCACTAGCAGCTTCACCATGCCTAACAACACTTAAAATGTCACTTCTTTTCTTAAATTTTTCGAACCAGCCTTTGCTAGCCCGAAAATCTTCAAATTCTGTTCCTGAAGAACTAGGTTGATCTGTCTTTAAATGTTCATAAATCTCCCTGGCTCTTTCACAAATGAAATCACCAGAAACTGAATCACCTTTCATCTGTTTTTCCCTAATCCAGATGATAAGTAACCTCTCAGTTTCTACGATTAGGGATCTACTTTTAAACACTCTTGTAGCTTTGTCTCTCACGTTCACTTCCTTAAATTTGTCTTTTTGTGCAAGAATTGTCGACACAGTTGATGCCGACATGCCATATTCTTTGCATAGCGCATTTGATTTAATACCTTGTTCGTGTTTTTTTATTATTTCCTGCTTCATTTGGATTGAAATCACTTTTCTTGATCTCTTAGGCCCCATGCTAGATTCAAACAATGGCAACACGTATTTTTCAAAGTTAAACTAGCTGTAAATAAAGAATATTTTCTTTAAAATAACACTGCACTGCACTATATATTGTCAATATGTAAAATAATTTTCAAAATGACCAATAATTTGCTTGGAAACACAGAAAAAAAGCGTTTAGTTGAAGAGAGTCTCAAGCAAGATGTTACCTCCAATGAAAACAGAGAGAGACTGACGCCTGTTTGCTGTGTTAAGAGGCTGGATGCCGCGCATTAAACTAGTCACTTTACCTTCAATTATGTTCAATAATTGTTAAAATGACTAAAAAAGTTAATATTAAACTTTTAAAATAATTGAATAGTATAAACTTCTTGATATTTACAAAAATAGTAAGGAATTTAAGCCCTAGAACCGATTAATGTATTGGCGGACTGATACTAAAGCTGGTTGCCCGGTCAGTGCAAGCGAAAACATGTTGAGGTCGGTTCGTAAGAAGTTCGTTAAGCGAAATATTTTTCGTTAAACGAATTGAAGATCCTTATGGAAGGCAGTTCGTTAATCGAAATTACGTTAACCGAGGTGTTCGTTAAACGAGGGGTCACTGTACTTTTTTTTTATAATAAATAACGGGATTTAGTTATTATTGATATGAAAATGTAATTTTATTTTATTTTTATTATATTTTGGTCGTAAATACGAATGAAATAAGGACGTAAACCTAATTGGGTCCTAAATTATCTAGGGTTTCAAATACTAATGAAATAAGAATGTAAACTGAATCGAGTCCTAAATTATCTAGGGTTTCAAATACGAAAAGTTGTTGGACGAATCGTTGTTATCCGAGGCTTTACTGTATTTCATTAAAGTTATTACAAAAAGTTCTTTGAAAAAATCACAAATTGGTCTATGTGTTATATTGACTCAACACAAGAGGGAGTTCTGTATCAGCACTTTATGGATAAAGACTTATACCGAAACAAGACCCAGTAAAGACTCACGTTGCTGACGAACGATACGTAGCCCCCTGCCTGTGACCCCCCAACCTGGTCCTAAAAGAAAGAAATGCAAAATTAGTGAAAACTCTTTTTTTTCTTTTTTTTTACATTATCTTAAGATGAATAATTTGAATCACAGTTCGGATAGTTTGGACCAAACCATCAGGCAAGTAAGTCCAGATGTTCACCCAACTGTTATATTACTGAAAATAAAGAAACACAGTAGGGGAGATAGTCCACTAACCCCTTGTGTACGGGGTCACCTCTCGGCTGAATAAAATCATCCAGTGTTAACCAAATAAATTATCAAAAGTCTCGTCCCCGCAGTGAAGGGTTTAATATACCGAGAGCTATACAACATGACATCACCACACACTCGTTCATCCCATTATATAAACCATTACAATAATTTAAAAGACAAGAAAAAGCCTTAAAGAGTAGAGGGAAATCAGAATATCAGAGAGTTCATCCAATATCCCCTACAGGGGCTTCACTATTCCCTACAGGGGCTTCAATATCCCCTACACAGGCTTCAGTATTCTTAAAAGTGAGTTGCTGTATAGACTTACTGACCTGCTCTAACAAGTCCTTCATGACAGCCTCCGTCACAGGGTACCGTAACTTTACGTGGCGGAAGATGTAGTTACGTTCGTAGTACTTGATGAGGTCCACGAGGCTGTCGAAGGTCGCCGTGCCGATGGTGAAGGATTGGTCCTCCTGTTTGACACGGCAGTGCTTGGTGCAGCCCTCGGCTCTGTGGGGTGACAAGTCTCGGTGTTATCAGTAACGGGAAATATCCACATGAGAGATGTATCTAAATTTGCAGCAATAGCTTTAGAAGTGTGTTTGAATTATCAACTGTAAATAATGTATCATGAGATTTGAAAACATTTTGAACAATTCTGGTCGGTTCTAAAATACAATACTGTACAGTAAACCCTTGTTCACGGGGGTTAGGTTTCAAGGAATAGCGTGAATAGGCAAAACCACAAATAGCAACTTGTACTACCTTAATGTACTACTGTATACCTACACCAAACAACCCACCAGCACGAGCACCATCCCCTGCCTTTTAAATTTCACTCCACAAGCATCATTAGCACTGACACTAGGCAGTCTTTTAGGGGCTCTTTCACACAGAAACACTAAACCCCCAAATGGGAAGGGTCTACTGTACTGTACTACTGCATTTCCAATTATGAGAAATGTTTCAAAGTATTTTATAAAGGGTCAGACTGTTTAGCGGAGGTGCAGTTGGCCTCACCTAAATGATATGGTTATGCTGCCGGGTTCTCTACTCGGTCTGACGAGAAAAGCTCCATCCTCTGGGATGCGTCCGAGGTAATCCTCTGCTTCTTCGCTGGTAATGTTGGCGTGGTACCACCCCCTCTTCTCGTGGCTGTTGGTCTGCGGCACCGCTTCTCCCAGGGTCACCGACACATTCTAGTGACACATACAGAAATGTCTCCTGATAATCAACAGAACTTTAGAAATGAGTTACACCTCAAGTCAAGATTCATTAAGAATTACAAGAACACTATGAAGGTACAGCTCACCTGGGCACATATGGGATGGGTACGATAGTATGCGATGAGGGCATGGAGACTGTCGAAGGGGTCACTGTCTCGCAGCCAGTACCTAGTGGTGTCCCCCTCCTGCCGGGAGTATATGCGACAATGACTTGCCTTCCCTTGGTGCCTGGGGAGTAAAACAAACAATACATATGATGCAGGAAAAGTCACTCATCATAAACAAACAACAATGAAAAACATCCCCACATTCAATGGTGGTCATAAGATCATCTGTGTCAGATTCATCTAAAATCCAATGACATTCATGTTACAGCATAAACAAAGACCTGTAAAGCTGTGACTGAAGGAGCAAACACCTATTGCTCCCCTCGTCATCACAAAAGACACACTGTACCCACATCAGCACACACACACAGATGATGATGACAAGACACAACTACAATCTCAAGGGCATAAATGATGTCAGTGGGGATGACAATAGAACTTGGACTGAATTAAGGACCATATGGATATAGAAGATTGACCTAAATTAGTGATGGTGCATTTAATCAGGTAAAATAATCTTAAATGGGGTGCCTAATCTCCCGGTGACACAAAATAAACTACCCAAGCTCACCAGAAAGACAGCGAGTGATCACCGACGAAGTTCTCTGACAGCCGGACCAGGAAAGTTCCGTTCCCCAGATGTCTGTACTGGTGCAGGAGTTCTTCAGTCTTTGCTCGACCTCCTATCACCTTCCCATGGTACCACGGCTCTCGTAAGTGCTCCTCGTCGTCGCCCACCTGTTACGACAAGGTCAGGTCAATATGTGTTACTGTTACGACAAGGTCAGGTCAATATGTGTTACTGTTACGACAAGGTCAGGTCAATATGTGTTACTGTTACAACAAGGTCAGGTCAATATGTGTTACTGTTACGACAAGGTCAGGTCAATATGTGTTACTGTTACGACAAGGTCAGGTCAATATGTGTTACTGTTACAACAAGGTCAGGTCAATATGTGTTACTGTTACGACAAGGTCAGGTCAATATGTGTTACTGTTACGACAAGGTCAGGTCAATGTGTGTTACTGTTACGACAAGGTCAGGTCAATATGTGTTATTGTTACAATAAGATTAGGTCAACAAGTGTTACTGTTACAACAAGGTCAATAACACACAAAGATAAACGACCACACAGGGTCCACCACTCACATCGTTTGGCAACCTCAACCAGCTGGCTTGGTCGTCTGTCTCCGCCTCCTGATCATTCTGAGCCTCGGTGAAGTAGAGGTGATGATCCTGCGTGAGGACAAAGAAGTGAGCCTCCCAAGCTGTTGAGTCTACGGGGTTCTTGAGGTAGAGGCGGTCGCTCTTGATACTCAGTTTACTCAGCCCCATCTCTCCTCCCTCTGACGATCACAATAATGAGTTACAATTGTTTACTCAGTTTACAAGTAGAGATCAATATATAAGGTGGAAAGTTAGAGTATTAATTACAAGCTAAACTACAAATGCTGATTAACATAAAGTTACATTAAATATTAAGTGTAGATAGTATAATTAGTGGTGCCTTAACTTACATATGAACAGAAATACAGTGTCCTATTTTTGTAGATATGTACGAAATACAGTTTGGATTTATGCCAGGTAAGGGGACTACAGAGGCAATATTTATGGCCAGGTACTGTAGCTACAAAAGAAATATCTTGGGATGGAGACAAAATTTTACTTTTCTGTAGACTTAGAAAAGGAATTTAACAGGTTACCATGTGAAGCAGTAAAGTGTGCAATGAGAGAGGCAGGAGTCAAGGAGCACCCAGTACCTTGTTCAAGTAGTTATGACATTATATGAAGGCTCAAAAACCTATGAGAGTAAATGGTGAGGAATTTAAGAGTTTTGTATATGCAGGTAACCATACCTCCACAACAAAGCTGGAGAAACTCAACCTTGAAAATATTGGACTGTGTTGATAAGTTCTGTTACCTGGGTGACATGATCAGTGCTGATGGGGGTGATGAAGCCTGGTAAGTTCTAAGAGTCAGAAGTGGCTGGAGGAAGTTTATGAAGCTGGACTGATATGAGAGGAGGAATGTATGTAGCTGGTGTGAGAAGTGTGATGTTGTGTGGCGATGAAACTATCACCACAAAAGAACTTGAATTAAGCACTTACGTTCATCCACGTTGGCAGCCAGCGGTGTACACTCATCCGTGCCACTTGGTAGTTTTCTGTGTTTTAATATAAACTTTCTCTTGAGCTGATCAGGTGAAGGCATGAGCTGGTGAAAGAAAGAAGTGTACAATTAATGACCACATTTTGATACAACTTATATTTTACTGAGGCAGAACTTATGACATTATAGATTTGAATTTACAAATTATAAATAATATCCTTGATGAGTAACGCTGACTGAATTTATGTGACAAGACGAAAAAAAAAAACCCAGATGTCTCGAGGCAGAGCACAACGGTAGAACACATCTGATACAACAGTTAGTGAATGAAATAACAGCAAAGATACCTGATGACCCAGTCTATTTTCCTCTTGATTTTCCCCAACTTAAGCACAGTGGGAAAAGCCTTAACAAATTAATAAATAAATAAAAATCAATACCTACTGTGAGATCTGTTAGTCAACTGTGTAAGATCTGTGAATAAGAATGACTCGGCACTAACCTGTTCGTTAATATCTATTGGGGCAACAAGAAGGGAGTCACCAAACGTCTCCTTAAATCGCCACGCCATCTCCAGCTGCTGAGGAAGAGTACAGTGGTCTTCTATGGACAGGATAACTGGATATCTGTTAACATTAATATCCAGGAATTACCCAACCGTTTGAAAATACTTGTGGGGAGTTCAATCTTGTCAACCTCCGTCGACCATCAAATGTTCCAAGAATTATTCGAGTATTCGTATTCTTCTCAGTTCTTGTTTCTACTCTTAACAACTTTATATCAAGTGTTAATTTCCCCCATAAACACAACACTTCTCTCATATTTGATGGACTGTACCTCAGCCAACCTACAAGTTATCTCGGACTGTTGTGGCTACTGTACCTCAGCCAACCTACAAGTTATCTCGGACTGTTGTGGCTACTGTACCTCAGCCAACCTACAAGTTATCTCGGACTGTTGTGGCTACTGTACCTCAGCCAACCTACAAGTTATCTCGGACTGTTGTGGCTACTGTACCTCAGCCAACCTACAAGTTATCTCGGACTGTCGTGGCTATCACCTGAATGCCTCCAATAAACAACACTGTCGTCACTCGTTGATGTGTGTAGTCTCCCACAAGATGAGATGCGTTGCCGTTATAAAATAATCATTCACGTGATCGACACAAACACCGGTGAGGCTACGATTCAAAGGGCGTCTTGTTCGAATGGTACATTATATAAAGGTCCAAAATAACTGAGAGTAAATGGTGAGGAAAGTGAGGTAAAAGTAGGAATCCATCTGTCTGTCTTGAGCCCCCTCCCCCCCCTCCCCTTCTATTTATCATGCTGTTGGAAGCAGTCACGGGGCTTTAGGACTGGACTGTTGTACTGAAGAGGCGGTGGAGAAACTCAAGAAATGGAAGGATGAAACTAAGACAATGGGCCTACCTAATGCAAAGACAACCTAACCTAACCTACCTAATGCAAAGGCAATTTAACCGACCCTGTGTTACAAAACCAAATCTATGCTATTATAACATAAACTAACCTAACCTAAACTAACATAAACTAACCAAACAGAAAATAACCTAACCTAACATAAACTAACCTAACCAGTCCCACCTTATCCTAAACACTCCTAACCTAACATCTCCAAGAAGCATTAGGGTGTTTAATCTTCAGGTGGTCTTCCCTCTCACTTACTCTGAGGTGACGAAGGCATGGTCTCTTATGGTGGTGAGGACGTCAACGAACTGGATTTTCGAGGTCATGGTGTGGCCGTGGAAGATAACGGGACTGTTCTCGGGTCCGTCCCAACAGTCCAGCTCGATGCTGCGGCAACCCTGACGTAGGACCCTGGCATAGGACTCGGGGGAGGAAGAACTCATCAGTTGATCACCAGTTAGGTATCTGTGGGGGTCAGGAGGGACAGTTACTAAAATGTTAAAGATATTTACTAAAATTATAAGACAGGAAGATAGTGAGTGAGGTGAGGAAGATAGTGAATGAGGTGAGGAAGATAGTGAGTGGGGTGAGGAAGATAGTGAGTGAGGTGAGGAAGAAAGTGATGGAGGCGAGGAAGCAAGAGGCAGTAATAGTGAAGAAGATAGTGACTTGGGTGAGGGAAATACCTACGTGTTGTGCGAGGAGGCTATCCAGTAATGCGTGAGAGGTCTGGTCATGTCCTGGTTGACTATGCTATGCCGACGGTCCCACAGTTCGTTAGTCTTGGAAAATAAGTATTGCACAAACTGTAAAAGACAGAGACAAACACTTAGGGGCCAACACAAAAAGACTAATGCGAAGGTAAACTGGTGAATATGACGTATGACTTAATGACAACAATAAGGAAGAGGAGAATTGTATAGTTGTATAGCTGTATGGAAAAGATATACAATAAACTTTCCTGTATTATACTTGGAGAATATATCCCATTTCATGTTGTGGTTAGGTTAGGTCTTTCACTGGAGCGCTACAGAAATGGAATTCAACTTCACGCTGAACCAAACGTAACCTAACCTATACACAACGTAAAGGGCATTAAACGGGACATTTTCACGGATACGCATCTTACAGACTACTTGAACCGATACCACGGGGGGGGGGGGCGGCATGTTTAACACTCTGCATCAAGCCACACACACAAATAGGTACACTATGCAAGGATTAGAACAATTAAGGCTGGTGAGGGGACCAAATTCCCAAAAGTTCGTGCATTATTTTTATAGAAGTTCGTGGATTATTTTTACAGATCACTCGATATAATAAATGACCAAACTGAGTTCACGTGATGATTAAACACCCTAATGCTACCTGAGGGAGTTAGGTTGGGTTTGGTATGGTCAAGCTAGGCTAAGTTAGAATTAGGTTAAGTTAGGTAAGGCAGCACACACACTGAAACGATACTGTAAATTAAAACTCCACCGTAAACCAAAACTCTACTGTAAATTGCAAATGTTCCTGTAAATTGAATCTATACAGTAAATTAGTGTAGAATTAATAGAAGGTAAACAAGAAAAACCCACACAGTTTAATCTTATGTCAAATTCTGCCATTGTCATCATATATCAAAGACAACACAAACCATACACACTACAGTACAGTAAGTCCTCGTTTAACATTGTCCCCGATAACGTTGTTTCTGGATAATGTCACTATTCTTTAGATACCTGTGATTCGGACAATGTTCCGCCAATTCAGTAAAACGTCGTCACAGACTAGTTTGTGTGGAGCATCACCCTCTCTCATCTTGGCGGTGGAGCATCACGGCGTCCCCAGTCTTTGTTAAGCTACCACAGCGTTTGTGAGTGTTTAAGTGTTTTTGCTTCCAAGCGCCGATCAAGTGCTACTGATGCTAGTGTTGTGAAGAAGCAACGCAAGACTATTAGCCTTGCTACGAAAATGGAGGTTTTAAACCAGGAGGAGGAGCTACCGGCCGGGTCTCAGTGACTAGCCACCCTCCTCCTCCGCTCCACCACCTCCATCCATCAATGAGTACAATACAAAATGATTTAGTTATTTTTATATATATATATATACTATTTAATATAAAAATGCCATTGATTTTCTGTATGTGTAATGTATTTCATGGGCCAAGGGAGGCTGGGGAACATAACTCCCGTATTTTATCTATTTCTTATGGGGAAAATTGATCCGCTTAACGCCGTTTCCGTTTATGTCGCGGTTTTCAGGAACGGAACCACGACGTGAAGCGAGGTCTTACTGTACATAGCATACATACATAACACACAACATACATACTACAGAACATATATACACAACATACAGTATATACATAATACACATATAAAATACATATAAAGGATCCACATTACAGATATTGTTTACACCGAGACAGCCTTGGATCGTGGCTCACTAATTCTCACAAACCCCGACACGGTAAATACACCCCTGAGAGAGAGAGAGAGACCGACCTCCTCCAACAAGAAGTACGGCTCCTGGATGTCTCTCTGGGGATCCTGTACGAAGTTCTTGATGATGGCGTCAGCTGTGTGCTCCACCTCCTTCTGTTCCTCCACCAAGAACATCTGGAATTCCTGTAGGGTGACGGTCTTCATGTTGGCGCTGTACTTCTCCAGGAGTGTGGGACCCCTGTCTTCTTCTACGGTGCTGAACATCTCTCTCTGAAGCAAATCAAACATAGAATAAGGAAGAAGAATAAGACGAGTGATAATTATTCCTTATTCATTAGGTCTGGCCTCTCCCCATATGTGCCAAAATGGAATGTAAGGACCATGGAACTTTCACTGATGATGGCTACGTCCCTACAGCTAACTTCCACTGATGATGGCTGCCGTCCCTACAGCTAGCTTCCACTGATGATGGCTGCCGTCCCTACAGCTAACTTCCACTGATGATGGCTGCCGTCCCTACAGCTAACTTCCACTGATGATGACCAGCGTCCCTACAGCTAACTTCCACTGATGATGACCACCGTCCCTACAGCTAACATCACACACTCAAGCACCTCCCATCACCACCACACCATACCCCTGTGAGTCTGTCCCTTAAGGAAACTCACATCAGCCTGCTCATCCCATACGACCTTCTTTATAAGCTCGTAGAACTGGTCAAAGCTTATCTCTCCCTGGTTCTGGTCGTCTACGGTTTCAAAGAGAAGCTTCAGTCGAGTCGTGTTCATCCTGTAGTAGACCCGGGGGAGGAAATTCTTCACGTCCCGAAACGTTATCCTGTAGAAGGTAATATTCCTAAGTTATATGGTAGATCACCTGAAGATTAGACACCCCAGCTTATTTCATCTGAAGAGTAAACATATTAATATAACGTAACCTGATCCAACCTAACATATCCTAACCTAATATGCCAGGAAATTCAGTAGGTTATGTTAAGTTCAGTTAAATTAGGTCAGATTAGATTAAGTTAGGTTAGATTAAGTTAAGCTAGGTTAGGTCAGATTTAGTTAGGTTAGATTATGTTAGATTAGCATTAGAGTGGATAATTTTAGGTTAGGATGAATAAGCTTGGTTAGGTTAGCATTAGCGTGGATAGCCATCAGGCCATCACATTTTCTCAACATAAATTCACCAAGAAACAAACAACAACACTGACCTGTTCCTCTCGTTCTCCATGATATAAAACTCGGTGCGTATGAACTTCTCCAGCTGGGTGATGTACGGCACGTTCTGCACCTCGGTCATTAGGTACTGGATCCCGGTGGTACACGCATTGCAGTCCTCTGGTCCCATAGCTACAAACATCAACAACAAATACAGTAATACGGTGTTTTAAATAATGAATAAAAAAAATACAGGTATAGACCCTTAAAACTGTGACCAATACTGAATCCATTTTGAAGGTATTGTACTCTCATTTCCTGGTCATCCACATTACCCAAGACCTCCCAGTAAAATACCCACATTTTTGTTTCTACTCACACAAACTTAAATTACAAAGGGGTGTGGTGGTCAAGTGGATACAATGCTCGCCTCTTATTCCAGGAGTTGGTGGTTTGATCCCCATGCACTCCCCCAGCCGTAAATGGGTACCTATGTTTACAGCTTGGGGAAGTGGAGGCGGTAGAGTGCAGTACCGGCCATGCTGCCTCCTTGTGTACTGAAACTTGGTATACAGTGTGCTCTATCCACGCTGCCCCTAATTGGTAGTCATGCCTATGAGAACCACTTAAACTGTTTTCTATAGATAACCTCATTTACAAACCTGCAATAGACACAGATCATTTACACACCTGCAATAAACACAATCATTTACAAACCTGCAATAGAAGATCATTTACAAACCTGCAATAGACACGGATCATTTACACACCTGCAATAAACACAATCATTTACAAACCTGCAATAGAAGATCATTTACAAACCTGCAATAGACACGGATCATTTACACACCTGCAATAAACACAATCATTTACAAACCTGCAATAGAAAATCATTTACAAACCTGCAATAGACACGGATCATTTACACACCTGCAATCGACAGTGTCCTCAGCCTGAACTCCTTCCCATAGAACACAACGAAGCATTTGGATTTGTCTTCTCTCTTGGATTCGTCCGGCCATTTGTCAAAGTCTTTGGAGCCTCCTTTACCCGGCCGAACTTCCTTGATATCACTAAGAGAAGCTGGAAAACAAACACACACTTAGTATTTACTTTACTTTATCCTCATCACCACTGACCAGTCTGTTAACCTCTTGGGCAGTCAGTTATGTCTCTCTTACACACTGTTGGCAAGTTCTACTGGTGCTCTGTTACACACTGTTGGCAAGTACTACTGGTGCTCTGTTACACACTGTTGGCAAATACTGTACAGTAAGTCCTCGCTTAACGTCGTGGTTACGTTCTTGTAAAACACAACGTTAACGGAAATCAAATTTTACCATTAGAAATACATAAAATACAGGAGTTATGTTCCCCAGCCTCCCTTGGCCCCATAAAATACATTACACATACATAAATTCAATGGAAATTTCATACAAAATATATATTATACATCCAAAAAGATGAATAAACTAAATCATTTTGTATTGTATAGGCAGAGGTGGAGTTAATGTGTGGTGGGTAGCGGAGAGGAGGAGGAGGGTGGCGAGGCACTGAGACCCGGAGAGGGGCTCCCCTTCCCGCTCTGACTGGGGTTCCCCCTCCATTTTCGTTGCAAGGCTAATGGTCTTGCATTGCTTCTTCACAACAATAGCATCACTAACACTTGATGAGCGCTTGGAAGCCATTTTGAATGGTTACAGCACAGTATTTCTAACAAAAACACTTGAGCACACAAATACACTGTGGAAGCCTAACAAAGACTGGGGACATTGTGACGCTCCGCGAGAGAGCGTAGCGCACCAAGAAGAGTGAGAGTGATGCGCCACACAAAGTAGTCCATGTTGGGTGATAACTTTATGACGAATTGGTCGGGACGTTGTCGGAATCACGGGTATCAAAAGAGTAGCGACGTATAATGAAACAACATCGTCTGGGACAACGTTAAACGAGGACTTACTGTACTGTCTCTCTGTTACACATTGTAGGCAAATACTGTACTGGATCTCTGCAACACACTCTTGGCAAGCCCTTCAAATTTGCGGATTTTTACTTCACGGTCCTCTATTATTCGCGGATGACACCCTGGATGTACCCAAGAATGTCTGTGGGTAGTTTTAAAGTTGCTGGCATTTTTGCGGCTGGGACAGGAAGCCATTCATTCTAGAGACAGTAATTTCTTTTACCTGTATTGTGTGTGTGTGTGTGTGTGTGTGTAGAGACACACCCAAAACACATACAGAAAAATAATAATGGAAAAATTCTCTCACAAATTATCAGAAATAAATGTATAGAAAATATCGAGTTTACTCAACATTTTTAATACATTTGTTTCTGATTAATTATTTGTGAGAGGATTTTACCATTATTATTTATCTGTATGTGTTTTGGGTGTGTGTCTACACACACATATACTGTATACAATACAGGTAAAAGAAATAATTGTCCTAGGGGCAAACACATAAAGGGAATATACATTTATTTGCACACAAGTAAAAATGAACCCCCCTGGTCAGCAAATGTTATTCACGGATTTGGGGATTAGAGGCCATTTTTAGAACCTAACCCCCATGAATTTAAAGGGCATGTTGTACTGTACATTACCTTGCTTAAGAGTGTACCTGAACCTGCATCGATCATTCTATTCAAGGTTCCACTATGCTAAATATATGTTATATTAAATACAGTAGTATACTTCAACCTACTTCACATAACTAATAATAATGGGATTTAACACAGCAGATAGCCTTATGAATACAAAAAATTAAACCCACACAACAATACATACATAACACACACAATACATACATAACACACACAATACATACATAACACACACAATACATACATAACACACACAATACATACATAACACACACAATACATACATAACACACACAATACATACATAACACACACAATACATACATAACACACACAATACATACATAACACACACAATACATACATAACACACACAATACATACATAACACACACAATACATACATAACACACACAATACATACATAACACACACAATACATACATAACAATCCCCAACCATATTACATAAGCACCAACAATTAAATATCCACTAGAGTTATATAACGTATAATAAAGATTCCAGTAATTACCAACCATTTTATGTATTCTGGGTAGATAAATAATTACAGAAACAATCCTATTATACATTCAACAATTTAATGGCAGGTAGTTAAGGAATTTATTTTCCTGCCACGACCAGAGACAATGGCCATGATAACATTTCCTGTTGCCACTTACCACTTCCTTTCCTGGGGGGAGGGAGGGAGGGAGGGAGGGAGGGAGGAGGGAGGAGGAGGGAGGAGGAGGAGGAGGAGGAGGGATAAGACAGGAATAAGATGAGAAAGAAGGAGGGAGGAGAGGGAGGGAGGAGAGAGAGAGAGAGAGAGAGACATATAAGACAGGAAGAAGATGAGATAGAAGGAGAGAGAGAGAGATAAGACAGGAATAAGATGATTGATAGCGAAAAAAACCCAGAGACGGAACAGATAGAGAGATAAACAAGAGACGGAGAGTAATAATAAGAACAACAACACTGTACGCACTAATGATTTCCGAGGCATTCTGAGACCTGGTCCAGATAATGTGCCCGGTCTCACGACGTATCTTAAGTCTCCCAGTTTCAGGGCGGTGGCGGCAGGAAAAGCGCCGGACAGCCTTGCCCGACTCGAGCTGTTGTGCCATTAGCTCTGTCTCTCGGAACAAGTTTGAATGGTAGCCCATCATCTTGGGAGGTGCTGGCAGAGGCTCTTGTTCCTGTGAAGTTATGAATCAATTAATAAAACACCTCTGTAGATAATATGTATATAGACAATGCAAGTATACAGTTCAGCATGTACAGTACATAAGAACATAAGAATGGAGGAAACTGCAGCAGGCCTATTGACCCATACTGGGCAGTCCCATTTACACCAAACCCCTATCGCTCATATATCCATCCAGCCTATGTTTGAAGCTATCCAGCGTATTCAAGTTGATGATGATGTTCGGTAACTTGTTCCACTTGTCCACTCCTCTATTTTCAAACCAATCTTTACCTATCTCGTGCCTAAATTTGTCTAATTTAAAACCATTGTCTACAAGTTCATTCCTAGAGCCTTGTATTGAGCAAATACACATTGTTGACTTGGTTTAAGATTCCTACTAATCATTACTCCTAAATTTTTATCAGTCGGATTCCTCAATAACATCGTTGTTCATCTGGTATCTGGTTTCTCTGTTTACATCTCCTAGACCAAGTACTTTACATTTGTCCACATTAAATTTCATCTACCATTTTTCAGACCATGCAAAAAATATGTTTAGATCTTCCTGTAGTTTTACGGAGTCCTCGTCAGATTTAATTACATGCCCTATTTTAGTGTCATCAGCAAATTTACTTATGTTGCTGTCTAGGCCTACAGTATATCTATGTCGTTTATGTATATAATAAATAGTAATGGTCTAAGTACTGAGCCTTGGGGTACTCCACTAATGACATTACCCTAATCGGATTCATTGCCGTTACTGCATTGACTTTCTGATTCCTAACCTAACCACGCCCTAATCCAGTCTAGAACATCTACTCCAATGCCATGAGCCTCCACTTTACACATTAGTCTTTCATGGGGGACTCTGTCAAAGGCGTTGCTAAGTCAAGATATACCATATCATAGTCGTGCCAGTCGTCCACTGAAAAGAATGTTCATAGATTAGTCAGACATGAAAGCCCACTTATGAAGCCATGATGGGAGACATTGATCAACTTGTGCTTCTCCAGGTGATTTTAAATAGTTTGAAATTAATGCTTCCAGCAATTTGCCTACAATTGATGTTAAACTGATCGGATGGTAGTTAAAGGATAGTGATATATCTCCCTTCTTGAAAATCAGTATTACATTTGCTATCCTCCAGGATTCTGGTACTACACCTGTTTTTATTGACATGTAAAACAAGTTTGCTGAGAGTACACCAAGTTCTTCCAGTGCTACTATAGTGTGCAGTCTCCCGAGCTGGATTCGTGTCTACCGGGATACTTACACTGTATCATCCATTACACTAACATAACCTAACCCATGTTAGGTTAAGATAGATTAGGTTAACAATCTCGGGATCAGCCAAAATTTATTTAACAAGCCTGTGTCAGGACCACTCTTGAGAGCATAAAATGACCAGAACTTGCGGAGAAGATATTTTATTCCCGAGCGCTATTTGTGGGTAAGATATTGCCAAATATTTATTAAATGATGCCTTCCTATGTAAAAAAAAGGGCTGGAAAATCACATGAAACCTTCAAAAATAGAAATAAATAAATAAAAGCCATTTTGGTGAGTATAAGTTAGAGTTTACTGTTGATTCCTCTTCATGCTGTACCCACATCATTACATCATTTAGCATAAAATACACATGGCAAGAAAGAGTAAATGAGGAAGACGCTCGTGTGATCAGAGAAAATAAGATAATGATAAAAATAACTACAGTATATGCCACAGTGGCGTGTCTGATCGTGAGGCTAAAGTGGAATTTACATTAATCAAAATGCCACATTGGCGTGAATTATCCCGAGTGTTAGGTTAAGATAGGTTGGGTTAACAAAGGTTACGTTAAGTTAGGTCAGGTTAAAATAGGTTACGTTAAGTTAGGTCAGGTTAGGTTAAGATAGGTTGGGTTAACAAAGGTTACGTTAAGTTAGGTCAGGTTAAAATAGGTTACGTTAAGTTAGGTCAGGTTAGGTTAAGATAGGTTGGGTTAACAAAGGTTACGTTAAGTTAGGTCAGGTTAAAATAGGTTACGTTAAGTTAGGTCAGGTTAGGTTAAGATAGGTTGGGTTAACAAAGGTTACGTTAAGTTAGGTCAGGTTAAAATAGGTTACGTTAAGTTAGGTCAGGTTAAAATAGGTTATGTTAAGTTAGGTCAGGTTAAAATAGGTTACGTTAAGTTAGGTCAGGTTAGGTTAGGTCAGGTTAGGTTAAGATATATTAAGTTAAGTAGGGTATTGGAAGCTACGGTGTCAATATCCCGGTAGACCAACTCCAGCTCAGTAGACCACACACTACAGTAGCACGGTCCTTCCTTACATTCCTTTAATACTCTGGCAAATATCTCATAGTGACCTGGCGACTTATTACCTTTTAGTTAACCTATTTCTTTACTAACATCTTCACTACCTACTGATATAAATCATGGATATATATCAATAAATAAAGAAGCATTGGACCAAATAATAAGGGTCAGATTAATTATTTTTCTAAATAGAATTCCCGTTTGGATATAATACACCCATAAGACTCTAATAAGGCTGTCATAATACTCTCACAATACTCTCATAATATTCTCTTATAAGACTCTTACAATACTCTTAAGGCTGATTCACTCTCACAAGGCTTTCATTCACTAGTTCTCAGAAGGCTCTTACTCATATAAAAACCTCTCTTAATGCTCACAAGACTCACATAATACACTCATAAGACTCACATAATACTCTCATAAGACTCAGTAGTCCTATTGGGTCAAAACTCACCCTGGAGAGCATAAATTAGGAGCGGTGCGGCGCCTCCGTCCTCCCCCGACCAGCTCTCAGACGACACTGCGCCAGCCTCAGAAGTAAACAAGGTAGACCCACCACTACTTCCTAGAGTATCTCATCTCTCGTTTCCTATTGGCTCTCTTTCACCAAACTCGTCGCTGATTGGTTCATTCTCGTCTTTAGCTATAGAGAGGATGATACGGATAATATGATTGGTCAGAGTTGGTGAGTGTTAGCCAATCAGGGTTGAGGAAGGGAGCGGCGTTTGTTTACATGGTGGTGAGGGTTAGGCGTAGGTGGTCTGAGGTGGTGGGTGTTTTTTAAGCCTTTTTTAGACTTTTACACGACTATTGTGTTTTATTTGGTTTTTTTTTTGTGTAGTTGTTTAATTTTGTGTTTTATCTCTCAGTTAGGTGTGGTTTTAGGGTTTATATTTGGTTATTTTATTAAATTAGGAAAGTTTTAAAAATTGTAGGGTGAATCTTTTTGAGTAATTCTATCCCATATTTCGTCGTGTTTTATCTCTTATTTTAATGTTACTGTTTGTTTTATTGTAGCTATTTCATTAGATGTTTTATTCCTTGATTAGTTAAGATTTTAGGTTTATTCCTGAGGTATTTTAGTTCAGTAGAGAGAGTTTCAATGCTGGTTGATGGTGCCACTAAACTGCTGCCATCACTCGAAAAATATAAAATAATAAGTATTTTAGCTTAGGTCAGGTTATATAGTTTGTTTTGGACCTTTGTGACCTGTTCCAGCATTCTTGAAGTAGCATGTACTATAGTGCTTTTATTCCCAGCTGAGAAGAGATGCCGGTCATTGTTAACCATCCATCAACTTTATAAGATTTTTTTATTTTACCATTTAACCCTTATGCCCCGGGTGATGTTCCAGAATGCCCGACTAGCACGCCCCGGGTGATGTTCCAGAATGCCCGACTAGCACGCCCCGGGTGATGTTCCAGAACGCTCGCCTTTTCCTGCCACTTTAAATGCCCAGCGCGGGTTATGAGGTTCCAGTGTGACTATGTGCCTGTCACGCCACACCTCGGCCACAGGGAAGCTTCCTCAACATAATTACCTACTTTTGTTTGTTTCATTTTCAGTGTCCATTTTATCATGTTGTATCAAAGTAATATTGCTGAAAGTAGTGTAGCGGTATTACTGTAAAACAATGCTGTGATTATGTTATAAATGTATTTATTTGTGGAATTATTATTATTTTATTCATTACTTGCTCTACCAAACACAAAGACAGCCAGGCAGACTGGCGACAGACTGCGTGTGTGTCGCCGAGCACTATTACGAAAAGTAATGCAAATAAAATATTATAAATTAATTATTTATAGCAAATAAGTAATATGATAATTTAATATTTGCATTAATGGCCATCCCGGACACAAGGCAAGCAGAAAATGGCTGCTAAGTGTGTAGTGACCACGAGCGTCAGCTGTCAAAACAACACTGACCCCTTATCTCCCCCCCCCCTCCACGCTGCCAGGGAAGTTTCTAGAGGGTCAATATATAGTTTTTCTTACTTATTTTTATTGTTTTATCATTTAAAAGGGATAATAGATCTCTGAGAAACCAAAGAATATACCTGAATTTAGCGAGAAATTCCAAAAGTAAACTCGATTTATTTGTTGTAATAATCATGGCCTGTCAGGTCAGGTTTGGCTAGGACGTGGCCTGTTAGGTTAGTTCTGGTAAGGTTAGTTTATTACGTAGATCTAGTTTTCAGCCCCCCCCTTGGCCCCCTTCTTTGTTGGAGTGGGAATAAACTCATTTAGAAAATCGTCATTACTTCAGGACAAAATCGGACTGATTTGCAACAGCCAATCAGCTATAACTTTTGAGGAGGGGGGATGGGCCATCTCTTCTCAGCTGGGAAAAAATTGCACTATACTGTACCACAAATTATAATGTTAAGCCAAACTAACCTAACCAAAAGTAATCGCTATCTTCTCTTATCTAAAAAAAATCTCCACTATGAAATGAACTTATCCTCAAATAGCTTCTGAGCCACATTATTATGCTATTTAGAAACAAGTTTACTCATTTGTGATTTAGGTGAGATGAAACTGAAACATGGAGGTCCATTGAAATCCCCAGCCCAGGGCCTTGTGGATATTTAATTGGTCCGGCCCTGAAAGTGCTGTCCAGTGAGGGCCATCATGGAAGACCTGACACAGCACTGAAGTATTCCTTCCCTGAGTGAATTCTTCCCACCGAATTTTCCCACAGCCTCAGCAGCCGTTATTTCCAACCATGATGGATATTCTGAGGGGTGAGCACATAGTGTCTTCAGCCTATGATTAAACTACCTGGATCACCTGAAGATTAGTCACCCCAGCTTGTTTCACCTGATGATTAACCACCCAAAGATGAGATAGACTTAAGGACTAATCTTCAGATGGTCTTTATATTTGTATCAATGTTTGTTTCCCATTTATCTCTTGATACAATGACTCAACTGTTGTCTGATTAATATTTATAGTGTAATAAATGATCTTTCAGCTGCGGTGTTGATCTTGCTCATCACCCGAGGAATACACTGCTCTCAGCGTAAAGGTACGATGAGCTTTTTAAATATGTTTTGATACAGTGAATGTGATAGATATTTGTTAATTGTTTGTAATTTTAAGACAGAATTGCTATTCAGATTTAGATACTTTAGCCAGAAACGTAAGTGTAAGTACAGATTAAGGAGATCATCTGAAGATTAGCCTCCAGGTTATTTAACCATCAGATTAACCACCCTAATGCTAAACTAACTTAATCTAATCCTCCCAGGTAGTATTAGGGTGTTTAATCATCTTATAAAAATTAGCCCCCTCAATTTCTTTAACCACAAGAATAAACACCGTAATAGATAACCATTTTTTCTTCAGATAGTTTCGTTTTTGTGATATTGAGCCAAGAGTCTGCAAGACATACCGATGCTGCCCGGGCCTTGTCATCACACCTCACCGCCGAGTGTAAACAACTTGATGTAGTACGTGTTGTGGTTTTTGATGGTAGTTCAGAATATTGTTGTGTAGAAGTTATTGATTGTAATTCAGAATGTTGTTTGTGAACTCTGAATACCTGTATAATTACTAGACATTAAGAAGAAGTAATGTGACATGTTTTACACTGTATGTTTGTAATTTACATAAGACACATTTCCTGACACACACAACATAAAGGAATGAGCCCAGAATTCCTTCCCAACGACACAGTCGCTGTTGACTTCGGATGCTCTTTCAGCCGTGTGTGGTGCACTTGGCGTGGGAGGACTGGCCTGGTGTTGCTGCCTGGACGTATTTCCCACTGCTGGAGAGGTAAGTTGTTTGGGTTGTGTTCCTACCTAACCTAACCTACCCTGCCCTGCCCTGCCCTACCCTACCCTACCCTACCCTACCCTACCCTACCCTACCCTACCCTACCTTACCTTACCTTACCTTACCTTACCATACCATACCATATCCCTTTTCCTAAGGTAGCAATAGGGTGTTTCATAATCGAGTGAAATAAGTTAGGGTGTCTAATCTTCAGGTAATCCTCTAAAGCTTATAAATTTGACATTTCCTTTGTTTAAATACTTCATTGATAAGACTTAGTGTGACCCACTCTCTGGGTGTGACCTATGAGACACCATGCATTCTATAGTGTGTGAACTATGAGACACCCTGCATCCTATAGTGTGTGACCTATGAGACACCCTGCATCCTATAGTGTGTGAACTATGAAACATCCTGCATTCTATAGTGTGTGATCTATGAGACACCCTAACAGTGATTTTTGTGTACAGGCTGAGCAACGCCCACGGCACCAACAGTTCCTGGGTCATTATCCTGGAGGAGTGGGTGACTGTCAGGCTGGGGAAACTTGTACACCTCCTCCATGACTACAATCCTTCCCAGGTGAGTGAGGTGCCTAATAATAATCAATGTTTATTTCTTACTTAGATTTCTTAGTGATTTATGTTCTTAAAGGCTATAGGAGTGTTTTATTGCAGTATTTAGTAGAATTATTTTGTTATTATTGCATTACCTTTATTATTAGAAGCCTTTGTCTCACTGTATGTAATTTAACACCTTGAAAAGAACTGTAATAGGATAAAGAATCATCAATGTTAAGCATTATTGTGTTTAATCCTTAGGCAAAATAAACATCTGTGGGGCTAATCATCATGTCATTTTGTTATGGTGAAATAAGCAACTGGGACTAATCTTCACATCATGATTTTACTGTATATTATCAAGAGGTTACTTAACAGAGGGCTTTTATTGGACGCGGCTTGGCGGACAAAGGAGAGAGCATCATCCACCACTTTACTGTTGTGGATCCAAGTCACCCCCTGTACTACCCAGACACCAGGGCAGGGATGGTACTGTCTACTGTGCTCGTCAACAGGTAACTCTCTCCTCCTGTCGACTGGGGTTGGTTATTGATGTCACAGATTAATTTTAGAAGACTTGATTGACTGTTGCCATTATGAAGCTAAAATAAATACAGTTGCTATTCTCAAGCTAAAATAAATACAGTTGCTATTCTGAAGCTAAAATAAATACAGTTGCTATTCTGAAGCTAAAATAAATACAGTTGCTATTCTGAAGCTAAAATAAATACAGTTGCCATTATGAAGCTAAAATAAACAGTTGCTATTCTGAAGCTAAAATAAATACAGTTGCTATTCTGAAGCTAAAATAAATACAGTTGCCATTATGAAGCTAAAATAAATACAGTTGCTATTCTGAAGCTAAAATAAATACAGTTGCCATTATGAAGCTAAAATAAATACAGTTGCCATTATGAAGCTAAAATAAATACAGTTGCTATTCTGAAGCTAAAATAAATACAGTTGCTATTCTCAAGCTAAAATAAATACAGTTGCTATTCTGAAGCTAAAATAAATACAGTTGCCATTCTGAAGCTAAAATATATAGTTGCCATTATGAAGCTAAAATATATGCAGTTGCCATTCTGAAGCTAAAATAAATACAGTTGCCCTTCTAAAGTCAAAATTACTACATAATATTTTTTGTGTTTGACTCAGAATTGCCAGTAGATGGTCAGCAGCTTCCACACGACCAGGCTCGGATTTCACCATCGACGCTCCGTACGAATTTGCCAGTTTCGTGAAGTCTGATGGGGTAGAACTGACCCACCACGAAAGCGTGTGCGTCCAGGAGAAGCCCGGGTGTGCCACGACTTATAACCCGCCTCAGATGTGTGTGAGTCGCCCGTTCTTCTCACTGACTATGGGGTCACCTGATGATTAGCCCTCAAGCTTATTTCATCTGATGATTAGTCCTTCTTAAGCTTATTTCACCTGATGATTAGACCTCAAGCTTATTTCACTTGATGATTAGTCCTCAAGCTTATTCACCTGATGATTAGCCCTCCTCAAGCTTATTTCACCTGATTAGACCTCCTCAAGCTTATTTCACCTGATGATTAGTCCTTCTCAAGCTTATTTCACCTGATGATTAGACACCCTCAAGCTTATTTCACCTGATGATTAAACACCCTCAAGCTTATTTCACCTGAAGATTAGCCCTCCTCAAGCTTATTTCACCTGATGATTAAACACCCTAAAGCTACCGGGAGTTATTACGTTAAGTTAGGGTGTTTAATCAGGTGAAATGAGGTGGAATGTCTAATCTTCATGTGGTCCAAACTTGTGCATGTTAACTTAGATTAGGTTAAGTTAGGGTGAGTTAAGTTATGTTATGTTAGATTAGGTTATGTTATGTTAGGCTGAGTTATGTTATGTTAGATTAGTTTATATTAGGTTGAGTTAAGTTAGATTAGGTTAGTATTCGGGTGTTAAATCATCATCTCAACACAGGACGGTGTGGTTGAGACGCACAGTGTCCATTTTGCCGTGAAAAGCTGCGAACGATACCATGGTGAACGTCTGCCCATCATCCAGGCCACGTGGCTCAAAGACGCTACCAACCACGCCATCTATAGTGATGTTGAGGGTGAGTGTGCGTCAGTCAGTTGTTGTTTATCATTGGCATCATCGTTACTATCTTCATCATAATCTGTCATCATCATCTCCTTAAGTGATTAATTAGGCCATTTGGATAATTTAAATATCTCCTTAATTGATGACACATAACGTAAGGCGCCAATAACGAGGGTATTTTCCCCGTAACGTAAACAGACGCAGCCTTGGGCACTGTGTCGCTCGGGGTCCCAAACACCAGGGAGGGCCACTGTGGTAAAACTCTAGCCATCATCCATCGAGCGGCAGAACTCCCTTCCATACAGTGGTTGGCTGTGGTAGACGACGACACGCTCATCAGGTCAGTAATTGCGTTTGGGTCGTTACTCTGGGGTGTCTATTCTTCAGGTGATTTATTTTAATTGTACTCTGAATATTTCCTCTGATTAATAGTGTATCTCCCATTGCAGTGTCCCTCGTCTTCGTAGGTTACTCTCGTGTTATGACCCTCAGGACCTCGTCGCCCTGGGTGAGAAATACGGGTTTGCGGCCACGACCCCACACGGGTACGATTACATAACAGGCGGAGGCGGCATGGTCTTCAGCAAGGCGTTAGTGAGTTTGGTTCTGTGAGGTTGTGTTGGGATTATTATTCTGTTTTTCTCTTGGTCAGTGTGAGGCAGGTATGGCTGTTTGTGATCATTAGATAGAGATGTGCATTAATCTATACACATTAGTTAAGAGATGTGCTTTAATCTATGTAATCATATACTTATCAATACATTTTTTCCTTACCTGTTAAAATTCTCTTGGTGTAAATGATCCTCCAACAACCAACACCAAAAAATGACTCCCCCCAAAACACCATAAAGCTGCTCTTCAAGAACCTGCTCCCCCCTATCCACACAGCTCCTGGATGATAGAGTATTAAGGACACTGTGAGCAAAGTTTATAAGAAGGTGTCGAACAATAAATGGACTAATGTATGGACAATATTAGCTGAGAGTCTGAGGGAAGGTGGACCCCAGAGGCAGAATTATGCTTTTCATGGCATCTCAGACTTCAGTTTTATAAGCAGTAATTAAAACATTCCTTATAAATCTCTCTCACCTTATCTAGGATTTACACCTTTTCTCCCACTGTCAACACCAGTGATCTTCTCTATGCCTAAAAATATCGTACCTCATCTTCCTGTGACCTCTTTTAGGTGTACAAATACCACGTTTTTATTGCTTCTTTATAACATTACCCCAGGTAGAGCAGCTGGCAGCTCCTGGTGTGTGTAAGTGTCCCAGCGACAACACCCCGGATGACATGTTCTTGGGAGTGTGTCTAAGGAAACTGTCGGTGCCCATCATCCACTCCTCTGCCTTCCATCAGGTAACCAGAGGTGTAGTACTCCTGGTCCTATTTCATCCTGAGAGATGTTTATCAGGTTGACAGTCCCATGACAATATAACCCCACGGTATAATGTATAGCCACTGAGCAGCAGTACAGCATGTGTAGATACAAGCTGTCATAATAACTACAGATACAGTACAATCAGTGATCTGTACCTTAGTTATACTGTAATTGTGAATCTGTGACTAATAATAATTGGGATTTAGCACAGCAGATAGCCTTATAAATAAGAAACAATAAACCCATACAGCACTGCTTACTGGGAGTATTATTCTTGGCTACAGTAGCTGGACATACAGTAGTTAACTGAAGAAAAAAAATTGAGTTATTTTTGTCCCTTTAAGATGGCAGGAAATTGTAAATGTGAAGTAAACTGAAATGCAATAAATATGACAGTAGGTCACTGTCAGGGCTTACCTAGGATTTTTTTTACGGGTATTTAATCATCAGGAGAAATATCAGTACTGTGTTATACTTGAGGAGCACAAGAGAACACCTTTTGTTGATATGTATTCTCCACAGAACCGACCCAATGATTACCCTGAGGAACTACTGCAGGAGGGAGAGCTGCCTCTATCATTCCACAGGTACTGGATGTCTGATCCTTTGGAGGAGTTTGCTCGCTGGTTGAATCAGTCGTCTGCCAGTGAGCGTTCTTCTGTGAGCGATTCCTCCCCGGGCAGCGTCCACGTTGAACTGTAAGACTCACTGGTAGCCGAGATTTCAACACATTTGAATATTTACTAATTTTTCTGTGTATAGTTGTATCATCATATTTGTCTATACTGTACCTGCATTGTAGTTGTCATTCTTGTTTAAGCTGTCATCATTCTTGTTTAAGCTGTCATCATTCTTGTTTAAGTTTCCATTATCATCTTTGTTTAAGTTTCCATCATCATCCTTGTTTATGTCCCCATTTTTTTTTTCATCAATATATATTTTTAAGCAGAATTTTTTGTTATTTAAATAGTAGATGATATTTACATTGTTGCGAATGTTTTTTTTATGGAACACAACTCATCTGTAGATCAAGTATGTCTCAATTTTTAGTCATTTTTTTTAATATATGTTATTTGTAATTTTTAAGTGTCATCCTTTTACTATCGAGATAATCTTTGCTAATATATACTACTTTAGTTGGCATTGAACTGCTAAGGTCACGCTGAGTAAAGTGTCAGAGCTCGAGTGAAAGAGTTAATAGTCTCTACTGTATTATCTTTGCACAATAAAATTACAAAAGATAATTAAATATATTCATTATACATTTTGTACTAAATGTTATGTTTTTGCCGGAGATAAATTGATTTTTGAGTCAGCCGAAGTTTAGTCTCCCAGATTTTTATCACCTTAATGCAAACATAACACAGCCTGATTTAACCTAACTTGTTTTCTTTCAGCTTTTACTTAATCTTCACAGCCAATGGGCAATCATGCTACTGTGGGAATCATTATCAAAGTATTCTAGGACAAAAATATTCAGTGTAAACTCTACAGCTCTGAGGGTAAATAAATATCCTAATAAATTGTCAACATTTTATATGGAAATCAAGAACCAACTCATACATTCAACGATAAATAAATATATAAAGAGAATCGTGGTACTGTGTGCAGCTTCCGAATTAGCCATCGCAGAACATCATCTCGATAACTCACAAATGGTCGTAGATCAAATAGGCTCTAGTTTTAATGGTACCTATTAGCACTGAAGCCTATTTGACTGATAAACTATCCAATTTATATCTAATAATAATAATAATAACAACAATATTAAGAGGATCAGACATATGGGAATGATAAACAGTTTAGGGCCACATGAAGCTTATCCCCCCCCTCCCCAGCTTATTTCATCTCATGGTTAGATTATCATTAGGGTGATTAAGCTGGGTTGCCTATTCTTCACGTGACCCCAGTTGTACACTAATTGATTAAATTATATACAAGGTGTACTCGTTCTCTCGACACAATAGTTTCCCAGTATAGACAGGTCACATATGAACCACCAGTAGTGAGAATTACTTATGACACACCCTGACACATGCACTAATTTCTGTATGATGTACGACCTATGACACACCCTGTACATTACCACTAATTTGCATATGGTGTACAACCTATGACACATCCTGTATATACACTAATTTCTGTATGATGTGCGACCTATGACACACACTGTACATTACAAGGCAGGAATATATCACAAGTAACTGTACCATCCACAGAATAACAATAAATAATTTCAAACACATTATTTCCCCCATAAAGCGAGAAAAAGAACTAATATAAAGGTTATAATCTCGACCATTTGAGTATTTACACCAAATAGAATAAATTCCTCCTTTCAGGTTCCCAATGGTTCAATTTTTTCTCCTGTACCTAAAATAATCGCCAAATAAAATACAGAACTAATAAGAAAACATTATTTATTTATCCAGGGGTGAAGAGGATAAATGAATAAATCCCACAATATGAGATAATACAATATGGATAACAAGAGCAGTGTGTTTTATTATATTTATGTGGTACAGAATACAGCTACAGTATTACATAATTTCTTCAGTGAGTAAATATTCAGATACAAAATCTTCAACATACAAAAGTTACGATAATTACAGCCGACATAAATCAAACGTCTTGTCGTAGATCATCACGTACATTGTCTAGATAATCAGCCTCTTAGTTTTAATCTGATTACATACAATAAACTTTCAATGGGAAAAAATATATTGGAAAAATACAATATCCTGTACTGTATATTTTTTCCCCATGTCCACATAACAGGAAACAGATGATTTATTTTCTCCTAATTACAGCGGTGTTTCCTTCCTCTTAAGATTTTTTTTGTCCTGTTGTTGGGACCAGATTGATAAACTACTTGTGTACATGTTTTTAATTTTATTTCCCAAGACGCACAAAAAAAATTGATCTTAGAATTTTTAAATTTTTTTTATCTACTTTGAATTGGAATTTAACAGTTTAATTGGTATAGTAACTTGGCTATATTAAGTAACCCTTAATCAGCAGCTAAGAGGTTTCTACGTTCACTGATGATGGCCAACGTCCCTACAGCTGACTTCCACTGATGATGGCCAACGTCCCTACAGCTAACTTCCACTGATGATGGCAGCTATTTAAGGGTTCAGGTTAGAGTAACTATCATACAGTCCACCATAACACACTGTGCGTTACCTGTTTATCATATGTCTTAGAAGTAGTTGTAAATTTTGAGGACAATTTACCCCCACTAACCTACAACTGTACATCACATGGCTTGAAGGAACTAAAACCAAGCCAGTCGCCTATGTTGTTGTGTGTGTGTTGTACGTCACGGCAAGATCACACTGCGAGGCCTAGAGCCAGAGGACGTCGTACGTTACTCCCGATAAAAACGTATTTCAAGTGACGGAGAGATCCCCCTGTAGGGTATTGGAGGCGGGGAGGACGTGAACCTGTTGGGCTTTACTGAAGTTGTACACCTGACCGGCGGTGAAGGGCTGGAGGCGTGGCACCGACGACGCACTGCCCACGTACTCCATCTTCCTCCCTCCGTCTATGACCCGAGATAAAACACGGATTAGTCTCGAGTTGTTACCGATGAAAATGGTTCGTTACGTGGAAAATGACCATAAAGCAATGATGATGTAAAAGACTCACAAATTATTATATACAAGATGAAGTTAACTGCTAAAGAACACCATAAAATTGGAAGCAAAAACTTTCATTGGTGAGAGTGTAAAGTGTCTTATGGGGTGACAACTGAGAGACAGTAATCCACAATACACACATTAACGTACTCATCCACGATCTCTTACACACACACTAAATATAAATAAATACCCACCTTTTGTCGTCGTCTGCTTACTATCTGCCGGGATGTATTTTGACAGTCGTACAGAAGGTAGCGGCAAAAAGCCTCCGGTCAGGGGCATCACATCCATGGTGACGCTCTGCCTCAGTCCCCCCTCCAGTGTCAACACCCCTGTTAGCGAGTCATCAATCAATATTTACTTACCACATTCGTTCAATAATACGATGTTTAACTGTGGTTTAGGGGTTGGGTTGGGTTAGGTCTAGTGAGGTGGGGTAAGTTGAGTGGGGTTGGGTTAGGTCTAGTGAGGTGGGGTAAGTTGAGTGGGGTTGGGTTGGGTGAGGTGAGGTGAGGTGGAATAGGGTTGGGTGCGGTGGGAGAAAGTGTTTATAAACCTGATGATTCTACCATTTCTATTTTTTCTTTCCTTTGAGTTCTTATAAAAAATGGAGACTTTTGTTATCATTATGGGAACTAAGATTTGATATTTCCGTTGGTATTATTGATAAGTTGAGGCCAGTAAAGTGATAATAGTCAGTTTAGAAAGTCAGGTCTGTATGTTAGTAAAGTCAGGTCTAAAAGCCTTATCACCAATACGTCATGGTAAACAACTCACCAGCTGTCCTCCCGCACACTGCCCACATAGTCTGGTCCGCCAACACCTCGTACATGATGGAGTGTTGAGTCGCCTGCTGTGTGCTGGTGCCATCTGTCTCATTTGCTGGTGACTTTGAAGACACTTGCTTTAAGGCGATGTGTAGGTGACACATGTTTCCTGCACGACACAGCTCAGAGCCCTTGCTGGGTTCTACCCTCGCCCGGATATTGTACAGAGTCTGTTTTGACGATGAGAGAAAATGATCAACGCCGCCATTAACTACATCTCCCGGAATTTAAATATTTATGGTAAATTATGAATAGATATTTATTAGCATCCCGCGTGGCTTTAACCTTTAATCAGTGGTTAAAAATTCTCTTCTCTTCCTCCAAATGAACCCAAGTTTTATTTCTTCTGGGTCTAACAATAAATATTAAGTTCAAAACACACATTACTCTATCACTGAATATATAAAGATATTAACCTAAACATATATCAACAAATTACCCCGACACTTGATCACAAAAACAAAACGTCGAAACTCAAAAACACACGACTCGCCTTATAGTCCTGAAGGTCAAACATGTACTTATAGTTACGAGGATCCTCCGGGAGTGGTTGGGAGTTCTCATCCAGGGGGCGGTACTGTAGCGTAAACTCCAGCTTGATCGGCGGAGTTCCTTCCTGCTCGTAGTCCACCTCCAGCGCCCATAGGTAACTCGCTGTTTGTTTCGTGCACACCACCTGGTACAAGATGGAGAATTAGGGTGGAGCTAACATACTGTATTTATCTCTGTAATACTGAATCTTTCTTCTTACTGTATTTATCTTTGTAATATTGTCTCTTTCCACTAACTGTATTTATCTCTGTAATACTGTATCTTTCCTCTTACTGTATTTATCTCTGTAATACTGTATCTTTCCTCCTCTATAATGATATATTAATGGGTACAGCAACCTCAAAGAAGGGAGAATAAGAGGATACAGTGGAACTAACATACTGTACTGTATTTATTTCTGTAATACTGTATATTTTCGTTCGTCCATTAGAGAGTTAATAGTCAGAGAGTGACTCACCAAGGACTGCGTGGGGGGGTGAAGAGACGTCAACTTAAACTGCTGTTCTGGGTCGAGCACAGTTAACATGGGGTCTGTCAGCTCCACCGCTCGACTCACTAGACCTGTCACTGTTACCTGTACGTGATGGTGTAGAAAATGCACGTTAGGTTATGGTTAGGTTAGGTGAGGTCAGTTCAGGGTTAAGTTAGATTATGGTCAGGTTATGGTTATGTCAGGTTAAGTAATAGTAGGTCATGTCTTGGTTAGGGTAGCTCAGATTAAGTCAGATTAAGGTTAGGGTTAAGTTAGATTAAGGTTAGATTCTATTTGGTTAGCTTACGTGAGGTCAAGTACAAGTTAGTCATGTCTTGTTAGGTTAGATTAGGTCAGTTCAGATTGTATCAAGGTTAGGTTAGTGAGATGAGGTCAGGTCAGGTGATCCTATTCAACTTCTTGGGAGACAATTTCTTTAGGTAAATATAACTAGGAATCACACCTACGGGAACTGGGAACTGCTGGTTGGATATTTTCAACTATTATAATAAACTTACCAAAAACAAAATACTTACTGAAAATAAAATAAACTTACCGAAAATAAAATAAACTTACCTAAAATAATATAAACTTAAAAAAAATAAAAGAAACGTACCAAAAATAAAATAAACTTAAAAATAAAATTAACGTCAAAAAAATAAAATAAACGTACCCAAAATAAAATAAACTTACCCAAAATAAAATACTTACCATAAAACAAAGATTGAACTTAACATTAAACTTACAAAAAAAACATAAACTTAGAGAGATTTGATTTTTTTTTTGTATATATTAGAAGACGTCTTACCTCTATGAACTTGTAGGTGTTGGCTGTGTGTAACTTGTGCGAGGACATGAATGGAGGGATAAAGTGAACGTCAATGTCGAGTCTCTGGTCAATTATGGGGCTGCTGATGCCTACCTGGAACAACAGAGACGAACTTTAGTACAGACGTGCGTTAGTGGTGTAGTTTGTATCGCCTGAAGATTATTGACACCCCGGTTTATTTCATCTGATGGAGGAGGCACAATGTCATTTAACTGAAGCTGTGTGTTTGTTTTGGGTTGACTAATATGGCACTATGATTTATCCATCAACTAAAGGTTCTTAGGGTATGGTATCGAGCGGCCTCAGTCTGTATGCTGTTTCTATTAAAGGTCTTCCTTGGTGCCCGTTCATTTGTCAATAAACGTACAGTGTGTTCGACAGTCGCCGCATCCCTCTGTGGTCCCAGCTCGGCCATGACAGTCAGTGGTATAGCGACGGACGAGAAGGGCGACACCTCTGGCAACGATGCCTCCAATTCTCTTTCCAGTGTTTTGCAGTTCTGGTCTTCCTCGTCACACTTCACAGACAGGCCGCGGGAAGTGCGAAGCTTGACCGACGTGCCCTGATGAGAGTATGTGGGAGTGTTAGACATCAATGAGTTCCTTAACATATAACTTACATCATAATAAACATAATCTCTCTACTGTATTTACAACTATCACAATACAAATGAACATTCCACAGACTACTTATCAAAAGGTTTCATTTCATTAGAGAGTATTTATCATAAGAGCAACAAGCTTCAGGTATGACAGTTTTAAATGTCTTAGGCAGTGAAAATGTTTGTCTGGTGGCAACATTCATGAATGTAACTTATAGTCATCTGCACTGTAATATTTTCAATACAGGAAAACTCAAAACAAGGCAGTGTAAGGTGCAGATGTCCCTGAACACTACTACTGTATTCATACCTTAGCTATCTGCCAGCTGCCACTGTGCACGGTGAGCACCATCGGTTGATATATCCCGGCCAGAAGATCCCGATCGCGACGACCCAAGAATATTCTGGGAATCTCGCTCACCACTTCCACACACATGGGAGAGCCGCCCACACTTGTCTTACCACAGATGAACTCCACTTTGTCCAGGGCCAACACTACCTGGCTGGCACTGTACCGGCCCTTCTTCGTAACCTGTGAAACATGTGGCTGTTATGCAAGAATGATGGCTCACACATTTTTCCTGCATGTTAAAACCGACACACATTATAAACTGCCGAGATAAACATTACCCGAGAACTGGTGAAAAATTAGACTTTACTCGGGGAAAGCTAAAGAACATACTCTACCCTGAAGACTTCTAGATGGCGGATTTTAGCGAGGAATAAACAGATGAATTAACTAGGAATGGCAAGAGTTGGAGCATCTATGGGGACAGGCTACTTGATGATGGCTGGAATGGCTGGAATGCAAATTATTCTTTCCCGACTCAAAAAATTTATTCTCGCTGTTCGGTTCATGAGTCCCTGACAAACATTGACTCAAAAGTTTTCATAATCTCCACCCGACGTATTATAGAGATGTCCTGTGTAGGGTGCTGCCGGAAATGACGATAGAGGGTTAAGTATACAAAACACTCCATAGAATGTTCCAGTTGTCATAAGGCTCATTATCTGAAGCAATAACTGAGTATTTACTGTCCCGAAGAACCACAATAAATAGGATATAACGTGGATGAGAAGGTAAATAGAGAGAGACAATGGGGTCGCATCTTAGTGGAAAGAGAGAGAATGGGGTCGCACCTTAGTGGAAAGAGAGAGAATGGGGTCGCACCTCAGGAGAAAGAGAGAGAATGGGGTCGCACCTTAGTGGATAGAGAGAGAATGGGGTCGCACCTTAAGAGAAAGAGAGAGAATGGGGTCGCACCTTAGTGGATAGAGACAATGGGTCGCACCTTAGTGGAAAGGATGATGGTGTTTTGGCCGGGTCTGATGATGACGTCGTCGGCAACAAATCTGTCCTCGAGCTCCTCTTTAACTACGTTGCGGTCCACCTTGTACAGTCCCCCCTGACTGTCTCGTCTCCTGTCATACAACAACAGAAGATTAATTTACTGGTCGCTGCGTTGAGTCAGTATATAGTTAACCTGAGTGTAAATAGTTAATCTGAGTGTAAATAGTTAATCTGAGTGTAAATAGTTAATCTGAGAGTAAATAATTAACTTGAGTATAAATATGGGTAGTTAACCTAATTGAAATAGTTACCATTTTTCAGTGAGAAGAACGACATCCGACCAATCACGTGACAGGTAATTGACCAGGTGGCTATGTTAAAAGAGGTCACACGAAGATTAGTTCCCCTAAGCTTATTTCACCCGATGATTAAATATCCCGATGCTTACTTAACCTAACCAATCTAGTCTAACCTAACCTAACCTCACCTCATCAACCAGACCGTCATTCCACATTACCTCAGAACCTTATGGGAGTTGGAACAGGTGACAGCAGCAGAGGAGAGAGACTTATCTTGTTTATACTCCAGGTGAAGGCTCATGTGTAGAGGCTGAGTCATGGGGTTGATCTTGGCGCCGTCGGAGTCTCCTGTGTCGGTCGGTACGTTGGTGCGGTCGGCCTCTGTTGTGCTACTCCCACTCCTGTCATGAGATTGGAGTACGTTAGAGGTCAAGACACTCCAGTTTATTTCACCTGATAATTTAACACCCTAATACTACCCTAAGCCGACAATTCAACACCCTAATACTACCCTAACCTGATAATTCAACACCCTAATACTACTCTAAGCTGATAATTCAACACCCTAAGCTGATAATTCAACACTCTAAACTGGTAATGCAACACCCTAATGCTACCCTAAGCTAACAATTCAACACTCTAAGCTGGTAATTCAACACCCTAATACTACCCTAACCTGATAATTCAACACCCTAATACTACTCTAAGCTGATAATTCAACACTCTAAGCTGATAATTCAACACCCTAAGCTGATAATTCAACACCCTAAGCTGGTAATTCAACACCCTAATACTACCCTAAGCTGATAATTCAACACTCTAAGCTGATAATTCAACACCCTAAGCTGATAATTCAACACCCTAAGCTGGTAATTCAATACCCTAATACTACCCTAAGCTGATAATTCAACAGCCAAGGACTCACCGATGGACCATGGCTGAGGCTTGGGGTTTGTCCCTGGAGGGTTGAGATGAAGCGCTGGAGGAACTCGTCTTGCGTTCCACTTCAGCGATGCGTTTGGTGGGCGTCTCGTTGTTGTCCTCCAGGGAGTGTTGTAGCATGATGTATACCGTCCCGCAGCTGTTGGGGTTAGGTTTGGTTAAGTTTGGTTGGGTTGGGTTAGGTTGGGTTTAGTGTACTGTTTTTGTTTGGTTTTATTGATTGATTTTGATGTGAATGAGTTATGGTTGCCTCTTTTGCTCTCTGTCCATCTGTCTCTCTCTCTCTGTCTGACTATCTTTCTCTCCCTGTCTATCTATCTCTTTCTGTCTATCTTTCCCTCTGTCTATATGTTTCTGTCTCTATCTCTCTGTTATCTCTCAGTCTATCTCTTTCTCTGTGTCTATCTGTCATTGTCTGTCTATCTCTATTGTTCTCTTTCTCTGCCTTAATGTATCTCTCTCTCTCTCTCTCTCTCTCTCTCTACACACACACACCTCACATCATCGGGCAACTTGCTGAGGACTGAGAGCTCCACCTTGACCTCAGACTGCAGGATGATCCGGCCTTCAGACACCAGCTTGACGCCACCGATCTCGAAGATGCGATCACTTGGGATGAGTAGTGACGAGCCTAAGAGGTCAAGTTTAGTTAATACGATGAGTAGTGACGAGCCTAAGAGGTCAAGTTTAGTTAATACGATGAGTAGTGACGAGCCTAAGAGGTCAAGTTTAGTTTACACGATGAGTAGTGATGAGCCTAAGAGGTCAAGTTTATAAATATGTTAATACGATGAGTAGTGACGAGCCTAAGAGGTCAAGTTTATAAATATGTTCATACCAGTACATGAACATTACACCCGTTGCCATATTTAACCTCTAGTGTGACCTTTGATACCGAGAGTTGAATTTGGAGTTGAGAGATTATTCAATTGACGTTTTTATCAAGTATTGTATCTGGTTTAACCCAAATTCATACCTTGTTAAGTGATTTAATGATTTAAGAATTAATTACCAGTTAATAAGAAGAAATATATAAGTTAACATCATCCACAAATTAATAAAATCATACCTTCCTGTACGTCTTGTATGGCCGTCATCATCTTGTTGAAGTGCTGCTTCCTCACGTCTGCACCGAGGACCACACTCCCGGCTAGCTGTGCGCAAGTCCTTATGTATCTGTTGGGGAGAAATGAGACTTACACACACACACAGACGAGTTACCATAAGAGGAGGGTGATAGGAAAGAGAATATCACCTGAAGATTACACATCCCAGCTTATTTCACCTGATGATTAGACATCCAAATTCTACCAAGGGGATGAGGTTAGGTTATGTTTCATTTGGTTAGATTAGTTTGCATTAGGTTAGGTTAGTATTTGGGTGTTTAATCATCAGTTGAAATAAGCTGGGGTGTCTAATCATCAGTTGAAATAAGCTGGGGTGTCTAATCATCAGGTGAAATAAGCTGGGGTGTCTACTCTTCAGGTGGAAAACAAACTGTCACTTGGCAATACTGTATAGATATCTCACCTCTCCAGATCGTTAGTGGCCAGGTAACATTTGGCCAAGTCCAGGTGTGTCTGAGCGGCCAACAGCAGCCATCCCTCCTCCAGGAACATAGTCAACTGGTCCGTCAAGAATGTTGCTGCCTTCTGGGGCTCTCCCTGGGCCGTGTAGAAGGTGGCCAGATCTCGACCAATGAGACGAGCTGAGCGAATGCGACCGATGTGTTTGTATGTGCTGATGGCGACCTCCGACAGATCCTGTAAAGATAATGAGTAAATGACGATAAAAGTCGTAACAAAGACAAGACCAAACACCTGAATGACAAGTAAGTCGATAAGTTGTGAAATGATAACTTAAAATATACTCGGTAAAACTAACCTAACCTAACTTAATCTGACTCAACCTACCCTAACCTAACTTAATCTGACTCAACCTAACCTAACTTAACTTGACTCAACCTAACCTAACTTAACCTGACTCAACCTAACCTAACTTAACCTGACTCAACCTAAATTAACCTGACTCAACCTGACCTAACATAATGTAACCTGAGACATCTTTCCCAAGTGTACCCCTCCACTTGTTCAATAAAGTAATGGTCATTCCTACCACTTACTCTACCTCACAAATATACGAATTTAATATAACATAATGAGACAATATATACTACAGTAATTAATGAAGACACAAACAATATACCATAAACTAAAATAACCCAAAATGGTGGCAATAAAATATACCCATTACTGATCTCTGGTAAATACTGATAACAACAACGTACCAGAAAATGCTTCTTGAATGCCTGGGGGGACGAGAGAGAATCCTTGAGCCGCGTCATGGGCGTGTCCTGGGAGGTGGGGGGGTTGTCCGTGGGCTGGTCGTGGGTGTGTGGGTCATTGCCCATACCACACACCAGCGAGATCACAGTATGGAGCTGGGCACTACTTGTTGCACTGCCTGGCATCAACCCACACAGTGATCCAAGCTCTTGTAACTATATGACAAAGAGGATTAGTGTGATGATTAGTTTAATTTACCATTCTAATCCAACTTGGGGGGGGGATTAAGTTAAGCAAGGTAAACCCATTCATGAAACCAAATTATATGGAGAAATATGAACACAGTTTAAGTGATAAGAGTAATAAAATATTTTATACAGATATATATTCAAGTAGTGTAGACTGTTCAACAAAAAAGCATTAGAAAAAAAAAGAAAGATTTTTATCCATTAATGAAGACTGAAATTAGACTTGTACATTGGTTAATGCATGAATTACCATATCATACACACCTTGTCTCTAGCATAAGCCCAGAGTGGTGCAGTGTGGAGTGCGTGGGCGTCGGTGGTTGACGGTTCTTTGTAACGGTGAAGAGAGTCGATTATTTCTAGGCAGGACAACACCCCCCAACACGCCACGCCCCCGGGAGCCACCGTAACGTCCAGTATATTCAGCTCCCCCACCGTGTTTTGTAGGAACGTCAAGGAGCGTGACGCCACCTGTGGGATAAATTACATAACTAACCTGCTACACCATCTAGTTAAACGAGGCAACTCTCAAATTATTTAGCTATTGCTACTTGGAGGGGCTAGGTCAGATTAGCTTAGATTATCTTATCTTAGGTCAGGTTATGTTAGATTAGGTTAGGGTAAATTGGGTTAGGTTAAGTTACATTACACTGGATTAGTTTAGACTGAATCAGGTTACATTGGGTTAAATTCAATTAGTTTAGGTTAGATTTAGGTTGATCAATCCTAAGGTGAAATAAGCCAAGATGCATAAAGTTCACATCATTCCAAGAACCCACATAAGTGCTGGGTCTCACCTCCCACGGCTTGTTGAGCTGGAAGAGCAGCGCACACTGTCGCTGGAAGAGATAGTTGCGGAACTCTAACAGGGTGACGTCCTTACTCTGGATCTTCCCCTGAACGACTGTGTCCAGGTGTGGGGTGAGGTGTAGCCCCTCCCACTTCTCACACGGCTGGCTGTAGATACCCAGCCATGGAGGAGAGTCTGCAAGATGAGTGTGTGTGTTAGTGAGGTAAGCAGGGGGTGATGTGTGGTGAGAGGGTGGTTTGTGGTGAGGGGGTGGTATGTGGTGTTGGAGTGGTGTGGTGAAGGAGTGGTTTGTGGTGAGGGAATGGTGAGAGAATGGTGTAATGGTTGAAGAAGGGAGGGAGTCAACCTTCTAAAACTCCAAAATGCTGACAAAATACAACTAAGTCTTACCTCCAGCCGCTGAGTTGAGGATAAACTGTGTAAAGAGAGCGTCCAGTTCATCGTACTGGATGAGGGCTTCATCATACAGTGCCAGAAGGTGGAACACTTGTGCCAGTTCCTCCTGCAGCAAGAAGTACGAGCAGAACGACCAAGACTTCTCCGTTCGACGTTCTCGCTCGGCTCTCATGCTTTCCTCGAACCTGCAAAGATGTTGTTTATTTATCTATTGGCCGAGGCTAATCGCACGGATGAATCACGTTGTCTCTCTTGTTGGTTGAGAATTGAAGTCTATAGTCATGGTGGACTGTGGTTGAGAATTGAAGTCTATAGTCATGGTGGACTGTCTACCTGCCTAGCCAATTGTAAACCTGTATGACAATTTTGCAGAATAATATTACGGGTATTATTACAGTATTTTACCTTACGATTAACCAAGGTGTTGTTTAGTTATCATCTCTACCATTTATTAGTTTATGGTACTAGTCATCTGAATGGTCTATCTTTTCCTTGTTTATATTTTGGCTTGTGGTAGATATTCCTCAATAATTACCTATTTTGATGTTCATTTTGATAACCTGAAGATTAACCAATTTACAATACTAATAGTAAACTAACCCAATGCTAACCTAACACTAATTTTCTATGATGACATTACTGTATTGAATAAATATCTAAAGCATCTATCTATTTATATACAGTATATCTATTTACTTGTTGAGGGCACGGTTATACGCCACCATGAGCAAGTGTCGCATCTTGGTGAGTAGCGTCTGCCACGACTCCATCGACCTCGAGTCCGACTTGAGCGGGTCAATCACCGATAGGCATCTGTGGAGTGAGAAGACGTCAGTGTGGGGTCTTGTGCCCGAGGACTGTGAGATTAAGTGTATAGGTGTAATGGTCAGCATGCTCGCCTCGAAAGTGAGCAGACCCGGGTTCGATTCCCGGGCAGGGTGAAACTGTGGGTAATTATCTTTACGCCATTTGCCTCTGTCTACCCAGCAGTAATTGGGAACCTGGATGTTAATCGATTTGTTGATCGTGTTCTGAGGTAATGATTACGGTAACCGGTGCATTTGGTGAGTTGTCTGGTCTTCTCGGACTATTCCTTGATATTGGGTCACGCAACTCATTAACTTAGGGTGTGGTTGTTGTGTTGGCAACACCTTCTACACCTTAAACACTGGGTCATGCAACTCATTAACTCAGGGTGTGGTTGTTGTGTTAGTGACAACTTCTACACCTTAAACAAATTAACACCTAGGAGGCCCTTGGGCCAGCCATCCTCGTTACATGAGGGACAACCATTATAGGCCTTTATATACAGACAGTCAACCATTATACAACTTTATAATTTAATATCTAGTCAAAATAAAATGTAACTTGGCAGATTCAATAGATGTTAACTATTAAATAAGTCACATTAATTACAGTATGTATATATAAGTTCAGAGGTCACATCTTAAGGTCAAATATCGTGACCTCTGACGAATCATTAAAAAAAAAAAAAAAAAATTGACGGAAATATGATTACCAAGTGGTCATAGAAATATTGTAAATATTGTTGACAATGATGTGTAAAATTATGTATGTGTATGGGGGAGGTTTATGATGTGGAATTATATGTGGAAATTTATGATGTGGAATAGTGTGGGTGGGGGAAGTATTATGATGTGAAATTATGTGTCAAGGAAGTTTAATGATCAAATAAACTTCTCTTTAACTGAAAATACATCTGAGGTTCTGACACAAGGATTCATCTTTACCTCTCAGCCTGTTTCCCGCCGAAATCGTTCTTGATCTTGTCGAGGACGGTGGTGCGAGGGAGCAGTTTGTTGCCTTTGCGGGTGTCGGGTGTCTCGAGGAGTATGACCATCCAGTCGGTGACGCTCTGTTGCTTGAGGGAGAAGATCCATGCTTGGAGACTGTCCTTTGTCACGCTCTTGTATGCCTCCACGTCCTGAACAATGGAACTATCAGTCAGTGAGGCCACGAACGAGACCATTTGTGTGTTACCTGGGGATTTAACAAACACACACACACACATATATACACACTCAATATAAGACACACACACACACACACACACACACACACACACACTTACAGCACAGTCTGTCCAGTAGGTGTGGAAGATGGGCTGGCCTAGGATAGTGCGAGGGGCGTCCTTCACCAAACACTCCTCCGAGAACGGTACAAAGTCCACCTCCACGTGGACGCACCTGCAGGAGAGATCACACCATCAGGGAGTAAAGAGGAGTTCTTTTGGGATCACCTGAGGAATATCCACCCCAGTTTATTTCACCTAAAGATTAACTTAACCTAATGCTAACCTAACTTAACCTGCCCCCACCTTATTTCACCTAAAGATTAACTTAACCTAATGCTAACCTAACCTGCCCCCAGTTTATTTCACCTAAAGATTAACTTAACCTAATGCTAACCTAACCTAACCTGCCCCCAGTTTATATCACCTAAAGATTAACATAACCAAACCACCCTAATGCTAAGTGGTTCCCAAAGTTTATAATGACAAACTAATCCTAATGATTCCCAAAGTTTATTTATCCATTATAAACATTGAAAACTGTTCTACATAACAACACTTAATGCACGAGATATAATTAGATATAAATTAGTGACCACGAGGTAGAATGTTACCTGGAGGGTCGGCCATATGAACGCCTCCACTCAACACTCTCCTGAGGTAGACCAGTGACCAGTCCTGCTTGTAGCCCGCTGAAGAGACTGTTATCCCCAGCATCTGATGACGGGAAACATACCAACAATAAGATGAAAATTAACCACCCCAGCTTGTTTAACCTATTAATTAACCACCCCAGCTTGTTTAACCTATTAATTAACCACCCCAGCTTGTTTAACCTATTAATTAACCACCCCAGCTTGTTTAACCTATTAATTAACCACCCCAACTTGTTTAACCTATTAATTAACCACCCGAACACTACATGGAGTGATTAGGTTAATATTAAGGTGTTTAATCATCAGGTGAAATAAGCTATGATGCCTAATCTTCAAGTAATAAATTGGAATAAATATGGATATGAGCAATAATAACGCCAACTATTAGTATATAATGTATTTAAGTGAGAATATAATAGTTATTCATTACTCCTAAGGCTGTAAATGATTAAATAAGTCAAAGTTAATGACATAATCCCCTTACAAGTAACTATAGGCCGCCTGTTCATAGTGCTGTTTCTCCTCCTCCACGAATTTCCTCTATATTACGGTGCAGCAGTGGGACAAACAGCAGTACAGTAACAGCTGAATAACATCTAGGTGACAGCTGGACGTGTTAACAGCAGCTGCAGGAGGTATTTAACGCCCCCCAATCCATCAGCTGCTCACATGTAAACACTCACTTGTTAACAGCCACCAAAACTCACTGTATATTATCCCTTAAATATAGCAAAATTAAGACAAAATTATATATTATTAGATTTTTTATATCATTCTCCTTTATGATTATAGATTTTTATTCATTTTTAAGTTAATATTTTTTTCCCCCACTTAGATTATATTTCACTCATATCTGTAAATTTAAATACAATGCCCTTAAAACTATCTTAATATATAATACTACTATATACTTTCTTTATATTAGGCAATAGATTATTTTATTTCATTATTAAGTTAAAAAGAAAACTATGATGAGAAATTTCTGACTTTACTTTACTGAATAAGAATGAAGAACTAAACACTACTTACTTTAAAAAAAAATTATGTTATTTTTAGTATAGAAGAAAAATAATACAATATATAATAATAAATATCAATACAGAATCAATATAATAAACTATGAATAAATATTTTAATGGGAGAAGATTAAAGATGGGGAAGAAAAATATTAAGTCATGATTAAACTCTATTATTATTACGTACTATTAATTCATTATATAGAGTTAAGTTAATATAGAAAAGATAAGGTGATTATATTTATTTTATCTTGAATATAGTTAAGAATTATATTAGGTTTAGTTAGTTGTTGCTTGTCATTAGAGTTAGGTATCTGTCAGCTGCTGGTCTCAAGGCTTATAGTATTTCTCCTGTTATTTCTGTTATATTAAGGTATTTATGTTTATTCTTGTGTGGATATGTTACCTAAAAACCATCTTTATTTATTTTAATAGATATAATAGTTCTTCAAATGTTTGTTATTGAATTAAGAACGTAATGAAGTGTGGGTTAATATGGTATTGACTTATATAAAATTGTGATCAGTTTTAATGATAAATAAGACACGTGTTGATGGGTCATTATTATTATTATATTGGGTGTCATGTGTCAAGTGTGTCAAGTGTCATGTGTCAAGTGTGTGTGTCTGTGTCTGTGTGTGTCTGTGTCTGTGTGTGTGTCTGTGTGTGTGTGTGTGTGTGTTTACAGGATTAGTTTTAATAGATAAATATTTCCAGGGTACAGATACAACTATGTCTCCAGTGCCTGAACCAACACAAGGTAGCCATAGTGGACCTAATGGCAGAGATGACGAGGAGTTTACGCCGCCTGTGGGGTTGATTGTCGGTCCAATGGTGTCGTCCAGCGATGAGGAGGCGGACCAGGCTAATGTGGACGACTCTTACCCGGCCGGATACCAGCTGCTACCCCAAGACAATGACATGGTGGGTTAGGTTAGGTTCGGTTCGGTTCGGTTCGGTTCGGTTCGGTTCGGTTTGGTTAGGTTGGGTGGGTTAGGTTGGGTGGGTGGGTATGGTTTGGTTAGGTAAGGTTTGGTTGAGTTGGGTTAGGTTAGGTTAGGTTAGGTTACCCAGTGGTATATTAGTTTGTACCCTGAGACAACAAAATGGTGGTTTGGGTTCTGTGAGACTCTGCTGTATGAGAGAATATTTCACTGAATTTGTTATTATATGTTATTTCAAATTATTTTATGTTATTTCATATTTTATACTTTACTGTAGTGTGATTAATGGAATACACTAAAGTATCTACCAGCTGAAAATCTACTTTCCAACTCCATGTATTTTATAACGAGAGATTTGACCAATTTGAATATGAAATTTAAGGAGACAGAGTAATTTTCATTTATTTATTTGTCCGTGTTAGGCTAGATTAGTTTTTGTGTGGTTAGGTTATGTTTTATAAGGCAAGATTAGCATTAGGTAGTTCAGTTATTATGTGAAATAATCAGGGTGCTCAATCATCAAGAGATCCGTCCGTTCCTATAGGATGAAGACCTCGATGATGCGGAAATCGACTACAGTTCAATCTCCAGTTTGATGGCCGCCGTTAACACAAACGGACCCAACGTTGTGCCTAGTGAAGAGGAACACACTGAAGCGGGTCTGGGAAACGAGGAACGGGGAGAAGGAAGCGGGGAGGAAGTGCGTGTTGCTCCCCACGCTGTAACACTGGCAGAGGAGGTGAGTTGGTGGTGATTGTTGAATTAGTTGTATACTTTGTTACCTTCCCTGAGTGTGGTAACTGTGTGATTGAGAGAGGTAGTGATTGATTGAGAGAGACAGAGAGAGATAGTGATTGAGAGACACAGAGAGAGATAGTGATTGATTGAGAGAGACAGAGAGAGAGGTAGTGATTGATTGAGAGACACAGAGAGAGAGGTAGTGATTGAGAGACACAGAGAGAGATAGTGATTGATTGAGAGATAGAGAGAGAGAGGTAGTGATTGAGAGACACAGAGAGAGAGATAGAGGTTCAGTGATCAAGTCTCGGCTATATGATCCGTTTCCCATACCACGTATCTTTTAGCCTGACAGAGAAAGACAGAGCGAACAGTCGTGCGAGAGAGCAGCGGTGTGGAACGAGTCCTCCTCCACGTCTGATCGTCTGGTGCTGGACGGCAACAAGTTGGAGGAGATCAAGACGGTAATGGCGTCGTTTACTCTGCCCCAGTCGGCCATCCCTCCCTGGGCTCACAACCTCTCGGAAGAAGAGTGGAAGGATCAAGTTTTTGTTGTCATATCACGGCGAACTTCCAAATGAACTCGGACTTCCTGTAATTATGGACTTTTAGGTCAACCTGGACCGATCAGTTAGTTTGGAATTTTTATTTAACTTGAACTTTTAACTGAAATAGGATGGTTCAGTTAACTTGGACTTATTAGTTAACTTGGACTTGTTAGTTAACTTGGACTTGTCATTAATTGGACTTCCAGTGAACCTTCCTTTCTTGCCTCACCTCTTATTAAAGCGGTGTTTTTAGGCTTATTGCTACAAGTGTCACGGTCTAATACAGTGTTAATGATTTATCTCTCCTAGTATTTAAAGGATCAAATACCAGATTATTTTACTATGTACAAAAACGCTTCATTGTGATCATATATTTTTGTTTTTTTGGATCACTTAAAGATTTGACATCCCAGCTTTACTTTTCACCAGATGATTAAACACTTATATGCCAACCCAACCCAACCCAACCCAACCCAACCCAACCCAACCCAACCCAACCCCACCTTACCCTAACCTAAACCAGCCTAGGAATTATTAAGGATATTTAACCAGATGAAGAAAATTTGGGAGTTTAAATGTTCAGGTGATCTTTTCATTTTGTTTAGCTCTTAAGGTAGAGACAGTCATTACTTCCAGCATTAATTAGTATATTATTATAAACTACCCATCGGTGCATAGTTGAGGGGCAGTTAATGGCAGTGCTTCCCCCTTCCCTCCCTCCTCTATGGCTGTACAGTATGTTAGTTGGAGGAAACACCCAGAGTGACAGATAAATGCCACATATTTTGATGCGGCTTCGTATATTATGCAAATTCTCTTCGTAGTTTTAATCGCGTGAGCATTAGCCTCTTAGCTTATTTTATTTGATTAAATACCCCAATACTACCTACTAGAGGGGGTATGTTATGTTAGGTTAGGTTAGGTTAGGTTGGGTTGGTGTTAGGCTAGAGTTAGCTTTAGGTAAGATTTGATAAACATTAGGTTAGGTTGGTGTTAGGTTAGTGTTAGGTTAAATTAGCTTTAGGTAAGATTACTTAAACATTAGGTTAGTGTTAGGTTAGATTAGGTTAGTATTAGGGTGTTTAATCATCAGGTGAAATAAACTGGGGTGCCTAAATCTTGTGGTGATACAATATAAATGTCCAAGGGTCAAGGGAGGTGTTGCATAATCTTCATGTCAAAACAACACTTGCTAGATATATGATGTTCAAGTTTATTACAACCATCTGTTTTGATAGAGTAATTATGTAACTTTGTCCAGTGTCCCGGCCTCCTAGTGGTTGCCATGAAGAAAAAACCGTCGTAGGAGTTATTTATGAATTTTATCTAGCAGTTTGTCAGGAATAGAGAAATTTTTCCTATACTGTACAGGGTGATTTTTTTTATTCAAGAACCCTGAATGATTACTTTATTTTAGGACGTACAATAAATAGAAATCACTAGGAATAAACTCTGATCCTAACATAACCTGATCATTGTGAAGAACATTTATGATCAGACTTTATTCTCTTCTATAATTAGGTTCTTGTTTATTGCACGTTCCAAAATATAGACCGAGTAACAAAATTGCTCCGTATAAAGGTCCAGGTTCTCATTGAATGCTTAAGGCGCTGGGGGAGAGAATTCGACAAATGACGGAAGTTAAAATAAACGCCAGGAAAGGGAATTACTAAAGCCTAGCAGTGTTGAAATAAGTATAATGGTATAATAAACATATCTTAGGTTGCTTTGTCTCTTGCCCTGTTCTCACTAGGAGTGGTTAATTTAGGTTGGACCCCAAAGATCACTCATGGAGGCTGGGTGAGGGAGGGGGTGGTTGATGAGGGAAGCTAGGTAGGGGGGGTGAGGGAGGCTGTGATTTATCTATAACTAGGTAGGGGGGGTGAGGGAGGCTGTGATTTATCTATAACTCATTAAATATAACAGGAGAATTTTTCCCCATTTAGAACAACCAAGAATTCAACCATATGTGTTTAGAGATTAAGTTGTCAGCTGAATTCATGTTTTTTTTTTATGGTTAGATGAAGGTGTTTTGGTTCCAGGAATAATTTGAATTAGCACAGGTGATAAATAGATTGAGGAATAATTTCAATTAGTTCAAATATTAGATAAAGGAATGATTTGAATTAGTTCAAATGTTAGATAGCGGAATCATAATTTATCCGACTGTTTCATACGAGCATCCTAAGCAGAACCTCCACATTAGCCAGCAATAGGGGAAAAAACCCCAATTATATACCACAACTTTGGGCCAAACACTGAGGTGAGGAGGTGGTGTGAGGTGTATCCCCCATGACTTGAAGTGACCCAAATCTGTCCAGTCTTGTGATATGTCCGTGAGTCGTGTGGTGAGTCGTCTCTCGGAAGTGCGGAGTCGACATATAAATCCATTTCCCCGGTGCGGTATTTTATCCGAGTCTTCACCATTATGCTGAACCCTCGCTGATTTGTTATCCCCGGGGTTCTAGGTCGACTGAAATACTCTAGCCTAAAATGTAGACTTGTGAATATGGAATTAGTGAGAGCACAGTATGTGACATTTGTAGTAATAGTAGGAGCACCTGAAGAATTTCCACCCCAGCTTATTTCACCTAATGATTAACGACCCTAATACTATTTAAGGGGGGATGAGGTCAGGGTAACATAAGGGTAGTTAATCTTTAGGTGAAATAAGCTAAGGGGAGATTTATCAGGTAATCCCGAAAATGTTATATAATCATGTACAATTACTGAGACATTTCAAAGGAATATATATATATATATATATGTTAGGCATTCCATATTATCATTACAGCATTAATATTCAATTTTATAATCACATGTGCCATCCCTATCCATACTATATCCCGACTGTGAATAATTATATCCCAGTTCTCTCCGACACAGCTTATAGCATAATCAGTTGCGAGTCAATGTTTACTTTCCTCATTCACGGTTCTTTATCCCGTGTAAACGCCTCCACAATAGATGCCGTCATTAGCCTAACATAGGGGACACGTACACCCCCCCTTACCCATAATCCCTCGGAGTATTTAGAAACGTTAATGTACCAGCACGCGATCCCCTTCCCCTCCCCTCCTCCCAGAAGATGTGACCCCATGTTATATCTATCCTTTAGGACATATATATATACAGTAGTTCCCTACTTACCGATACTTACTTATTTACTACTTACCGGTACTTACTTATTTACTACTTACGGTACTTTCTCTCCAACCTGCTTGCTTGTTTATGCTTATTATGTCTAGCTGAAGAATATCTGCTGTAGGACAATCTGTGTGGATCATTATACTGGTACCTCTTGATCATTATACTGTTGCTCCTTGATCATTATACTGCTGCTCCTTGATCATTATACTGCTGCTCCTTGATCATTATACTGCTGCTCCTTGATCATTATACTGCTGCTCCTTGATCATTATACTGCTGCTCCTTGATCATTATACTGCTGCTCCTTGATCATTATACTGCTGCTCCTTGATCATTATACTGCTGCTCCTTGATCATTATACTGCTGCTCCTTGATCATTATACTGCTGCTCCTTATATAGAAAAATCATGTTTGTGAAGAATCTTGAACTAATGGTATAAAATGGCTTCCAGGTCCTAGCCAGTTGTCAGAGGGTGGAGTATGCAGAGGCCTTGTAGGAGGTATACGCAGGTGATGGCTTGGGATGGATGCCGGGAGGAGTTCTTGGAGGAGGGAATGAGGGAGGGGTGTTAAGGCAGTCTGGAGGTCATATGTTGTGGTTGACCTCTCAGTTTCCTGGGGTATTGGGGTCATGAGGTGTTACAGATAAGGACGTGTATATATCAGGTAATGGGATAGGTCAAAATGAAGATGCGTTATGTCTCTCAGCCAATCAGATGAGAGATAAGCAGTCATGTAAAGAACTCTCAATGATTCTCAACCAATCAGATGAGAGATAATCTATCATGTTTTTTAACCAATCAAAAGAGACCATTAACAGGATATTCGGATTAACTAACTTCACTTGGGGGTTAAAATAAGTCCCACATTTATATCCTAATATGGAATACAAGATATGATTTTTATCCTCAAGTGGTGGATGAGCAAGATGATGCCACACTGTGTTATACAATCCTCTATAGCACACACACACACACACACACACACACACACACACACACACACACACACACACACACACACACACTAGGTGATGCTGGCCAGTAAGAGCGGAACTCAAATTAATTGTTAGTGATTCTTATATTATTTTTTTTTTTTTGCCGTTGATGTTGATGTCGGGTATATCAGACTGACTCAATTTAGCAATGACTCACTGAAAACTCCCAAAATGGTGTCAAATTTGCACAGAAAATCCCTGAATGGTGTCAAATTTGCACAGAAAACTCCCAAAATGGTGTCAAATTGGCACAGAAAATCCCTAAATGGTGTCAAATTTGCACAACAGAGTATTATTTTACATACAGTATAGTTATGTTACCCCCGGCAGATATTAAACTCTGTGGCAATATTGAAACTTTTACGCAATACAGTACTACAGGGTGTCTTGACCTATGACACACCCTGTACAGTATGACCTATGACACACCCTGTACAGTATGACCTATGACACACCCTGTACAATATTTTGTATGACCTATGACACCCTGTACAGTATGGTGCATGACCTGACACACCCTGTACATGACCCTGAAACAAGCTACTGTGTCTGCCGGGCACCTCAGATCAGTACCATATCTTTTAGGGGGAAATAAAATAACAGAGTTGGTATATTAATATGGATATTTTAATCAGTGTATGAATATAATCTATCATGTGACAATTGTTTATGTATTACTAAATATATTTTGGAATGAGATAATGAATATATTATTGTTATTATTATTCCTCTCTTAGATTTACCGTAGTTTTTTGTTAACCTTTAAATGGCATTCGTCATCAGTGGAAGTTAGCTGTTTGGACGGTGGCCATCATCAGTGGAAGTTAGCTGTAGGGACGGTGGCCATCATCAGTGGAAGTTAGCTGTAGGGACGGCGGCCATCATCAGTGGAAGTTAGCTGTAGGGACGGTGGCCATCATCAGTGGAAGATAGCTGTAGGGACGGTGGCCATCATCAGTGGAAGTTAGCTGTAGGGACGGTGGCCATCATCAGTAGAAGTTTCACGTTCCCTGTGTTCCATTTTTGTGCATATAGAAGGGAGGAGAGCAGAACGGGAAGCCTTAGTTGCCATTTAAGGGTTAATGCTAAAATAAACCATCTACCTACTTGCTGCCTGTAAATTTAACTCCTAATTAAGAAAAATTATATTAAATTTTTCATACACATTTTTGGAATACAAATTTACTTCCATATAATATAGTCTTTTACAGGTTATGGTATTGAATTATTATTATTATTATTGTACTTTTATTATTGCAGTGTTATTATTATTAGTAGTAGTACAGTAGTAGTATTTTGATTACAATACTAGTATTATTATTATTATTACTGTATTATTATTATTATTATTATTATTATTATTATTATTATTGCTTTTATTATCATCATCATCAATATACCTGTAGTCCATTCTTTATGTAAATTCACCCAGCTATGTTTCTTCAGTGTTGTCTGTCTGTCTGTCACCATTATAGATGTACAGTGAGTTCTGCTATAGCTCGTGTTTTGACAACGCGAATTGGCTCTAACGCGATTTATGAATAGAGGAACGATATTTGTATAATGCGAACGCTTGTTTGCTGTAACGCGATTTTTGCTTACTATTTCTCCAATTTTGTGGTATTAACTGTGAATATGGTAAAGAAGAATATCTCCAAGAAGCATTCTGGTGATCGCATTCCCGGTGATGATCGTAAAAGAAAGGATATAACACTTGAAGAGAAGCTCGATGTTATCAACCTCAAAATCACCCTTCTCCCCCATCAAGTTATATTCATATTTTTTTAAGGTAAAGTGTTACATTTACTGTATGATTTCAATATTAGATATGAATGTAACATTTATTTAGACTGTGCTATCCTTTGTGTTAGGGTAACTACTAATTTTTTTTTCGATTTCGAGTAGTAATCTGCACCTAACCCTATTTTCTCCATAAACCCTGTTATTTCTATTACGCGAATTTCTATAGCACGATGTTTTACAAGAACACAACTATCACGTTATAGCAGAACTGACTGTACCGGCTAAATGGAGTAACAGTCTACAGTATAGACTTTGTTATCACTGTAGGAAGAATTGATATCTTATGAGTCTCTGTTTTAGGGGTATTTTTGTCATTGGGGAACTGAACCTTATTTTCCCCATATGTTTATCTATTCGTGGTACGTAAATTCACCCGAGTGTTATTTTTTGGGGGATACTAACCCATTCGTGTGTTGGGGGATACCTGTATATATCTTTCACTTTCTCTTAATTGCTATAATAGATGTATTTTAGTGTGGTATTCTTCTTCCTCCTCCTCCTCCTCTTCCTCCTCCTCCTCCTCTTCCTCCTCCTCCTCCTCTTCCACCTCCTCCTCCACACCAAGAGATACCCACTTACTGCATCTCTGTCATGACATATACCCTCACCTTACCCACTAGTAGTTCAGTTATGGTCCAAAGTCCCTGTCTGCTGCTTCATTAACCCGGAGATTCAGACTCGTGGATTTGAAGCATTTATGAACGGGATAATGTATCAATATTTACTGCTTCGGGTTCATGAGTCCGAATCCCGGGGTTCATGGGGCAGTAGCAGAGGCGATAGGACTTTTAACTGTATATAATATAGTAATTGTAACAGCTAAACCTCCCTATAATGAATTTCTCTCTCCATACAGTTCTTTAGATGGGGTTTTCACATCTTACTGACCCTCGATATAATGGACTTTTATCACTATATAGTTCTTTAGATGGGGGTCTCACATCTAACAGACCCTCGATATAATGGACTTTCAGCTCCGTATAGTCCGTTAAATAGAGGTTTGACTGTATTATGATTTAGTTATGAGGTGCTGTGGATAAGACCAGGACAGGAGACAAACCCAACTTGGGATGTGGTTTTGTTTCTTTATAATCATCAAACTTTCCTCTAAACTTTAATTACCTTTTACTTTTATTTATTTATCTATTACGTTTTTACTTTTATTTATTTATTTAATGTTTATCACTTATTTACTTCTTGTTTGTAGCACCTCATAAAATGTTCTGTGTTTTTTAGTCAGAAATTGATGAATCGTTGATCTGTTTTGACGTGATTGTTTATTTTTGGCACGATATTAACACAGAGGTTAGTATAGACACACAGATAGTATCAGGTTCACTAGCATCAGTGTTATCAGGTACAGACTAAAACTATTATTGATTACAGGTGTAGAAGTTGTTGCTACTGTACACCCATAGTTAGTGAGCTGTTTAACCCAGTGTTGAGGTGTAGGTACTACTGCCAACACAACAACAACAGAATTAATGAGTTATTTACACCAATCTCTAAGTGTTGGTACGACTGACAACACAACAGAATTATTGAGTTATTTAGACCAGTGTTGAGGTGTTGGTACTACTGACAACAACAACAGAATTAATGAGTTATTTACACCAATCTCTTAAGTGTTGGTACTGCTGCCAACACAACATCACTGGTAGTTAATGTGCTATTATATCATTATTAAATTATTGTAAATGCTGCACCAACCACAACCATGGTAAGCTGTGTTAAGTTGTCTCCGCTGACACAACAACTTATATAACACAGTATTAGGGGATAGTTAGCAAACACTGATCAATTTACTAACTGCACTAACTAATATAACATTTTAATGATACTCTTCGTGGTAAAGTACTTAATGCTATAATGCCTTCAAATTATCCAACATATACAGTATAATACATAATGCTGGATTAATGCCCTAAGAGTCAGAATTACAGTACTTAAGAGTAATAATGCCCACTGTAAGTACATAACTAAATGTCTTTCCCACAAAATGGTTACAGTATTAAGGTACAGTCACTCTAAATGTCTCTACTTGTGGGGTTGAGGTGATCGATGAATTTCAGAACGAACACTGTGACTCCTGTTGTCTCTATAGTGTTGTCAAAATCCTTCAGTGTTGTTATATTTTTTCAACACAATTTTGTATAGAGTTTTTTGAGTGACCGTACAAATATAATGAATCAATGAGTCTACATGACGAGAGGTACAAGAAGAACAATAGAAATTCTCTGTCATTGTCCCAACCTTTCATCGGGTTTAAGTTACAAACATAGCCACCAGGTTGCCATATCTAACCCAATCAAAACCTTTCGTGGCTTTATTTACATTAGCGTTGTTGTTTACAGGTTAATGGATGAACGAACGAAGGGACTCCAAGCTAACCTGCCATCTTGTGTTAAAAGTAGGAAGCTGATAAAGGAAGAGATGGAGACTTTAAGACAAGGATTTGAAGTGACAGAAAGAGACATGTAAGGGACTTTTTTCCTTGGTTATGGAAGTAGTGTAGTTGATGGCTCTTGTGGGGTCGTCTCCGGGGGTAGCGTTGATGGGGGTGGTAGTAGTTCTATCTGTGGTGTGATTGGCTGATTGACTGTGGGGGTGAACTGTGTCGTAGGCTTGGGTGACGATGCTAATGTCGAACGGAAGTATGTCCAAAATGGTCGAGACACGGGCTTTCTAGTAGAAGTTGTTGTAGTGGATGCAGTTGTAGTAGTAGTAGTAGTAGTAGTTGTAGATACTGGGGCCTCTCTGTAGACTTCCTCTGCAGGTACGACGAAGAAGTTGTTGTTGCGGTCGTATAAGTGGTGAGCCTCTGAACAAGGGAATGCAGAGTCCACCCACGCACACACCATGGCGTCCTGAGGAATACAATGGGACACACATAAAGTGACGTATTGCGGAGATTATGACGTAATTGTGCCTATTTATAAATCACCGTCATCATCAACACAATCTTCATCATCATCTTCATCGCCATCATCATCATTATTATCATCATCAGCATTGTTTCTTGACCATTTTCTATGCTTGCCTGGGTTAGCTGGGACTATTTAAAGTAATATAAACATTTTTTGCCAAATATAAGTGAAGTCTCTAGTACATAATGACACAATTTAGGGATGGAAAGACAGGTAGGAAATTTAAAGATGGAGAGGCAGGAGGCGAACCTAAAATTTCTTCTGGTTTCGCTGGAGAGAAATACAAAACTGAGTGTAAGCGATGCCGTTACCTGTGTGAAGATGGTGTACGCTGGACATATGAAGGAGAACTGATAGATGTCCTCGGCATCGTACAGATCGGGGAATAATTGCTGCATCGGGACACAGATGTGGAAGATCTGGCAGTCGTTATCCTGGTCGGCATAATAACCATATACCTGGTGGGGGGGGGGGAGAGGAGGCAGGTGTCAGTGTTGGGTGCTTGTGATTACAGTTCCACCTGATGTGTACAGTTAATAAGAAGTGATATGGTGATAAAAATACTTCAGAAATTGTGTATCAGTTAAGGTGGCAAGTACAGTGAGGTACAACAGTCACTTATTATGAAGTTTTGGGAGAAATATATTACCAGGAATGATATTGTGGTCCAGTAGATCAGATAGCATGATGACTGCTGTACCCCTAAGATAAAATGGATCACCTGGAGATAAAACACCTGAGCTGATTTCATTTAAAGATTAACCATCCTAATGCTCCCTGGGGGTTAGGTTAGTGTTAGGTTGGTTAATCCTTGGGTGAAATAAACTAAGGTGTCCATGGGTAGTTAGACTCACCCTGCCATTACAGCGAAAAGTGTCAACAATATTATATCTAATCCGTGTGGCGTTGTGGATGAGTCTCTCGATGAGTGGAGGAAGGTCGCCTCGAGTCCCGATGAGTCTAGCTCCGGGTGGGGCGCTGCTGATGATGGAGGCGGCGATGGTCTTGGTGTACAGGAGTTTGGATTCCCGGGGGACCTGGAGAGCCGCGGACCACACGCCGGCCGCCACACATGCTGGTCAGGACGAGGGTGACTAGTTGAATCAGTTTAAGGATATAATTTTTCATAATCTAACTATCAAATTGGGTTCTATGTGGTTGATAGGCCATTAGGGGCAGGGTGGTACAGTGCATTGTATATCGAACCTTCAGTATACACAGATAGTGTGGCCAGCACTGCACTTAACCACCTTCACTTCCCCAATTGTAAAGTTAGGTACCCATTAACAGCTGAGGGCGCCCTGGGAGTGAACCAACGACCATTAGGACGGATGGCAAGTACTTTATCCACTCATCCACTACATTACTTGATCTAACTGAGAAATAACTTAATCTAACTCAGTCTAAACTAAGCTGGAGTCTTGTGGGTGTGTACAGGGGCCACCCACGCTGTTCAGAGTAAATGACTTTCTTATCTGCGGGAGTAAATCAATTTTGACTCAACTGCAGTCTGTATTTAATTACTCTTAACCTAACCTAACTTAACCTAACCAAATCCAACCTAATCTAACGCAACCCAATCTATCCTTCCTGTCTTAACCAAACCTAACCTAACCTTAGAGATAGATTGTTAAATATATAAACTACCCAGAATATATAATAAAACAAGTCACAGTAACTAGACCAGGAAGAGTCTCAGTGTAATTAGGATGCCATTTAGGATGTGTAATTACCATCTCATAAATGAAAGTCAGTCGAGGTAATGACTTCTCAGGTGATTAAATCTTTAATTAAGAGGAATTTAACCCATGATCTGCTGAGAATTCTGCCGTAAGGTAATATTAGGGATGACACAAGTGTAATCAGGCAATGAATTATGATGTGTGAAGGTGCATCTGTACTTGTTACACTGTACTCTGGAGGAAATGTACTGTACTTGATAATTATAATGTACTCAGATGTAAATATTCGTTAAATTGTACTCAAATGAAGGTGTACTGAGAAGTTACATTGTACTGTATTTAAGTGTAATGTAACTTATATTCACTGGGAAAAAATTCACCCTAAGAACCAATAAAAATCCAATTTGGGTTACTTAGGGCATGACAACCAATAAAAATTCGAGTTACATTCAGCTAAGACAAAAGAACCAATTAGAATCTAATCTATATCACGTCATTGTGTACCTTAATACATATGCCAGAATATGACAACAATTAATGGTGTGTATATTGAAGCTATGACACGACTATGACAGATAAAATGGCATAAAAAATAACACAATGGCTGCCACAAGTAAATATAACGACTTAGGTGTTTGTGAATTCGACAGTGAGGAAAATTAATTATCAATTTTCTTATCTTTATTTGTCAGTCATGTTTGTGAGGGACGAAGAAATATGCAAATAAACCTCAAGACACAGAGGATATTGACTAACTGGTCCCTCTGTTATCATTCATGTTTTGATAAAGAGATGGAACTGGTTTTGGCAATGGAGGAGTCAGTGAGTGAGTGAGAGAGAGTGAGTGAGTGAGAAAGAGAGAAGTAATGTTGAAAGTGAGAGGAGGAGAGAGTTGATGATATTTTATTTTACTTTCTTTTAACTAATACTCTACTTATACTTTCTCTCGAGTGTAGAAAGTTAGAGGAAAGGACTTAGACAACAAATACAGTATGTACACGCACTCTACATAGACTTCCTCTGTCTGTCTGTCTGATTCAATTTTGTTCTTTAATTACATCACCTGAAGAGTAGCCCCAAGCTTATTTCACCTGAAGATTAACCAACCAAACTCACCCAACCAAACCCAACCAAAGCCCCCAGGTAGCATTATGGGGTGGGGTGGGGGGGCTAATCCTCAGGTGAAATAAGCTAGGTGGGTTAATTTTCAGGTGATGTCATTAATAAATAGTGTAAATAAGGAACTCACCTGCTATCAGCATCAGCCGTAACATTGTGACCCTGAAATAAAGATGAAATGGGTTAATACACATTACTGTACTCTGGATTACAGTATAATACAATATAATATAACCTGGATTACAGTATAATACAGTTTAATATAACCTGGATTACAGTATTGCCAACTTAGACGATGACCAGTAAACCCAACCTAAGTTAACCTACCCTACCCTACCCTACCCTACCCTACCCTACTCTACCCTACCCTTCCCTACCCCCACCCTACCCTGCCCACCCTCCCATACCCCTACCTCCCTTAACCAGATACAGTATAACTGACTGAGCACAAAAAATATATACAGTGGTCCAGGTCCGGGTTGGGGGGGAGGGGAAGGGGGTGAGTGAGGAAGGGGGGAGAGGGGAAGGGGTTGAGGGGAGGGTTGAGGGGAGGGAGGGGAAGGGGGTGAGGGAGGGTTGAGGGGAGGGGGGGAGTTAGTGTAGTCACATATTAGTTCTGTTAGATGTGACTGTAATACAACACATGGCGATGAGTGGCCAGGTATTGGTATAGTCAGGTGTTCTTTACCTGTAATTAAGAGACAATAATTCTTAGGTAAATTTGACTTTTAACCATCTGTCTAGGTGCATTGTATACCTGCACTGTCTAGGTACATTATATACCTGCATTGTCTAGGTACATTATATACCTGCATTGTCTAGGTACATTATACACATGCATTGTCTAGGTACATTACACCTGCATTGTCTAGGTACATTACACCTGCATTGTCTAGGTACATTACACCTGCATTGTTTACATACGCACTGAACCAACCGTAAACGTATATGTCAATTATACTCAACATCTATCTGTGGACAGCTAGTGAACAGGTTAGGTGTTTTGTTTATTAACCTGCAATTAAAAGTCATGCGGTTGAATTCATTGATTAGGCATTATCAAGAAGAGTAATGGAGGAAGAGGAGAAACAGGAGGAGGAGGAGGAAGAAGAGAAACAAGAGGAGGAGGAGGAAGAAGAAGAAACGGGGGGAGGAGGTGAAGAGGGGGTGGGTGTGGAGAAGAACCAGCCTGGGTCACTAACCCCTGAGGTATTCTGAGCTTGTCCCAGCCCTCACCTCGCCTCACCTGGGCAGTTAAGGGGCGAGAGCTGGGTAATTTGGATTTAGAAATAAGAACTGTGGCGTTAGGGGTCTGAATCAGGGCTAAGGGCTGGGAGGGTGTGAGTCAGAAACGAGGGCTAGGGGGTATGAATCAAGGGCTGAGGGAGTTAAAAGTAAGGGCTAAAAGATTAAAAGAGCTGGGGCTTAAACACAAGGTACTGAGAGAGAGAGGGGGGGGGGGGAACGGGTACATGACGTCAGTAGTGAGCAATAAAGTAGGAGAAAATTATCAGCAAATTATCAGCTGCCGGTCAAAATATCTGGTGTTTGTTGGATGTGTTTGTGTCCTCTGGCGTCTTGCATCCAATCAACTTTCAACGTCGTCTCTAAATAGATCGGTTATCTATACATCACTCCAGCTCACACACACACACACACTCGATTTCCCAACACGATGCACTTGAACACGCTTACACACTTGAAGTAGTTCCTAATATTGTCACACTTAACATACTTACTCGTTAAAGGAGGATCTAATCTTGTTAACATTTGACACATACTCACTCACACAGTTCAGACGTAACATGGCCACACATCAAGTTAATTCCTTCACTCATATATCAATTTCAAGCTGAACTAAATAAAACACTAGATTTGTCATATTATTTCACACACTGGTCAATATTCTTCCTCGTTTATAAGACTGTCATTAGAGCTGGTTGTCCTTCACCCCGCGATAACTTTACACAGAATGATGGGAAAAAATAATTTGGGATCTTATTATTAAGGTCAGGGGTTAATCTTTAGGTGGGCAATTTGGGTGGGGCTATTCTTCAGGTGGTCACTTTAGGTGGGTGGGGCTATTCTTCAGGTGGTCACTTTGGGTGGGACTATTCTTCAGGTGGTCACTTTAGGTGGGGGGGCTATTCTTCAGGTGGTTACTTAAGGTGGGGCTAATCTTCAGGTGAGCTGTAATGTCTCCCCACAACACCACAATACCAGGAAAATTCCCTAAACGTGGCAAAAATTCCAATATAATTTATACCCCACTTGAGGTTAAATCCCCCGCCAGGTTCCATTAATAATTTGTCTTTCGTAAATTAAGATATAACAATTACGAAAAAAATATAACAATAACATCCAGATTATCACCAACATTAAACTGCATTTGAAGCCATTTAAAATCTTTGGAAATATTTGGTTTATTAGTCTGTAATTTTAAAGTTTTTATTTTAATGCTCGCAGGAATTTGTACCCAGGTTATGTAGTACAGCATAGATTGTTAAATGATTCGGTTCAGTATTCGTTATCAGTAGTGGTATGTGTGTAAGAACAGTACAGCCTAGTTATTTCGTTAAAGCCTAGCCGCCGCCGTCTGTCTTGAGTGAGTGACTTGCAGCCGCCGTCTCACCAAACAGGTTGACGGGCAAAAGAAACTAATGTCATTTGCTGGTAATTTCACGGCCTTCACTGAGTGTCAAGTTGTTTTATTGTCCAGGTTTAGAAGACAATTTACCGATAGATTCAAGATACATCTGGAACGCTTGTTTGTCTAGTTGTGTTGAAAGCTGGAGGAGGAGATTTTGACCCCTGGATCTCTAGTTTAAATACGTTTTGTCCCAGCGTGTTTTAACCTTGGAAATAAGATAATATATTTCAGGACATTGCGAGAATTATGTGAAGATTAGGTACCCCAGCTTATATCACCTGATGATCAAACACTAACGCTACCTGGAGGGTTTACGTTAGGTTAGGTTAGCATTATGGTGTTCAATCATCAGGTGAAATAAGCTAGGGTGCCTAATCTTCACGTGAATCCATGGGCATTCCAGAGGGAACATTTCAACTGATCTAACCATATCCTAATTGTCTAGTGTGTGGAAATGCTATCTTGTGGTCAATTCTTTTATCCGAGTTAAATGGATCCATGGTGACAACATTGAACAAAAAACACAAAACAGGGCTTCTTTTTGTACTTAATTTATCCTCTTGTCTGCCTCACCACTCAAGGAAAAATAATACTTTTACCCTAGAAAAAAATACTGATAGTGTTTTGCTTTCATTCCCTGTTGGACACAAAAAGTTGACTGGCAATATAAGCGGCCTTCTCTGGGCGAGGCTCAGGTGTTTATATCTTAACTTACGTGTTTTTCCCCCAGTACATCCATTATTATTATGTCTTGTTAAATATAGTGATGGGAGATCCTGAGGTCCTGCCAATATAAGAAAAAAAATAGTAACCGGGATTTTTTTGGGTACAATTTTGTCCCATCAAGTATAATTTATCAAAATATACCCCGAACAAAAATGAATTATTTTGGTAATCATCACAGAGGCTGTTACTTTACTAAACTGATTTATATAAATACATTGGAACACTGAAAACAAAACGTTACAATTGTAGGAACATTAGCCTTACAAACTAGAAATAATCTTAGCGTATAATTTGACTATAATTGAAAAGTAACAACAATTAGATCATAAAGTTGAATAAGTTTACACCACTACCACGTCTAGCAGCAACACCTTGTCTTTTGAATTGTTTCAAAGTTTTCGTATTATGAGTAGAATTTGGCTATCAATCTATAACTTTAAAATTATAAATACAAATTTATACCACCTTTACATCAATTAACATTCTAAAATGTGCTTTAGAGGGAAATATAATAAAGTTTAACACCGAAACTCAATCTGGAGTGGTATCCCCTTAAGTAATTTGGTTTTCTTTTTACTAGGAATTGCCGCCCAAATTTCCAACAGACGGGGGGGTCAAATCAAACCTTCATTTTTTTCAATTTCACGTAAGTTTTAGCCAATAATTTCCTTCCATAATGATAAATAGAGACAATAAGTAACTCAGGATGCTATAGACACCATTAATAAGAGTGTATTATTGTGAGAAATATGTTTTAGAAGCGTTTAATAATGTCAAGACCAGCTGTGTTGTTCCCGAGTTGGTGTTGTAATTATTAACGGTAATCAGATTTAATTAATTTTTCAAGATTTAATTATTCAGGGAAGTTGTTTTTTTATTTATTCGAGTAAGTTTAGATTTATTTATTAAGAAATTCCGATATAACGTAATTTTATGAATATTATTACTGTTAGTAGTAGTAGTAATAGGATAGTGGTAGTAGTAGTAATAGTAGTAATAGTTATGGTAGTAGTTGTGGTAGTGAGGAGCGAGGCAGGATAAAGGTGATCTCATTCTATCTAACGGTATATAGTTAAAACCTGTTTAATAGCGGTACAGCATCACTATATAGGGACACGGCGATGAGTTAACGGTACAACGCCCCTACGTGAACACCACCGCGGTACAGGACCAACGGTACGGCGCCTTAACGGTACGGCGCCACACTAATATTAACGGTACATCTCGAATGATAAATGAGTGGAAGGAGAGGTAGAGAGAGGGAGGGGAGGAGAGGTAGAGAGAGGGAGGGAAGGAGAGGTAGAGGGGGGAAGGAAGGAGAGGTAGAGAGAGGGAGAGAAGGGAGAGGTAGAGAGGAAGGGGAGGGAAGGAGAGGTAGAGACGGAGAGAAAGGAGAGATAGAGACAGGGAAGAGGAACGAGAGGGAGACAAGAAGGAAGAAATACACAGGTAAGGAGGAAGATATAGACAGAGGGGGGGACAGGGGGGTGAGAGACAGACAGGGAGGAAGGAAGGGAGAGAAGAGAGGACGGACCGACATGACCCAGGGAGAGACAGACAGACAGACGTATATGCATTATGTAACCTTATCGTCTTTTTCGTCTCCAAATCAATCATGACCGCCATCATCTCAGACAACCAGTGATGTTTTTCTGTTAATGATATAATCGAGTAGTTTATTTATGGTAGACATGATTTGGGGGCCATTTGGGTTGTGATGTGGAATAAAATAAAGGAAATTTGAAAATCTGGTCTGTGTGGGGTATCTTATAAAATCTACTTAACGAGATATTTATAAACATATGCAATTTATATTTAATTCTATTGTACCTACTATTATCTTAAGAAAGTACATCTAACTTATACAACACTAAAATTCATCCTTAGGTTAACGAAGGTGTTAAATATTCCTACTTAGCAATGTTACTTACAAATTTGATCTTATTTACTTAAGAGTTTCTTTTTAGTTACCCCGATAGAGCAGCCTGACAGCCAACGCCTGAACCATTGCCAAATATCCATATTAGTCAACTGAGCTTTAAAGAAAAACAAATTGTCTGAACTGTTCCTCGTGGTTTTAAAATTGTAAATACTGTTAGAAAATATATAGACAAACATATATGAAATTCTTATACAGGAAGAGAAGAATTTTATAAAATGAGTTCACATAAATCACACTAACTGGCAACTGTGACATGCTCCAACACACAGTTACCAGCTCGTTAAAATTATCTTTATTTTTCTAAAGATAATTATCTCGACCTTACGGTGCGTAATCCCGGATAGCGGAATGGTCAGAGACGTTCACTTTGAGTTCTACTCCTGAATGACGCCGTGAGAAAATAAAAATACGTTAAAAGACAAAAAAATAAAATAAAACCGTGACCACAACAAAGAAAATACAGAGATTGTTGACATTATTATTCTAGTCATGGCGGCGGCGGGAAGATGTTGTTCTCTAGTGACTCCAGATTTATTGGTGAAAGACGCGTGCTAGGGCATGGGTGGGGAGGGGGGGGAAATGACAAGGTAAGAGAGGAGGAAGGAAGAGAAGAGGAAGAGAGGAGGAAGGGTAAGAGAAGAGGGAGGGGTAGAGAAGAGGGAGGGTAGAGAAGGAAGGGGTAAGAGAGGAGGAAGGAGAGGAGGAAGGGGTAAGAGAGGAGGAAGGAGGAAGAGAGGAGGAAGGGGTAAGAGAGGAGGAAGGGGTAAGAGAGGAGAGGGTAAGAGAAGAGGGAGGGGTAAGAGAAGAGGGAGGGGTAAGAGAGAAGGAAGGGTAAGAGAAGAGGGAGAGGAGGAAGGGGTAAGAGAAGAGGAGGGGTAAGAGAAGAGGGGGTAAGAGAGGAGGAAGGTAAGAGGAGAAGGGGTAAGAGAGGAGGAAGGGTAAGAGAGGAGGAAGGGGTAAGAGAAGAGGGAAGGGTAAGAGAGGAGGAAGGGGTAAGAGAGGAGGAAGGGGTGAGAGGAGGAAGGGGTAAGAGAAGAGGAAGGGGTAAGAGAAGGAGGGGTAAGAGAAGAGGGGAGGGGTAAGAGAAGAGGGGAGGTAAGAGAGGAGGAAGGGGTAAGAGAAGAGGGAGGGTAAGAGAGAGGAGGAAGGGGTAAGAGAAGGAGGAGGGTAAGAGAGGAGGAAGGGAAGAGAAGAGGGAGGTAAGAGAGGAGGAAGGGGTAAGAGGAGGAAGGGGTAGAGGAGGAAGGGTAGAGAGGAGGAAGAGGGTAGAAGAGAGGAAAGAGGGAGTAAGAAAGAGAGAAGGAGGGTAAGAGAAGAGGAGAAGAGAGGGAGGGTAGAGAGGAGGAAGGGGTAGAGAGGAGGGAGTAGAGGGAGGAAGGGGTAAGAGAAGAGGAGAAGAGAAGGGAGAGAGAAGAGGAGGGGAGAAAGAGGAAGGGGTAAGAGAGGAGGAGGAGAAGGGGTAAGAAGAGGAAGGGGTAAGAGAGGAGGAAGGGGTAAGAGAAGAGGAAGGGTAGAGAGGAGGAAGGGGTAAGAGAGGAGGAAGGGGTAAGAGGAAAGGAAGAGAGGAGGAAGGGGTAAGAAGGAGGAAGGGGTAAGAAGAGGAAAGGGGTAAGAGGAGGAAGGGGTAAGAGGAGGAAGGTAAGAGAGGAGGAAAGGGTAAGAGAGGAGGAAGGGGTGAAGAGGAGGAAGGGGTAAGAGAGGAGGAAGGGTAAGAGAAGAGGAAGGGGTAAGAAGGAGGAAGAGGGTAGGAGGAAGGGGTAAGAGAAGAAGGAAGGGGTAGAAGAAAGAGGAAGGGTAAGAGAGGAGGAGGGGTAAGAAGAGGGAGAAGGGGTAGAAGAGGAGGGTAAGAAGAGGAGGGTAAGAGGAGGGAGAGAGGAGGAAGGGGTAGAGAGGAGGAAGGGGTAAGAGAGGAGGAAGTAAGAGAGGAGGAAGGGGTAAGAGAGGAGGAAGGGGTAAGAGAGGAGGAAGGGGTAAGAAGGAGGAAGGTAAGAGAGGAGGAAGGGTAAGAAGAGGAAAGGGGGTAAGAGAGGAGGAAGGAGTAAGAGAGGAGGAAGGGTAAGAGAAGAAGGGAAGGGGTAAGAAGGAGGAAAAGGGAGGTAAGAGAGGAGGAAGGGGTAAGAGAGAAGGAAGGGGTAAGAAGAAAGAAGGAAAGAGAGGAGGAAGGGGTAAGAAGAAGGGAGGGGAAGAGAGGAGGAAGGGGTAAGAGAAGAGGAAGGGAGTAAGGAGGAAGGGTAAGAAGAGAGGAAGGGGTAAGAGGAGGAGGAAGAGGTAAGAGGAGGAAGGGGTAGAAGGGAGGAAGGTAAGAGAGGAGGAAGGGGTAGAAGAGGAAGGAGAAGAAGAGGAAGGGGAAGAGAAGAGGAAGGAAGTAAGAAGGAGGAAGGGAGAGGAGGAAGGGGTAAGAGAGGAAGGGAGTAAGAAAGAGGAAGAAGTAAGAGAAGAGGAAGAAGGGGTAAAGAAGGAGGAAGGGGTAGAGAGGAGGAAGGGGTAAGAGAGGAGGAAGGGTAAGAGAGGAGGAAGGGGTAAGAGAAGGAGAAGGGGTAAGAAGAGGAGGAAGGGGTAAGAGAAGGAGGAAGGGGTAAGAGAGAGAGGAAGGGGTAAGAGAGGAGGAAGGAAGAGAAGGGAGGAAGGGTAAGAGAGGAGGAAGGGGTAGAGAAGGAGGAAAGGGGTAAGAGAAGAGGAAGGGAGTAAGAGGAGGAAGAGTGAAAGAGAAGAAGGAAGGGTAAGAGAGGAGGAAGGAAGAGAAAGGGAGGGGTAGAGAGGAGGAAGGATAAGAAGAGAGGAAGGGGTAGAAGGAGGAAAGTAAGAGAAGGAGGAAGGTAAGAGAGGAGGAAGGGGTAAGAGGAGGAAGGGGTAGAGAGGAGGAAGGGTAAGAGAGGAGGAAGGGAGTAGAGAGGAAGAAGGGGTAAGAGAGGAGGAAGGGTAGAAGAGGAAGAGGTAAGAGAGGAGGAAGGGGTAAGAGAAAAGGAAGGGGTAAGAGAAGAGGAAGGGGTAAGAGAAGAGGAAAGGGGTAAGAGAGGAGGAAGGGAGTAGAGAAGAGGAAGTAAGAAGGAGGAAGGGAGAAGAGAAAGGGAAGGTAAGAGAAGAGGAAGGGTAAGAAGAGGAAGGGAGGAGGGAAGAGAGAGGAGAAGGTAAGAGAAAGGATAAGAGAAGAGGAAGGGGTAAGAGAGGAGGAAGGGGTAAGAGAGGAGGAAGGGGTAGAGAGGAGGAAGGGTAAGAGAGGAGGAAGGGGTAAGAGAAGAGGAAAGGGAAGAGAGGAGGAAGGGGTAAGAAGAGGAAGGGGAGAGAGGAGGAAGGGAAGAGAAGAGGAAGGTAGAAAGAGGGGAGGGGTAGAGAGGAGGAAGGGGTAAGAGAAGAGGAAGGGGTAAGAAGGAGGAAGGGTAAGAAAGAAAGAAAGGAAAGAGAAGAAGGAGGGTAGAGAGGAGGAAGGGAGAGAAGAGGAAGGGTTAAGAAGGAGGAAGGGAGAGAAGAGGAAGGGGTAGAGAGAGGAGGAAGGGGTAAGAGAAGAGGAAGGGGTAAGAGAAGAGGAAGGGGTAAGAGAGGAGGAAGGGGTAAATATACTGGAGTGAGGTGGATTATATTTTTTTTTTTACGTTGGAGGAAATGCCAAGCAACACCGGTTGACACACACTGAACCTGTTTGTGCTTTGTCCTGTTGTTTGTCTAACCTTTGTTACTGTTGCACTGTTGTCAGCACTTGTTACCGTTTTACTGTTGTCAGCACTTTATCATTTCACAGTTGTCAGCACTTGTTATCATTTCAAATTTGTCAGCAGTTGTTATCATTTCACAGTTGTCAGCACTTGTTATTTCACAGTTGTCAGCACTTGTTATTTCACAGTTGTCAGCACTTGTCATCATTTCACAGTTGTTAGCAGTTGTTATATCACAGTTATCAGCACTTGTTATCAATATCACTGTTGTCAGCACTTCACTATCACCATTTCACTGCAGATTTTCCATCAGTAACCACCCCCCACAACACAAAATATGCCGTCATTACCACATACAGAACCTCAACCAAGAACCGGTTTTCTTCCTTTCCTTAAACCGGCTCAACAACAACAACAACAACAACAACAACAACAACAACTTACGCACCTTTGGAAGTCGAGCTGAAGAGACCACGAGAGGCAACAGGAGAGGTGGTAAGATATAGTGATGTCACAGGAGAGGTGGTAAGATATAGTGATGTCACAGGAGAGGTGGTAAGATATAGTGACGTCACAGGAGAGGTGGTAAGATATAGTGATGTCACAGGAGAGGTGGTAAGGTATAGTGATGTCACAGGAGAGGTGGTAAGATATAGTGACGTCACAGGAGAGGTGGTAAGGTATAGTGATGTCACAGGAGAGGTGGTAAGATATAGTGATGTCACAGGAGAGGTGGTAAGATACAGTGACGTCACAGATGGAGATGTAAGGGAGGTGGGGGGGGATATGTGGGCGTAGAGGTGAGGGAGGTAGGGGGGGGTGGTGTACGTGGGCGCAGTGTGTGGTGTAAGACGGTGCGCAGTGGTGGGCGGTGGTGCGCAGAAGGGACCGAGGTGACTCCAACGTTGCTCTAGTGGGAGGTGTTGCCGAATGCTTCTTTTATATATGAACTTGTGGCGGTGGTGGTGGTGGCGGCAACAGCAGTAGCAGACATGAAGCAGCAGACAAGAACAGCAGACGTCGCTTTTCTATTCCCCCCTTTACGATTATAATTCTGGGGCTGCACGATGCTGTTATTGTGGTTGTTATTGCGGTTGTTATTGCGGTTGTTATTGCGGTTGTTATTGCGGTTGTTATTGCGGCTGTTATTGCGGTTGTTATTGCGGTTGTTATTGTTTGTGGTTGTACTTCCTCTATCGTTCACTACCGCAAGGTTTAATGGCTCTATAATATCCTCATAGAGCTTTGTACTCGACGAACTTGATCACCTGAAAAATAGACACCCCAGAGGTTATTTTACCTGATGATTAAATACCTGGGGCTCGTAGGTTAGGTTAGGTTAGGTTTAAGGAAGATTAGGTTAGGTTAAGTTAGGTCAGGTTAGGTTAGGTTGGGTTAGGTTAGGTCAGGTTAGATTTGGTTAGATTAGGTTAGGTTAGGTTGGGTTAATCTCAAGATGGAGTAAACTAGGGTGTCTTATTCTTTAGGTTAGGTTAGATTAGGTCAGGTTAGATTCGGTTAGATTAGGTTAGGTTAGGTTGGGTTAATCTCAAGATGGAGTAAACTAGGGTGTCTTATTCTTTAGGTTAGGTTAGATTAGGTTAAATTAGGTCAGGTTAGGTTTGGTTAAGTTAGGTCAGGTTAGATTCGGTTAGATTAGATTATGTTTGGTCAGGTTAAGTTAAGTCAGGTTAGGTTCGGTTAGATTAGATTATATTTGATCAGGGTCACCAGGGCAGGTCAGGGTCACCAGGGCAGGTCAGGGTCACCAGGGCAGGTCAGGGTCACCAGGGCAGGTCAGGGTCACCAGGGCAGGTCAGGGTCACCAATACCATCGAGGGGGCGTCTGTGTCTTTGTCTTCCGTGTGTGTGTGTGTGTGTGTGTGTGTGGCGGGCGGGCGGGCAAAATATATCTACTCGTGTACACATTCTTGACATGATAGAACGCTGAATTTATTGTTGCTTAGGACACACACACACACACACACACACACACATGCCACACCTCACCCATGCATACATTCCTCACCCATGTATACACCCTCACCCATGTATACACCCTCACCCATGTATACACCCTCATCCATGTATACACCCTCACCCATGTATACACCCTCACCCATGTATACACCCTCACCCATGTATACACCCTCATCCATGTATACACCCTCACCCATGTATACACCCTCACCCATGTATATACCCTCACCCATGTATACACCCTCATCCATGTATACACCCTCACCCATCTACTGTATACTTTCAGAGTAGAGATTGACGGCCATCCTCCCTATACAGTTGACGAGAGATGGACGATTGAAGAGTTTCGTGGGTCAGCTGTTTCTCTGGTGAGTAATGAATTAAATGCTCAGTGTGTGTGTGTGTGTGTGTGTGTGTGTGTGTTTTAGTAAGTAAGTAATGGATATAAAATTAAAGATATACCCATATAAGTAATTTCTTCTAAGTGCTGGTAAAGTATACATAGAATTTCAACTTGAAATTCCTATTTACTTCGTATTTATTTATTTATAAGTAAATTTAAGTGATATATTTTCTTCTACTTATATTTTTTGTTAAGTTATAAGTAAGATTTCAACATTAATTAAGGACTTTAGTAGAAATATTTACTTAAGAAGATTGTAAGTTTATTTAACCACCTTTTAAGTACATATGGACAGGTAAGTCACATATTGTCCAGGTAAGTCACATATTTAGTACATATTGTCCAGGTAACACATATTTAGTACATATTGTCCAAGTAACTCACATATTTAGTACATATTGTCCAAGTAACTCACATATTTAGTACATATTGTCCAAGTAACTCACATATTTAGTACATATTGTCCAAGTAACTCACATATTTAGTACATATTGTCCAAGTAACTCACATATTGCCCAAGTAACTCACATATTTAGTACATATTGTCCAGGTAACTCGCATATAAAGTACTGTACTGTATATATTTAAGTTTTTAAATGACCAAAACTATTTAATAAGACATTTTAATTGGTTGAAAATGGCCCAGATTGTGGTTAAGTTAGGTTAAGTAATATATTTCACGTGATTGGTTGTTTAAGTAATATATTTCACGTGATTGGTTGTTTAAGTAATATATTTCACGTGATTGGTTGTTTAAGTAATATATTTCACGTGATTGGTTGTTTAAGTAATATTTCACGTGATTAGTTGTTTAAGTAATATATTTCACGTGATTGGTTGTTTACAATATGGCTTTCGTGTCTTTGGGTTGGTTAGGTTAGGTTTGTGTTAAGTTAGTGTTAGGTTAGGTCAGGTCAGGTCAGGTTAGGTTAGGTCAGGTGAAGTTTGGTTTAGGTTAGGTGAAATAAACTACCTGGGAGATTCTTTCAGGTGATCCAATTTGTTTCAACAATAACAAATAAACAATACTCCCTTTAATTAAACCAATTATAGGAAATTGGTCAAAATTAAGGTCAAAGTTCACGAAATTAAGAGACCAAAATAGGTAATAGGTTTGAGGTACAGTATATTTACGTGTGTGTTAAAATTGGTCAGGAAAACTCCTTCTGGTAATTCATCCTAAAATAGTTGCTAGATATGGAGTTTATGGTCATGCTCAGGGGTCAAAGGTCACAAGAAATGGTTAAATTAGGGAGTGGATTTAACTTGCTGACAAAAACCATGACCCTTCAGGCTTTTACGCCCGTAATGCATTAGTCATAAAGGCAAGCATGAACTCTGCATGCTTCCCAGATGGGCGCTGTAAACGCTTCTGCGCTTCACCTTGCACAGGATGTAAGGGGGTGTCCAATAAACTAGCCCCCTCGGGGGCACCCTGTAATCTGCCCTTTGCTGTGTATTTTGGGTGAGAGTGTGTGTGTGTGTTTAATGATCAGCAGGCTCGGGTGGCAGGCGAGGACCTGGGTTCGATCCCCCGGGCAGGGTGAAACTATGGGCAAGTTTTTACGCCATTGGCCTCTCTACCCAGCAGTACTGGGAACCCGATGTTTATCGATTTGTGGATCGTCTCTGGGGTAATGATTAGCCAGTGCAGTTGGCGAGTTGTCCGGTCTTCTCGGACTATTCCTTGACACTGGGTCATGCAGCTCGTTAACTCAGGGTGTAGTTGTTGTGTTGGCGACAGCTTCTACACCTTAAACACTGGGTCATGCAGCTCGTTTACTTAGGGTGTGGTTGTTGTGTTGACGACAGCTTCAACACCTTAAACACTGGGTCATGCAGCTCGTTTACTCAGGGTGTAGTTGTTGTGTTGACGACAGCTTCTACACCTTAAACACTGGGTCATGCAGCTCGTTAACTCAGGGTGTAGTTGTTGTGTTGACGACAGCTTCTACACCTTAAACACTGGGTCATGGCCTGTTAACTCAGGGTGTGGTTGTTGTGTTTATGACAGTTTCTTACACCTGAAACACTGGTCATGCAGCTTCGTTGTTAACTTAGGGTGTAGTTGTTGTGTTGGCGACAGTTTCTACACCTTAAACAAATTACCGTCTAAGTGGCCCTTGGGTCGGCCATCCTCGACTTCCAGGGGCTTCCTATTATTATTATTATTGTGTGGATGAGAGAGAGAGAGAGAGAGAGAGAGAGAGTGTGTGTGTGTGTGTGTGTGTGTGTGTGTGTGAAGGAGAGAGAGAGAGATAGATAGATAGAAAGACAAACAGACAGACATCCAACAAACATGATAAAACAACATTAAAACACCAAAATGTATTCATCTTTTGTATTGGTTGACACGTGTGTTAGTATCTCAGTTAGCAACAAGGTACAACATATTCTCCTTCAGCATTTAGCGTTACAGTGGCGATACAGGTTTATACAGTATACCTTTATAAAGTCATACACATTACAGTAGGTTACAGTAATGGTACAAGTTTATTACATAGTATACAGAGCACATAAAAATAGTCTCATAACAGTTCTACAGTGGAAATACAGTCTCATACAGTATACAGTTAATTTCATACAGTATATAGTTATTAATCTCATACAGTATACAAGCTCATACAGTTAAAGGGTCATACAGTTACAGGGTCATACAGAATACAGGAATAGGTCCAACAACGTAGAACTGATTACATGCAAATTTTCAGAATCATTTTTTAATACATGCAAATTTTTCTTCGATTATTATTATTACTAAGCAAAAAGAATAATGCCAAAAAATTAATTGTTTAGAAAAGTCATAATGCCAATGCCCAAACTTGCCTCGCCATGACAACAACCACCTGTTATATAGTCATAACGGAGGAATTAGTGTAAAGTCTCAATTCAATGCCCATAACATAAGCGTTTTAACATAGTTACCCCCGAGTCCTTGTCACTAATCACAGTTTTCTATGATTGCTCGCCAGAATTTGATTAATATTCTATTTTTTATCATTTATGGGTGATTAAAAACATTCTAAATTGTAAATATTATTCCATATATGATTTTAAATTAAGATAAAATCATTTACATATATTGGAAAGCCTTGAAACAAATATTATGAGGATAATTATTTTTCACTTGTAAACAAAAGACATCACGAGCCTAAAACATTATCATTTAACCCGGGAGAGAATACGAGCCTAAAATGTCACTACTTAATAAACTTATATCTTGTTTTTTACTCTTACTTGGAAATTACTTACCAAGTTACTTGAGAAACTCCTAGTATTTTTTCTTCTATCTAGTAGTAGGGGCTATTAGACTACGAGGGATTATTGTGGGGTTTTTGTGCAGGGCAACTTAGGGCTACCTGACCACTAGGGAAAAAGAGCTATTTGGGGCTATACTAGTGACTGACTACCAGGCTCACGACAGTAGGGGGCTGCAGTGGTTCATGGGGGCTACCTAACTGGGAAAAGGGGGACTAACTACCACACTACGAAAGAGACTAGGGGGAAGGGGGGCTTTTACTCTCCTGTGGTGGTTGTTAAAGCTCATTCTGGTCAAGACTCAGATTAGCAATTAGGGGCTGATGAAATGTAAGGATCAATGGGGGGAGGGGGCTAATATCTGAGAGGGGTCTAAATGATAGGGGTCTGAGGGAGTGGTTCGTTCACTTCAGCATAGCGTACACCGAAGCCGTCCTTAGCGGGGACTTCTCTAAAGAAGTTAAGGTTCATCCAGTAGAGGTCGTGGGCGTATTCACAAGGCAACGCTTCATTGGCCCAGGCACATACCATCGCATCCTGTAGGGGAGGTAACAGTGGTGGTGGTCGTTAGTGGTGGGTCGTGCTGTAGGGGGTCTCTCTCTCTCTCTCTCTCTCTCTCTCTTACCTGGGTGAAGATAGTGTACTCAGGACAGATGAAGCTGAACTGATAGGTATATTCACTGGTGAAATTGTTGGGGTAGAGCTGATGTAGAGGAAGACATACGTGGAAGATCTGGCACTCGTTGTCTTGATCAGCGTAGTGAGCTGTAGCTCTGTGTGTGAGAGGTGGGTGGTTAGGGGTATGGTAGGTGGGGGTGGGTGGTTAGGTGTGGTAGGTGGGGGTGGGTGGTTAGGTATGGTAGGTGGGGTGGGTGGTTAGGTATGGTAGGTGGGGTGGGTGGTTAGGTATGGTAGGTGGGGGTGGGTGGTTAGGTGTGGTAGGTGGTGGGTGGTTAGGTATGGTAGGGGGGTGGGTGGTTAGGTATGGTAGGTGGGGGTGGGTGGTTAGGTTGGTAGGTGTGGGTGGTTAGGTGTGGTAGGTGGGGTGGGTGGTTAGGAGGTAGGTGGGGTGGGTGGTTAGGTATGTAGGTGGGGTGGGTGGTTAGGTAGTGGTAGGTGGGGTGGGTGGTTAGGTATGGTAGGTGGGGTGGGTGGTTAGGTGTGGTAGGTGGGGTGGGGTGGTTAGGTTGGTTGGTAGGTATGGTAGGTGGGGTGGTGGTTAGTTGTGGGGGTGGTTAGGGTGGTTATTGGTTGTGGGTGTAGTGGGTGGGTGTTAGTGCTAGGTGGTTGGTGAGATGTGGGTTGGGACAGATGTGGGGACGGGGGATGTGGACCTTTATATGAATAATAATAATAATTAACGGTTTATTGAAAGTTCTGGTAGCACGAAGGCTGAAAATATCCATTGGACATAAATGACTTATTACATACTTTGGTGGTTTAACAAAGCCTTCATTAGGAGAAAGGAACATATAGTGAACATACAGATTAATGTAGGTGTTGAACAGCAAACTGTAGTGTAGTAACTCCCTCCCAGATGGTGTTAGGAGGAACTCACGGTAGTAGTTCCCCAGATGGTGTTATGAGGGACCTGGCGTGTAGTAACCTCACAGATGGTGTTATGAGGGGCCCTCACGTGGTGTAGTAACTCCCTCACAGATGGTGTTATGAGGACCTGACGTGGTGTAGTGTGTGTGTGTGTGTGTGTGTGTGTGTGGAGAGACTCTGTGTTTACATGACGAGCGTAAATTAGATTTGTAAAACTGTAAACAAGAAGGAAACTCTACTTAAATATGACAATTCGGGAGAAGGAGGGAGGGAGGAAGGTGAAGGGAAGGAGGAAGGGGAAAGAAGGGAGGAAGAGATGATAGGGAGAAAGGAAGGAGGAGGGAGGGAAGGAAGAAGGGGGAAAAGAAGGGAGGAAGGAAGGGAGTCAGAATAAACTTAGGAAAGAAGGAAATACCTAGTAATGAAGGGAAAAAACTAGGAAAGAAGGAAAAACCTAGGAAAAAGGGAAAAAACTAGGAAACGAGGGAAAAAACACCATCTCTACTCACGCGTCCTTCACAACGGAAAGTATCCACAATATTAGGGCGAATCAGAGTAGCGTTATCAGCCAACCTCTGTATAATAGGTGGCAACTGGGGCTTAGTGAGAATCAGTTTAGCCCCTGAAGGTGCGCTGCGCAAGAGTTGGCCGATCTGCGCATCCAAGAGTAGTTCGTTGCCTTCTGGACGTGGGTCGACGAAGGTTTCGACAGGGATTTGCCTTGCGCGTGGTTTGCCGATCTGAGGGGCCCCAACACATGCCCAGGAACACACTGTCGATGAGAAGGGAGGAAGTTAGACATATTTTAGACAAGATTACGTGGTTTTAGACATTTATATAGCTATTGTCGATAAAAATGGAAGTTAGACATATTTTAGACAAGGTTACGTGGTTTTAGACATTTATATAGCTATTGTCGATAAAAATGGAAGTTAGACATATTTTAGACAAGGTTACGTGGTTTTAGACATTTATATAGCTATTGTCGATAAAAATGGAAGTTAGACATATTTTAGACAAGATTACATGGTTTTAGACATTTATGCAGCCACTGCCGACAAAAATTAGAGTTGGGAAGTTAGACATATTTTAGACAAGGTTACGTGGTTTAAGACATTCATAGAGCTATTGTCGATAAAAATTGGAGTTAGACATGTTTTAGACGAGGTATACTTACTGATTTAGACATTCCTACAGTCATTGTCGACAAAATAGGTGGTAGGGGCGTTAGACATGTTAAGATAAATAGATATTGTGTGTGAGAGAGACAGAGATAAAGAAGAGAGAGAGAGAGAGAGAGAGAGAGAGAGAGAGAGAGAGAGAGAGAGAGAGAGAGAGAGAGAGAGAGAGAGAGAGAGATGTTAAATAGACATAGTGTGTGTGTGTGTGTGTGTGTGTGTGTGTGTGTGTGTGTGTGTGTGTGTGTGTGTGTGTGTGTGTGTGGTACTTACAGGTCACCAGGAACACACTCAGCAGTACTCGACCCATTTTTGTATTGCTGTAAAGAATGAGAGAGAACATATCTTAGTGACCATCCTAATATACATACACAGTCTATACATATACATAGATATATATACATAGTAATTGACCATACAACACACACACACACACACACACGGGTGGAAGTGAAAAAAATTCTTCCTTAAGTTCGCTCTGTACTCCCGAGTCAATGCCCGTCTCTTCGCCACGGCAATCAACAGTGCCTGGCGTTGACTTCCATTACGAACGTTTAGCTTTTGGGATCTTCCGCCAGACGTACTTCTTCGCTTGACTGTGGGAATTTCGCCAGACGGAAGGGTGTGTGATTTAATGCCAGGGCGGGCGAACGATAGCTTGATATCTATCTGTCTGTGTAAACGTTTCTTCGCCCGCTTAATGCCTACACTGGCATATTATTTTTCACCAGTTGTAAAATAATTCGACAAATATTCGCCAGGTGATTTTTTCGTCACCTGTAAGAAAAATCGCCATAACTGTTCGCCAAATAAATTTTTTCGCCAACTGCATAAAAGAGAATCGGCCAAAAGTTCGCCAAATATTGTATTTTCTCGCCAACTGTACAAAAATCCCTCCCAAATCGCCTATTACCACAAAATATTCGCCAAATATTGACGTTTCTCGCCAAATGGCCAAAATATAAAAAATCACAAAATGGCGAATTTGGCGAATGTGACCGTGGAACCAGCCAAATTAGCCAAATTATTATGAGTTATTGATAATGGCGATGCTTGGCGGCAAATGTCACCGCGATAATAGCTCGGGGGTCGAACCGTGAACTCTAGGTTTCCGGCGCTTGACTGCATTCCTTCACGCCATGACTGGGTGAGTCAATACTGGCTGCCTCAGGACAAAATATCAATCGGACAAAATATCTATCGGACAAAACTACTGTCGGGAGAAACGTTGCTGGTTAAGTTATCTATCGGACAAATAAATTAACTATCGGACAAAATATCTATCGGACAAGATCCCACAAGGTCCCACTCACTCACCCAGCTGTCACCCACCCACTTACCCGTCACCCACCCACCCCACCGTCACCCACTCACCCGTCACCCACCCACCCAGCTGTCACCACCTCCACCCCTCACCCGTCACCCACCCACCCCTCACCCGTCACCCACCCACCCGTCACCCACCCACCTACCCATCTCCACCCACCCACTCACCCATCTCTCACCCGCCCACCCTCACCCGTCACCCCACCCGACTCCACCATCTCTCACCCGCCCATCCACCCGGCTGTCACCCACATGAACCTAATCTAACCCACACTAAATATTAACAATTTATTTTAACTTATTGGTAATTTTCTTTAAAACTTTGGATTAATAATTTTGTAAAACATTAATTGATTTTTTTTATAAAGTTGTGATATTTTACCAGTTGTATTTTGTTGTATTTTTTGTATTTTTAACTTGTGGTATATTAGTTGAGTGTTATATTATACATACATACTGTACATACATACATACATGCATACATACATACATACATACATGGATGGGTTAGCTACAAATTCGTTCACAAGTCGAGATTTAGATTAAAAGAAGGGAGAGAGAGAGAGAGAGAGAGATGGGTTGGACTTCCCCCACTACCTGTGCTTTAGGCCACTCCCACACACTCACCCCACTACCTGTTCTGCTGGTGCTTGCCTGTTCCTTGACCTTGAAACTAACTCTCTCTCTCTCTCTCTTCTCTCTCTCCGTGTCTGTCTCTGCCCGCCCGCTCACCTGCAGGACCCGGTTGAGGACGTATAGAAAGGGATTACCTTTGGGGAGGGGAGGGAGAGAGGGAGGGAGGGAGGGAGGAGGAGAGGGAGGAGGGAGGAGAGGGAGGGAGGGAGAGGAGGAGGAGGAATTGCTCTCTCTCTCCATATTTTAATAAATTTTGAATAAAGGGAAAGAGTAGAGAGAGAGAGAGAGAGAGAGAGAGAGAGAACTAGTTTGGACAGGATCTAGACACATACAAGGGAGAACAACAAGTACCAGGGAGACTAGACAGGCTAATCTCTACCCTCCTCCCTCCCCACCAGGTAATGCCCTTGACCTTACCCCTTGAAAGTCGATCCTCCTCCCTGCTTTCCTCCCTTCTCCCTCCTCTTCTTCCTTCCCTCCTTCTCTCCTCCTCCCTCCTCCTTCCCTCCCCCTCCAGGCAATATCCTTGACTTACCCTTCAAAGTCGATCCTCCCTCCACTTCCTCCATTCCTCCCTCCCCCTCCCTCCCCTTCCCCTCCTCAACCCCCAAACGTCCTCTCCTGTCCCCCTACACCTGTTTGCCCCCCCTCCCTTGATACCGTTAACAAGAGCCGTTGCCGACATCGAGTAATGACCTCTGTTGTAGACTGTTCTCTCTCACTCTCTCTCACTTTCTCTCTTTCTCTTACTCTCACTTTTTTCTTCGTTTCTCTATAATTTTCCTGTTGTTGTTATTATTATTATTATTAGTAGTAGTAGTAGTAGTGGTAGCAAAAATAGTAATAGTAGTAGTAAGTAATAGTAGTAGCAGCATTAGTAATGGTGGCAGTAGTAGTAGTAGTAGTTGTAGTAATGGTAGTAGTAGTGGTAGTAAAGTAATAGTGGTAGTAGTTGTAATAATAATAATAACAATAATAATAACAATAACAACAACAACAATAATAATAATAATAATAATAATAATAATAATAATAATAATAATAATAATAATAATAATAATAATCTAAGTCACCCTCACATAAACGACTCGGTATATAACCTCCACTATACACAGAATATAAACGACGATATACCGTAATAATTATATAACATACACACTGATATAACCCGATGACGTCACCTGACTAATGAACCTTTAGAGGTTTAGACGGTCAGTATAATCCTCCCCTCCTCCTATCTCCCTCCTCACTATCTCCCTCCCTCACTCCTCCCTCCTCACTATCTCCCTCCTCCCCCCTCACTATCTCCCTACCTCACTATCTCCCTCCCCTCACTATCTCCCTACCTCACTATCTCTCCTCCCTCCCCTCCCTATCTCCCTCCCTCACTATCTCCCTCCCTCACTATCTCCCTCCCCTCACTATCTCCCTACCTCCCTATCTCCCTACCTCCCTCCCCTTCCCTCCCTCCCTCACTATCTCCCTACCTCCCTCCCCTTCCCTCCCTCCCTCACCTATCTCCCTACCTCTATCTCCTCCCTCCCTCCTCCCCTATCTCCCTACCTCCCTACTTCACTACTCCCTCCCTCCTCATTCCCTCCCTCCCTCCCCTCTCCCTATCTCCCTACCTCACTATCTCCCTCCCACTACCTCCCTCCTCCCTACCTCCCTCCTCTCCCCTCCCTCCCTCCCTCCCTCCCTCCCTCTCCTCCCCTCTCTCCCTGGCTGGCAGCGAACAGAAACAAGCCACTTGATGAGGTCCTCAGCCGGATGCCCTAACTCGTCTATCTGGCTCCTTCAGGCTAAGGTGTATCCCAGGTACGAATGCCAACTAACCTGCAGGCTAGTTAGGGGCCAATGACCTGACCCACCGTAACGAGAGGGGGGCAAAAGAAGAGAGAGAGAGACAGAAGAGAGAGAGAGGACACAAGAGAGAGAGAAGAGAGAAGAGAGAGAGAGAAGAGAGAGAGAGAGAAACTATCAACACTAACACCAAACTGATGTGTATACCTCTACACCATAACGCTACCATAACACCACCATACCCCCTTATACCCACTACACCATACCCCCCCTTTATACCCCACTACCCATACCCCCCCCTTTACCTACTACACCATACCCATACTAATAGTATCCATAAACACCATATCCTGTCTCATGGGTTATCTGGAATTGGTTTTAAATCGTGGTGGTGGTGAGAGGGGTCATTACACCTGTCCCTCTCCAGGTGGTGTCTCTCTCTCTCTCTCTCTCTCTCTCTCTCTCTCTCTCTCTCTCTCTCTCTCTCTCTCTCTCTCTCTCTCTCTCTCTCTCTCTCTCTCTCTCTCTCCTCTCTCTCTCTCTCTCTGTGGGGAAGGTCGTACTAACTGTTTGTCTTCGTGTTATTGGAGGCGACTGACCCTGTCATTACTTCTGTCTTCACCACTTCCTGGGATTCCACGCCTCTCACACGCCTCTCAACCTCTCACGCCTCTCACTACCTCTCCTTCTCATCCCTCTCACCCCATCACACCTCTCAAGCCCCGCCTACCTCTCCCGCCACCCCCCACCTCTCCTCTTAAGCCCCCGCCCTACACCTCCCACCCCATCCCACCTCTCCCACGCCTCAATAATCTCTTCCACGGTTCATTCACACTTCAGATGTCTCTCCCACGCCTACACACGCCTGCCATACCTGTCCCACGCCTCTTCCATGTCTTTCCCACGCCTACACACGCCTGTCACCTCTCCCACGCCTACACACACCTGTCACGCCTCTTCCATGTCTCTCCCGCCTGCTTCTTTCTGACGCCTCTCTCTCTCTCTCTCTCTCTCTCTCTCTCTCTCTCTCTCTCTCTCTCTCTCTCACACACACACACACACAAACCACTACCACCATCATTATATCCACCATAATCATTAACTACACCGTACAACCACTTTTCCCCGTCATAAAACAATCTACCTCCACCACTACTACCACCACCACTCCTACCACCACCACTACCACCACTACCACCACTTTTATGAGGTCATGTACCTTAGCAAGAAACCGTAAGTCGTGAGACATTCCTGTGTACTGACCAGATGTTGTTTTCTGTAAGGTTCCAAAGTTCAATTTTCCTCCTAACTGGTGATGTGAGAACGTATCTAACTGACTCACTTAAGCTACCACACAAAGATGGATTCTCAAAGGTTCCTAAGTTCAATTTTCCTCCTAACTGGTGATGTGAGAACGTATCTAACTGACTCACTTAAGCTACCACACAAAGATGGATTCTCAAAGGTTCCTAAGTTCAATTTTCCTCCTAACTGGTGATGTGAGAACGTATCTAACTGACTCACTTAAGCTACCACACAAAGATGGATTCTCAAAGGTTC